GCCTGGCTTTGCTGGGCGACATTATTAACTCTGCAACCGAAGTGCCCATCTATCAGTTTCTCCCCTCGCTGGGCAGAGAAAACACCGACCCCAAAATTAAAAGAGAGAGAGAGAGAGAGATGAAAAGAAAGAAAATAAGTTGTTAGATGATGGAGGGCTGAACTGAAAGAAGTAAGAACAAGAGTTGGACTTATTCTGATTCACTTAGATAAGTCTAGAAAAAAAATTATGGTGTGGTTTTTTAAAAAAGTGGCTCCCTCTGATTCCATGAAAGAGAAAAGCAAGAATATAATTTATGGGGTAAAGAGGTGATTTTCCGTCTTCTTGGCACAAGATGTAGATGATAGATAGATAGATAGATAGATAGATAGATAGATAGATAGATAGATAGATAGATAGATAGATAGATAGAGATAGATAGAGAATGATAGATAGATAGATAAATAGATAGATAGATAATGATAAATAGATATGTGAAAGATAGAGATAATAGATAGATAGATAGATAGATAGACAGATAGACAGATAGATAAGAGAGAGAGATTTTATATATATATATATACACACACACATATACAGAGAGATAGATAGATAGAGAATGATAGATAGAGATGATAGATATGAGAAAGATAGATAGAGATAATAGATAGATAGATGATAGAGATAGATAGAGAGATAGGATAGAGAGAATGATAGAGGATAGATAGATAGATAGATAGAGAGATAGATAGATATGAGAAAGATATAGATAATAGATAGATAGATGAGAGATAGAGATAGATAGATAGATAGATAGATACATAGATATAGAGATAGAGATAGATAGATAGATACATAGATATAGAGATAGAGATAGATAGATAGATAGATAGATAGATAGATAGATAGATATGAGAAAGATATAGATAATAGATAGATAGATGAGAGATATAAATAGATAGATACATAGAGATAGAGATAGATAGATAGATAGATAGATAGATAGATAGATAGATAGATAGATAGATATGAGAAAGATATAGATAATAGATAGATAGATGAGAGAGATAGATAGATAGATAGATAGATAGATAGATAGATAGATAAATGAGAGATAGAGATAGATAGATACATAGATATAGAGATAGAGATAGAGATAGATAGATAGATAGATAGATAGATAGATAGATAGATAGATAGATAGATATGAGAAAGATATAGATAATAGATAGATAGATGAGATAGATAGATAGATAGATAGATAGATAGATAGATAGATAGATAGATAGATAGATAGATAGATAGATAGATAGATAGATAGATAGATAGGAGAAGCAGGGAGGGAAGAAGGGAGAGAGGCATTTCCATCCGGGCCAACTTTAGAAAAAAAGAAAAGAAAAGAAAAGAAATAAGACAGTTAACGCTTCTTTCTGAATGAATTCAGCCCAGATGGTCCCAACAAGAATGAGGAATATTCCAAAAATGTGGATGCTTGTAATGACCAACCGCTGCCTTTCCCAGACAGACTCCTTGGAAAGTCAGATTTCGTTTACAGAAAAGGTTCGCTCCAGAGCCAAAACTGGAAACAGGGAAATATGGCCACAATAGAGACTCTGGAGAAGCAAGGCAGTGAACCCATCTCCATCTTCTCCTCCGCCACCGCCGTCCCCTTCTCCTTTTGCCCTCCGTCTTTCCCAACATCAGGGTCTTTTCCAAGAAAGTCTTCTCCAAAGCCAGGCAAAAGGAGCTAAACCCTTTCCCCATTTGTTGTGCCTGTAGAGTTCCTTAGCTGGGGGCCCCTTCCACTATTCTTGAAGGAGACCCTCTTCACTTCGTCGACAAAACGGCCCAATTACAGCAGGATCCAGCAATCGCTAAAAGCAATTTTTTCCCCACCAGCGTTCCTTGACCGACAATCACCCACCAAGCCAGATCTACACAACACCTTTGCGGGACTCAACTGGAGCAGCCGAGCCCGGCCTCAGAGACCCGAACTACAGCCTAGAAACAAGTGGCACACCGAAAGCAGAACCGGATTAAATCCCCAACAATGGAGTAGGTAGCCTTGGGTAAAGCACATATCCTGCTTCTTAGCTAGCAGCGATTGAGGATCAGAGACCAGCTTTCAGAGGCACCTTTTGCTCTGCACTCATCCTGACGGTGCCAGGGAATCCGGAGTGGACGGTCCACAGAAAATATAGAAGAAAAAAAAAAGAGGGGAATATCTTTTCCATCAACTCAACCGGAGTACCGCAAGATTGGAAGACGCGGAGAGACCTGGTTAATTGTTCCAACTGTCAGGAAGTTTCTCCTTAATTCCAGGTTGCTTCTCTCCTTGATCAGTTTCCATCCGCTGTTTCTTGTCCTGCCTTCCGGCGCTTTGGAGGATGGGTTGACCCCTTCTTCTTTGGGGCAGCCCCTCAAATATTGGAATATTGTCCTCATGTCACCCCTCGTCCTTCTCTTCATTAAACTAAAGCTATCCAATTCCTGCAACCGTTCTTTCTTTGCGTTTTAAGAGAAGAGCTTGACTCCCTCTTCTTTGGGGCAGCCCCTGAGATACTGGAAGACTGCTATCCTGTGCCCCCTCGTCCTTCTCTTCGTTAAACTAGACATACCCAATTCCAGCAACCGTTCCTTGTATGTTTTAGCCTCCAGTCCCCTGATCCTCTTTGTTGCTCTTCTCTGCACTCTTTCTAGAGTCTCAACATCTTTTTTATATCGTAGCCACCAAAACTGGATGCTATATTCCAAGGGTGGCCTTACCAGGGCGTTACAAAGCAGGACTTTAATTAAAGATTGAGCTGTAGGGCTGCTGAAAGGCTTCAGATATACTTGAGTGTGGTGGGAGAAAGGGATCACTGAAAGAATTGGATCCATTAGAGAAGGGTTGGAGAATGAGAACCCGCTAGTGAATTTGCAAACTGCATCGCTGGATTCCTGCATGGGGCACCGTCTTCGGACTCTGTCTGGGCTAAGGAGGATGCAGGCCTGGCATCAAACTCCAACAGATGGGGAAGGCTGGCAGGGCAGAAAGATGATGAAGATGTGAATTTGGGTGACACGATAACATCTTCCAATATTTGAGGGGCTGCCACAAAGAGGAGGGGGTCCACCTATTCTCCAAAGCACCCGAAGGCAGGACCAGAAGCGACGGATGGAAACGAATCAAGGAGAGAAGCAACCTGGAACTAAGGAGGAATTTCCCGACACTGAGAACAATCGATCAGTGGAACTGCTTGCCACCGGAAATTGTGGGTGCTCCATCGCTGGAGGCTTTTAAAAAGAGATTGGACAACCATTTGTCTGAAGTGTTCCAGGGTCTCTTCCTTGAACGTGGGGCTGGATTAGAAGACCTTCAAGGTTCCTTCACACTCTTGTTATTCTGCTTATACTTGTACTATGTACTAGTATTTGTCCCCGGGATGGATTGTGATGACATGTCCTAATATTTGAGGGGTTGCCCCAAAGAAGGGGGGCTGCCATGAAGAAGAGCTGCCTGTTTTCCAAAGCACCTGAAGAAGGCAGGACAAGAAGCGACGGATGGAAACGAATCAAAGAGAGAAGCAACCTGGAACTAAGGGGAAACTTCTTGACAGTGAGAACAATTCATCAGTGGAACTACCTGCCTCCAGAAACGGTGAATGCTCCAACACTGGAGGTTTTTAAGAAGAGACTGGACAGCCGTTTGTCTGAAATGGTCTAGGGTTTCCTGCCTGAGCAGGGGTTTGGACTAGATGACCTCCAAGGTCCCTTCCAACTTTGATATTCTGTTAACTGGCAGATGCCAGGATCCAATTCTGTGAGAATGTTAGGGGGTGGGGATGGGAAAGTCCCCCCCTTCTCTCTCTCTCTTTTTCTCCCTGTCCTTCCCACCTCCCCATTCATTAGCTATGCAGCCTAATTCTGGTTTCCTTTGTTCAACCAAGCTGAATCCCCGTGCCCAGCAAGATTGGATGTCAAAGGTCAGGGGACATTTGCGATCGATAGGAAATCAATCTGAATCCAAAAGAACCAGCCTCCCCTATTCGTCCAAGCCCGGGGAGGACTGATCCATACAACCCTGGTTTATTGGCAGGCAGGAAGAGGCAGATTGGAAAGCAAGACCGAAAGGGAGGTGCGTTGGAGACACGGAGAAGTCCAGCCACAAAGAAAATAAAATAGATCCTTTTCTCTCCTTCCAGAATTGGGAAAGATCATTGAAGCTACAGAATTTTTTTTTTTTTTTGATATTTTGTCTATCTCTCTCTGTGTGTTTTTTAAAGGAACTTTAGAAGATAACTCGAAAGTTGAAAAGAAAAAAACCAAACAAACGGGATGATGGGTGTTACTAAATGAGAACTCATCCTCGCTCTTTCTAGCAGGTTTCTGCTTTTCCACCCAGAAGTGTGACTTTACTTTCAAGGAACATTTCCCAAATACACCCAAAGTCCCGGCAACGTGCCACACATCAGCCTCCGTCTTCGCACAACGGCTGTGTTGTCATCTCCTGCAGGGGCATCCGACCTGCGGATCCTTGAGGAGCACCAACGAAGGGAGTCTTTGCTGCATTTCGAGGGCGATGCTTGGATGGGGGTAGGGGTGTTCCGCTGCTTAGCCCAAATATTCGGGACATGCCCCCCCTGAGCGCTAACCATCACAACCACCCTCTCCAAATTCCGCCCTCCCCAATCCTTTGCAGCCACTCAAACAAGCATCGCCCGAGCAAATCAACATTCCTGGTTTGTTCAGACCAGGTCCTAACCCTGAAACAGCGGGCAGCCCTGGGCATTTTGGTGGTCCACCTGGAGGGAAGAGGTGCCCCTTTCTGCCCTGGGCTCTTAACCTCCGGAAGAGGGAAGCAATGGGGGGGGGGGGAAAGCTTGTGCCCAAGCCGGAGGGGAAACTGAGGCAGGGCAGGGAGAGGGAAGAAACCTACCGAGGTCGCTGCCCTCCCTCCTCTGCCTCACCGGCTTAGGGGAGGGGGAGAAGAAGGGGAAGGATGGAGAGGGGGGGGGGGTTGTCCGCTTCTTGCATCCTACCTTTGCAGGGCTGTGTGGGCATCCAGGACCCCCGTGCTTTGCATCCAAGACCGGACAGCCGAGAGTCCCCCTCCGCTCAGGGGCTCTTCTTTCATGGTCAGCCCCCCTCTGGCCAGGCTCTCCTGGAGGGAGAACATCAAAACTGCCTTTTAGCCCGCGTGAGGCGAGAGGGGTGTGTAGTTGTGTGTGTGTGTGTGTGTTTGTGTGTGTGAGCATCGGGTGGGCGCGCGCGCCTGCCTTCCTCCAACCAAAACAAATCCCAGCCCCCGAAAGCTGTTGGGGGGGGGGGAGAGAGAGAGAGAGAGAGAGAGGGGGGGGAGGGGGCGGCTGGGAAGAAAGTTTGGGGGTCTCCTGGCTTTCCGTGCCCGACGAGGACGGGGAGGCGAGGGGCGGCAGGCAGGCAGAGGCTGAGACCCCCCCAAGCCCAGCCTGGGCGGGGGGACGGCGGGAGGAGGAGGAGGAGGAGGAAGAGGAGGGGGGGGCTGCCCGCGCCACCTGCCCGTCGCGGTGCCGGACTGACACTCCGGGCGCGGGAGGGCGCGGGGCTGCTTTGCTGGCTTCCCGGCGGCGGGGCAGGCGGGAGGGGAGCGCTGGGTGGGGACGCCTCGGCGGGGAGAGGATGGAGGAATCAGAGGCGAGAGCAAGAGCCCCCGGGGAGGGAGGGGGAGGTAGGGAGAGGTGGGGAAGGGCGGGGGGCAGGAGGAGCAGGAGGAGCAGGAGGAGGAGGAGGCCGGCCAGCGGCGGCCAGGCAGGCCGGGCTGTCCCGGGGGCCACGGGGACCCCCGGGAGCGGAGCGGAGCAGGGATGCAGACCCCGGTTCGCCGGAGGTGAGCCAACGTCCGGGCTGGGGGAGCTGGAAAGTGCGGGGGGGGGGGCTGGAAAGGTGAAGGGGGGCTGGAAAGGGGGGAGGGAGCTGGAAAGGGGGGGCTGGAAAGGTGGAGGGGGGCTGGAAAGGTGGAGGGGGGCTGGAAAAGTGGGAGCTGGAAAGGTGGGGGGCTGCAAGGGGAGGCTGCAAAGGTGGAGGGGGCTGGAAAGGGGCGCTGGAAAGGGGGCGCTGGAAAGGGGGGGCTGGAAAGGTGGAGGGGAGCTGGAAAAGTGGGAGCTGGAAAGGTGTGGGGGCTGCAAGGGGGGGCTGCAAAGGTGGAGGGGGCTGGAAAGGGGGGCTGCAAAGGGGGGGCTGCAAAGGGGGGGCTGCAAAGGTGGAGGGGGCTGGAAAGGGGGGGTTGGAAAGGTGGGGGGGCTGGAAAGAGGAAAAGTTGGGGCGGGGGGCTGCCAGAGCGCGCGGGTTGTGGGGGGGGGGAGATGGGGCTGAGGGGCTCCCCTCCCTCCCTCCCTCCCTCCTTCTGGCCGGCTGCGGACTTTTACCGGAGCGGCGGGCAGGTCGGAGCGCGGACCGGGGCTTCCTCCTCCTCCTCCTCCTCCCCCTCCATGGGCCGGCAGGAGCAGCAGCAGCAGCCGCCGCCGCGGGTCCCCGGGGAGCAGCCCGCCGGCCGGAGCGCCCGCCGCCCCCCGCCGCCGCCGCCGTCTCCAGCGCCGCCGCCTCCGCCGCTGCTGCTGCCGCTGCTGGCCGTCGCCTTCCTCCCACTCCTCCTCCTCTTCCTCCTCGTCGTCGTCGTCCTCGTCCTGGTCCGCTTCGTCCGGCGGCAGCAGCACCATCAGCACCGCCAGCCAGTGCGGGGCGGGCCCGGGCGCAGCCTCCAGCCGCAGAGGGAGCGGGCCGCCGCCGCCGCCGCCTCCTCCGGCCGGGCCGAGCCGGGCCATGCCGCCTCCCTCCGCCTCCCCAGGGAGGAGGGGGCTGCAGCCACCGGGCCGAGCAGGCTGACATCATCCGGGGAGGGGCGGACTCCAGGGGACGGACGGAGGCGGCGGCGGCGGCGGCGGCGGGGATGACCGCGGGAGGGGCGCGCTGGGCTCGGAGACCCCCCCTCCCTCTCTCTCTCCCTCCCCGGTCATCCTCGCTGCCCCCTCCCCTTCCCCCCCCCAGGGAGCCCCGCTTTGGTCCTGCCCCCCCTTTCCGCGGCGCCCCCCCCGGCAGCCCCCAGCCTCGGAAAGCGCGCCTGTCGGGAGCCCCACAAAGTTTCCCAGACTCTCCCCTCCCCCACCCGTCCCCCTCCCCCCCTCCCCGGGGCTCTGAGTGCCCCCCTCCTTTATAGGGCCCTAGCCACAGCCCCCCCCCACTTCCCCCTTAACTGCTTCCTTTCTTGCCTTCTTCCAGCTGGGAACAGTCCTGCAATCTCTGCTTCTCCCAAAGCTTTGGAACAGCCCCCCCCCCCTTCCCACCGCCGCATTCAGACGACCTGGCTGGCCCCCTGGCATCCCGGGCCAAGCTAGGATAGGATGCAGGTTTGAGTAGCTGGGGGGGGGGGGGAGAAGATCCCAAAATCCTGAGTAGGTGAAGGGTGAGCAGGGCTCCCCCCCCTCATAGCCCCCCCCTTCTGTTCTCACATTCAGCTGAAGTGGAGCTGACCAGTTTCTGGGCCCTGCCAGGCATGTGAACATGGTTGTTGGCTTGCATTGACCGGGTTTAGTGAGTTGTCTGAAGCCTGCTGCTGATAGCCAAGTTTGCAAACAGCCTCAGTTACTCCTAGTGAATTTTCCTTGTCTTCTCTGTTGTGCATCCTACAACCTTCTTCTATTCTATTCTGTTCTGTTGTTCTGTTGTTCTATTCTAAATTCTATTCTATTTTATTCTATTCTATATTCTGTTCTGTTCTATTCTACTCTATTCTAAATTCTATTCTATATTCTGTTCTGTTCTATTCTACTCTATTCTAAATTCTATTCTATATTCTGTTCTGATCTGTTCTGTTCTGTTCTATTCTACTCTATTCTAAATTCTATTCTATATTCTGTTCTGTTCTATTCTATTCTAAATTCTATTCTACTCTACTGTTCTCTTCTCTTCTATATTCTATTCTAATAGTAATAATAATAGTAATGATAATGATAAAGTTGGAAGGGACCTTGGAGGTCATCTAGTCCAACCCCCCACTCAGGCAGGAAATCCTATACCATTTTGGACAAATGGCTGTCCAGTTTCTTCTTAAAAACTTCCAGTGATCTATTCTATTCTATATTCTATTCTGTTCTGTTCTGTTCTATTCTTTATTCCATTCCATTACCATCGTAGTGCAGTGGTTAAAGTGCAGCCTTGCAGGCTGACTCTGCCCACTGTCGGCAGTTCAATCCTGACCGGCTCAAGGTCGACTCAGCCTTCCATCCTTCCGAGGTCGGTAAAAATGAGGACCCCGATTGTTGGGGATGATATGCTGACTCTGTAAACCACTCAAGCGAGGGCTATAGAGCACGGGTGAAGCGGTATACAAGTCTAAGTGTGCTGTTGCTGTCGCTTAACCACAGAAATGCTGGGTCCAGTTGTGATGGTTAAGTGGAAGGACTACAAACAGCCAGCAGGGGAGAATTGACACGTGGCTTATGATCTTCTTCTCCAATCAGCTACCTGGTTGTTCTACTGCAAAAGGAAATTTTCCCAGCATTCTTGGCAATCTGTCGCTCTCTCCTAGCTGAGGATTCTGGGACAGCTCGCCCTGGCCAATCAGAAAGAGGCCAGACTGGGTTGGTGTTGGGCATATCTGGAAGCAGGAAAGACAGCAGAGCGTCGTAGATTTCCAGGGAAATCATTATGCTAAATGGATTATGGCTCGGAGTCAAAATGCCATTGTCCTGGGTGCGCCAGAGAAGGGAAAAAAAAACAACAACAACAACACTCTGCAGAAACACCAGGAAGGAAGGAAATAGCGAAATTCCACCTTTCTCTCTTTCCAGGCTGTGAATTTTAGCAGCTAATTATTTTTGTAATGGCAAGTCTGGCCAGGAACCAGCTTCCATGCATTTATTGCAAAACCTCCAAAGCCCGTCCATTGTTTGGAAGGGAGGATGAGGGAATAACATTCATTCCTTGCATAAATTCCAAAACCGTTCCAACAGTTTTTTTTTTTGGGGGGGGAGGGAAACTTTGAAATTGAATACACCAGGGGAAGAGACCTGATGAGGTCACCTAGTTGGGGAATGAAACGTCCGCAAGAAAACAAGCAAGCTGGGAGAGCATCAAGAGACCCACAAAATGAATATATTCGGGAGCCCTGGGTGCTCTCTGAGCTTGGTGGTTTTCTTGGGGACGTCTCATGACCCAACTAGGTCACATCATCAGTGCCAGGGGTGGGGTTTGGAAGCAGGAGGAGAAAGGACCTTGGTGCTCTCTGGGTGGTTTTCTTGCAGACATTTCATTACCTGACTAGGTAACATCATCAATGCTGGAAGGGAGGAGGACTGTGGGGTCCTTCCTGTTCTTTGAGCGGGGTGGTTTTCTTGCAGACGTTTCATTACCCAAATTCCCTTCAGTGCAAGAACGGAATAAGATTGAGGAGGAGGAGGAAGAGGAATGAAGGACTATGGGGGTGCTGAGCTTGGGGGTTTTCTTGCAGACATTTCATTACCCAGCTAGATAATTATCAGCGCTACAATGGAGTAGAGTTGGTGGAGAGGAGGAGGAATAATAATAATGTGGGGTCCTTGGTGCTCTCTGAGCTGGGTGGTTTTCTTGCAGACATTTCATTACCTAACTAGGTAACATCATCAGTGCTAGAAGGGAGTGGGACTTATAGAAGAAGGGGAAGGAGGAGGACTGTGGGGTCCTTGGTGCTCTCTGAGCTGGGTGGTTTCCTTGCAGACGTTTCATGACCCAACTAGGTAACATCATCAGTGTTAGAAGGGAGTGGGGTTTATGGCAGGAGGAGGGCTGTGGGGTCCTTGGTGATCTCTGAGCTGGGTTCTTTTGGCTGCAGACATTTCATTATCCATCTAGGTCATGGGTATCAAACTCGCGATGTCACGTGACATGTCCCAACTTTTTTCCCATTGCCGGCAATGCGCAAGGGTTTTGGTGTGACGCATCCGGCCCGCGGGCCGGCAGTTTGACACCCCTGATCTAGGTTATACCATCCGTGCTAGAAGGAACTGTGGTTTGCTATATTCATATACAGCGAAAATATACAGTGCCATCTGTATATACCAGGGGTAGGCGACCTTGGCTTTTATGACTGGTGGACTTCAACTCCCAGAATTCCTGAGCCAGCCATGCTGAGGGGAAGGGAGAGGTTTCCAAGCTGAGCCGTGCTGGCTCAGGAATTCTGGGAGTTGAAGTCCACGTGTCATGAGGGGGGCCAAAGTTTCCCTCATGCTGGCTCAGGAATTCTGGGAATTAAAGTCCACAAGTCATGAGGGGGCCATAGTTCCCCCATGCTGGCTCAGGAATTATGGGAGTTGAAGTCCACGAGTCAGAAAGCGGCCTAGGCCTAGGCCAGAGGTAGGCCACCTTGTCTCTTTTATGACTGGTGGACTTCAACTCCCAGAATTCCTGAGCCAGCCATGCTGAGGGGACAGGGAGAAGTTTTCAAGCTGAGCCAGGCTGGCTCAGGAATTCTGGGAGCTGAAGTCCACGAGTCATAAAGCGGCCTAGGCCTAGGCCAGAGGTAGGCCACCTTGGCTCTTTTATGACTTGTGGACTTCAACTCCCAGAATTCCTGAGCCAGCATGGGGAACTATGGCCCCTTCTGGGAATTGAAGTCCACGAGTCATAAAGGCCACAGTTCCCCCGTGCTGGCTCAGGAATTCTGGGAGTTGGTCCACGAGTCATAAAAGAGCCAAGTTTGAAGACTCCTGCTATATACACTTAGTCCTCGAGTTATAACTGGCCGCTTAGAGACCATTCAGTTACAACAGATCCCCCAAAGGCTATTTAGGACCCATTTATGGGGCCCCTCATGGTCCCGTGATCGTATTTTGGCCACTCGGCATTCGGCCTGCATTTGCGACCACTGGCCCATCTCGTGACCGTGGAACCACAATTCATGACATTTTTATTTATTTATTTTTGCTAGAAAACCACGTTGACTTCTACTTTTGGGCAGCAAATGGGCACTGGGCTTGCCGGACAACCACGTGGTGTTTATTTAATGAGCCCGTATTAATTTGCAACAAAATATACCCGTAGGACCGAATGGATTTCCTTAACCACGGTTGGGTTCGCTTAGAACCACACTGCAAAAAAGGGAATAAAGCTGGCTTGGTCACGGGGCTGCCCCGACTTGCAACCTTCGTGACTTACGACGGAAATCCCGGGCTCCATTCGAGTTGTAAGTTGAGGACTATCTGAAGCGAGGTGGAAGAACAGAAGACCGACGAAGGGATGGATGCCTGCATGCAGATGGGGCTCGGCTAGTGTTCGTTTAGTGCAGTGGTTCTCAACCTGTCGGTCGGGACCGCATTTGGGGTCGAACGACCATTCCACGGGGGTCGCCAAACAATGCAGTCCGCCATTTTTCCCCCTTTTCCTTAGCTGTGCTACTCCCTTTTATTCTATTGGCTTTTGAAAGCCAATAGAATAGACTCCCTTGAATAGAGTCTAATTCTATTGGCTTTCAAAAGCCAACAGGAATTGTCCAGGCTGTCTCTGCCCTGCTGAGCCCACCAAAAGTCCCATTCTGCAAACGGTGCTGCACCAGTTGAGTAGTCCTCGATTTACGACCGGTTGGGGGTCGCGGCATTAAAAAGGTTGAGAACCACTGGTTTAGTGACAATGCCAAGTTACAACAGCACTGGAAAAAGTGAGGTGTGACCGTTTCTCACGCTTACGACGGTTGCAGCATCCCGGCGATCACGTCATCCAAATTTAAACCCTTGGCAACTGACTCGGACTCATGACGGCCGCAGTGTCTCAGTCACGTGACCCCTCTCTGCGACCTTTATGGCAGTGCCGTCGTAACTTTGAAGGGTCACTAAACAAACAGGCGTCAGCCAAGGACTCCCCGCAGAGTGCTTCTCAACCTGGCCCGCTTGAAGATAGGTGGCCTTCAACTCCCAGAATTCCCTGCTGCCAAAAGGCAGCAGGAGGAATTCTGGGAGTTGAAGTCCACCCATCCTCAAAGGCTACCCTGGCCATTTATTCTGCCCCAGCCAGACAAGCTGGTTTGCTGAGATTAACAGGCAGTTTTTTCAGCCCTGGGAAGAATCCTGGCAGATTCAGAATCCCCTCGCAGTTGTGTACCTGATTACACAACCCCGCTGTGTGGTGACAAACCAAAAACTGGCTGGCTTGTTAAAAAAAAACAAAAAACGGAAAAAAATATCCCAGTTTAAGAAAGCAGCTTCTCCAGAAGTAAGCATGGATAGTCCCTTGGAGCTGAGTGACCTTTTTGGGAGTGCAATAACAGACTTGAAAGGGACCTTGGAGGTCATCTAGCTGAACCCCCAATGGCTGTCCCAATCTCTTCTTAAAAGCCCCCTACATTCAGAAGAAATCTGAGATTGAAAAGTATTATCTTGCTTTTGAGTAGATCTTAGATAATTATTATTAGTTTTAATTATCTTATTATTTTTGACTTAATTTGTTAATATTTGTTTTGAGAAGGAGTTAAAGTGTGTTATGGTTTTGACTGATAGTATAGTTGGTTTATGTTAGTTAGATTATGTTTGTTTATTTTATTTTTTATCCTGTAATCAGCTCTGGGAAGTGGGGGAGGGGGGAAGGGGTGGGAGGGGTTTATATTGTAATAAATTTATAAAACTTTTAAATAAAAAAAAAGCCCCCAGGGATGGAGCACCCACAACTTCTGGAGGGAAGCCGTTCCACTGGCTAATTATTGTCACTGTCAGGAAATAACAGAATAACAGACTCGGAAGGGACCTTGGAGATCATCTAGCCCCACCCCCTACTCAAACAGCAGGAGACCCTATACCGTTTCAGACAGATGGCTGTCCGATCTCTTCTTAAAACCCCGCAGGAACGGAGTACCCACAACTCCTGGAGGCACATTTCAGGAACAGATCTTGACTCGACAACCACACAGAACGCACACTGCGGTGCAAGGAAAACAACTGAGAATCGACTGGGTGGCAACTGAGATATTTTAGCAGTTCAAAAAACCCCCTCCCCATCCTTTCACAAGTCCAGTTTCTGCCCTTTCCCCCCCCCAAAAAAACTCCACCTGTGTGATTAAATCTCGAAACGCTTTGGTAAGATTAAGCCCACTTTGGGCACCCCAAATTTTAACCGCAGCCCCTGCAGGATTTAAGGGTTCTCTCCAGCAGGTCCCCCTTGAATTTGAGGGGGGAGGCGATTTGAGATATTGTCCCCTCCCACTCCAGGGTTAATGACCCCATTATTTCCCCCCCCCCCCCGGAATCTGCCCTCTGCCCAGTTGTGCATGTTTTTTTCTTCCTGGTTGCACACCGGAAGTCTACGCCTGTTCTCTTGTTTCAGGGGTCCCAATTTTGGCAACTTTAAGACACGTAGACTTCAATTCCCAGAATTCAGGAAGTTGAAGTCCATGCGTCTTAAAAGTTGCCCAGATTGGGAATCCCTGCTTTCTTTAGCCCGAGAGCAAGAAACTCCAGCCTGGGACAGATCTCCTGCAACACAACTATCGCGACGTACAGTGGGCGGAAGATGACAAAGAGGAATTAACACCTGTGCTGTGCTTTGTGACCTCACTGGGCCGGGTCACCCCCCCCCCGGGAAGATCCAGGAGGGTCTTTTGCTGGGACACCGGGCGAATCACCTGCCTGTCCTTCGGACTGCGAAGATGCCTCCCCCAAAAAGCTGCAGGGCCGAGCTACCAGGCTGAACTCAGCCTGCTGGGTTTGGAGAATTGAGCCAACAGGCTTCCCCAATGCAACCAAGGGAAAACGAAGGTGAACCAAGCAACGGGCTTTCCGTGCAAAACTTTGCATGGTTCAAAACAAAACAAAAAAAATACGGTTTTCTTCGGCTGATTTTCCTGAGACTGGCAAAAAGGCAACTACCTGGGTAACAGAAGTAGGAAGGGAGATTTTTCAAGAGAAACGCCCCCGGGTGAAGGTCGAGGGTCAGGAACGGACGGGGGAAGGAGGTCACTCAGGCTGTCCAGTTGCTCCTGGTTTCTCCTGGATCTCGCCCCCAGTCTCGGCAGCCCTGCCCATCGCTGCAAAGCGGCTGGCAGTCGTCGGGGTGGGCCGATGCCCCTCGGCGAGGGCGCCCCCCGGAGCCGAGGGTCAAGGGGGACTGGTGTCTCTTTGCCCGCTGGATAATTTCAGCTCGCTTTGGAGAGGGGGCTGCCCCAACGGCCAGATCTCTACCGATTCACCGAGTCTTTGGAGACTTTCCCGAAGAGGCATCTGGTCACTTTCTTCTGCTGTGGGGGCTCTTCCTTGGGGAGGGCTGAGCCTGGGCAGGGCCCCTCGTGGACTGTGACCCAGCTGGGGGTCTTCCCCAGCTGACCCCACTGGCCAAAGGCCAGGCTGCTCGGTGTCGCTGGACGTGGACCCGTCGTGATTGGAGTCTCCTGTTTTCTGATGGCCGACGGACATTCCACGCTCCGGCTGGGGTCTTCCCTCTGGTCCAGCGCCGCCTCCTCGCTGGATTTCCTGGGAAGCCGGGATTTGAACCGCCTGGTGGCAGAGGGGACAGGTGTCCTGCACGTAGAACCACTTGCGAAGGCAGCCCTCGTGGAAAAAGTGGCTGCAGGGCATGATGACGGCCAGGGTCATCTCCTGAAAATAAAGGCAGAAGGGGGGGGGAGGAGGAGACCTGAATTTGGAGGGGATGAATTTCGTCGACTTCCAAGAATTACAAATAATTCCTCTGGAACAAGGGTAGGCAACCTTAGCTCTTTTATGACTGGTGGACTTCAACTCCCAGAATTCCTGAGCCAGCATGGCTCAGCTTGGAAACCTCTCCCTTTCTCCTCAGCATGGCTGGCTCAGGAATTCTGGGAGTTGAAGTCCACGAGTCATAAAAGAGCCCAGGTTGCCTACCCCTGGCCTTGGCAATTGGAATATGGCTGGACTTCAACTCCCAGAATTCCTGAGCCAGCCACGCTGAGGGGAAAGGGAGAGGTTTGCAAGCTGAGCCGTGCTGGCTCAGGAATCCTGGGAGTTGAAGTCCCCAAGCCATGAAGGTGCCATAGTTCCCCCATGCTGGCTCATGAATTCTGGGAGGAAGTCCACGAGTCACAAAGCGGCCTAGGCCTAGGCCAGAGGTAGGCAACCTGGGCTCTTTTATCACTCGTGGACTTCAATTCCCAGAATTCCTGAGCCAGCCATGCTGAGGGGAAAGGGAGCGGTTTCCAAGCTGAGCCAGGCTGGCTCAGGAATTCTGGGAGTTGAATCCACGAGTCATAAAAGAGCCAAGGTTGCCTACCTCTAGCCTAGGCTTAGGCTGCTTAGTGACTCGTGGACTTCAACTCCCAGAATTCCTGAGCCAGCATGGTTCAGCTTGGAAACCTCTCCCTTTCCCCTCAGCGTGGCTGGCTCAGGAATTCTGGGAGTTGAAGTCCCCAAGTCATAAAAGAGCCAAGGTTGCCCAGCCCTGGTCTAGAATAAAGGTCTTGCCTATGCTGAATTTTAAGGCAGGGGTCCCGAATCCCCAAACTGGGGACCAGTACCGGCCCGCAGCCTGCCAGCAACTAGTCCCCACAAACAAGCCAAGCCCCATCCGTGGGATACAGGCAGCACACAAAAACACACACCCTCCGGTCTGTGGAAAAACCTCTCTCCACGGAACCGGTCCCTGGTGGCCAAAAATGTTGAGGGCCTCTGCTTTAAGGGATGCAGGTAGTCCTCGACTTACGACCGCAACTGAGCCTGACATTTCCGTCGCTAAGCGAGACAGTTGTTCACTGAGCTTTGCCCCGTTTTACGACCTTGCTTGCCACAGCCATTCAGCGAATCGCTGCCGCTGGTCAGTCAATCTCACGGCCGTTAAGTGAACTCGGCTTCCCCCATCAACTTCGCTCGTCAGACGGTCGCAAGAGGGAGGTCACGTGACACCCCCCCCCCCCGGGACGCTGCGACCGTCGTAAATACTAACACCTGAATTTAGATCGTGTGATCACGGAGGCCGCAAGTGTGCAAAACGGTCGTAACTCATTTTTTTTCCAGCTGTAACTGAACGGTCACTCAATGAACTGTCGTAAGTCGAGGACTGCCGGCAGATTGGCCAGCGGCCACTCCCAATTGGATTTTGAACAAACGCCGTAACTTGAGGCCTCTCTCTGCCTTCGTCCCATCGAATGCAAATTCAACAGACCCCCGGATCCTCGGCAGAGGAGTGAGCGAGGAGGAGGAGGAGGGTGGAGAATCCAGAGAGTCCTGGGAAGTCTAGGGAAATGCAGGAGTTGGGTGGGACCCCGGAGATCATCCATCAAAACTCCCTTCTCCAGGGTTGAAAACACCCCTCCCTCAGGCTATTGTCCTTCGGAGACGTTACGCTACATATCCCATCCTGCCCCCAGGTTTATAGGTCCCCGGTGTGTGTGTGTGTGTGTGTGTGTGTGTGTCTGGAGGTGGATGAAGCAACCAGTCCCACGTGTTAGGGGCGGAAGAGGCTCGCTCACCTGGAAGCAGATGGCGCAGAGGTCATTGTGGTCCCGCAGCTGCCCGGCGGTGGCCCTGGAGAGCAAGCTGATTTTCTTGGCCGCCTCCCAGCGGAGCGAGAAGCTCCTCCAGCCGGATCGGGCCCTGAGCCAGACGTTGAAGTAGCAATGGATGAGGATGACCGAGGCCCCCAGCCAGGTCCACTCCCCCGCGACGGACCCCCAGGTGCCGTAGGCCACCACGCACAGGGCCACCAGGAACTCCAGCGTCCGGCTGAGGGCGTGGACACCGTACAGGATCTCCTCCATCTTCTCCCAGGAGGTCCCCTGCAAGGGCTCCATCATGAAGAGGCCGTAGACGAAGAGGGTCCCCAGCACCTGCGAAGGGGGCAGGGAGCATAATAATACTGATAAAAATGATAACAACAATAATAATTGATAATAATTAATGATGATAATAATAATGTTGGAAGGGATCTTGGAGGTCATCTAGTCCAACCCCTGCTCAGGTACAGAAACCCTGTACCATTTCAGACCAATGGCTGTCCAGTCTCTTCTTAAAAACTTCCAGTGTTGGAGCATTCACCACTTCTGGAGGCAGGTTGTTAATAATAATAATAATAATAATAATAATAATAATAATAATAATAATAATAATAATAATAATAATAATAATAATAATAATAATATTACCAACCTGAATGTGGCATGGATTGACTACAAAAAGGCATTTGACTCTCTGCCACATGATTGGATAATAAAGTGCCTAGAAATAACAGGAGTCAGTAGAAACATCAGAAAATTTGTGCAAAGATCGATGGCACAATGGAAGACACAGTTGCAGATCAATGGTGAGAGGCTGGGAGAGGTTAATATCAAGAGAGGAATATTTCAAGGAGATTCATTATCACCATTACTATTTGTTATTGCACTGTTTCCTCTGTCAACAATACTGAATAACTCAGGACATGGCTATCAAACATCAAAAACATCTGCCAGACTATCCCACCTCCTTTATATGGATGATCTGAAGCTGTATGGAAAAACATCATCTGAAATAGAATCGCTGCTCAACACTGTCCGTATATATAGCCAAGATATTGTAATGGAGTTTGGCTTGGACAAATGTGCCACACTTACTATCAAACAAGGAAAAATAATGAAAACTGAAGGAATCAAGATGCCCCACGAAAATAACATTAAGAGTCTGGATGAGGAAGAGTACTACAAATACTTGGGTATCCTTCAAGCTGACAACATCAAGCACACTGAAGTCAAGAAAAAGATTAGAGGTGAATACATCAAGAGAGTGAAGAAGATCTTAAAATCCAAACTCAATGGAGGAAATACCATAAAGGCAATCAACACCTGGGCAATCCCAGTCATTAGGTACACAGCTGGAATAGTGGACTGGACTCAAGCAGAACTAAAAGCAATGGATAGGCAGACCAGAAAAATAATGACAATGAATCATGCCCTTCATCCACGCAGTGACATTGATAGACTTTATCTACCAAGGCAAATAGGTGGGCGTGGAATGCTACAAGTACATCAGATGGTTGAAGAAGAAAAAATGGCTTTGGAAGAATATCTGAAGAACAATGATGAAGATGCACTGAAATTAGTATATCAGGAAGGCTTACTAACTACTGGAGAGACCAAACTGGCCTTCAAGAAAGACCAAATGAAGAACAGAATAGAGGCATGGGAAGACAAAGCACTACATGGCCGATACATGAAAAAAATAGCTGGGAAAGCAGATAACAATAAAACCTGGCAATGGCTAAGAGCAGGAAAATTGAAGAAAGAGACCGAGGGACTAATTCTGGCTGCACAAGACCAAGCCTTAAGGACAAATGCATACAAAGTCAAAATTGAGAAGACAGCAACAGACAGTAAGTGCCGCCTATGCAAAGAAGCTGAAGAAACAGTGGACCACTTGGTAAGCTGTTGCAAGAAGATTGCACAAACTGATTACAAGCAGCGGCATGACAAAGTAGCAACAATGGTGCATTGGAAGATCTGCAAAAAATATCATTTGCCTGTAAGCAAAAACTGGTGGGATCATAAAATAGAGAAAGTCATAGAAAATGATAAAATTAAACTGCTCTGGGACTTCAGAATTCAAACAGACAAGCACCTGCAACATAACACCCCAGACTTAACAATTGTCGATAAGAAAGACAAAAAAGTCTGGATAGTGGACGTGGCAGTGCCTGGAGATAGCAGAATAGAAGAGAAAGAACTGGAGAAGATAACAAAATACAAAGACCTACAAATAGAAATAGAAAGACTGTGGCAAAAGCAAGCAAGGGTAGTACCAATAGTCATAGGCTCCTTGGGTGCAATCCCAAAACAACTGGAGCACCACTTGAACACCATTGGCATTGACAAATTCGCTATTAGTCAATTGCAAAAGGCAGCCTTATTAGGAACTGCTTCCATCCTGCGACGATATCTGTAATACCATCAACCATCCACATCTGCCTATCCCAGGTCCTGGGTAAGGACTCGATAGGTAGACAAAATGCCAAATCCAGTCTGAACATCTGGCTGACTGTGCGATGATTGATAATAATAATAATAAAAGTTGGGAGGGACCTTGGAGGTCATCTAGTCCAACCCCTGCTCAGGCGGAAACCCTTTACCATTTCAGACAAATGGCTGTCCAGTCTCTTCTTAAAAACTTCCAGTGTTGGAGCATTCACCACTTCTGGAGGCAGGTTGTTCCACTGGTGAATTGTCTTCACTGTCAGGAAGTTTCTCCTTAGTTCCAGGTTGCTTCTCTCCTTGATTGGTTTCCATCCGTTGCTTCTTGTCCTGCCTTCAGGGGCTTTGGAGAATAGCTTGACTCCCTCTTCTTTGGGGCAGCCCCTGAGATACTGGAAGGCTGCTATCCTGCCCCCCCTCGTCCTTCTCTTCATTAAACTAGACATCCCCAATTCCAGCAATCGTTCCTTATATGTTTTAGCCTCCAGTCCCCTAATCATCTTTGTTGCTCTTCTCTGCACTCTTTCTAGAGTCTCAGCATCTTTTTTACATCGTGGTGACCAAAACTGGATGCCGTATTCCAAGTGTGGCCTTACCAAGGCCTTGTAAAGTGGTATTAAGACTTCACGTGATCTTGATTCTATCCCTCTGTTAATGCAGCCCAGCACTGTGTTGGCTTTTTGGGCAGCTGCAGCACACGGCTGGCTCCTATTTAAGGACCAGTGCCCTTGTATCACTTCTCCGGCCACAGTTCTTAAGTGTAATTTTATTTTTTCTTGTTAACATTCCGATACAAACGCACAACACAAAATAAGAGGAATATCAGAGAAGGGAGAAGTGCAATATGCCCTGTAAGCAAGTCCTCCACTTACGACCGCAATGGAGCCCAACGTGATCGCTGGAGGTTTTTAAGAAGAGACTGGACAGAGGGTCTCCCTGCTTGAGCAGGGGGGGAGGGGGGTTGGGCTAGATGACCTCCACGGTCCCTTCCGGCTTTGTGGGGATCGATCTGGGGAAGGCCGAGCTGTACCTGCAGAGAGGTCAACAGGCAGCTGGAGATGAGGATCAGCAGCCAGAAGTCCAGCTGGAAGAAATGGGCGATCTTGTAGGCCATGAAGACGGGTGCCCCCAAGAGAAACAGGCAAAGGCTGACCCCACGGACGTGTTTCCAGAAATTCCTACAAGAAGGAAAAAAAAAGGGGGGGGGGCGTGGATAGACTCATGGATGGGGAGACCCCCCCCCAAACTCAGGTCCCTTGTGAACTCTGCACCCCAGCAGGGATCACGCTGGATCTAGATCAGTGGTTCTCAACCTGTGGGTCGGGACCCCATTTGGGGTCGAACGACCATTTCACGGGGGTCGCCAAACAACGCAGTCTGCCATTTTTTCCCCCCTTTTCCTTAGCTGTGCTACTCCCTTTTATTCTGTTGGCTTTTGAAAGCCAATAGAATAGACTCTCTTGAATAGAGTCTAATTCTATTGGCTTTCAAAAGCCAATAGGAACTGTCCAGGCTGTCTCTGCCCTGCTGAGCCCGCCAAAAGTCCCCTTCTGCAAACAGTGCTGCACCAGTGGAGTAGTCCTCGACTTACGACCGGTTGAGTAGTCCTCGACTTACGACCGGTTGGGGGTCACGGCATTAAAAAGGTTGAGAGCCACTGGTCTAGATGGCCCTCAAGGAGTGAAGGGGCGGGGGTCCCAGCAGATACAAGCAATCCTCAACTTACGACCACAACTGAGCCCAAAAATTATGTCGCTAAGCGATACCGCTGTTATAACCTTCCGTGACCCAGTCGCTTCCCCCACTGACTCGTCAGAACGTCACAAAAGGGGGAAATCATGTGATTCCGGGACACCGCGACCGACCGTCGTAAGTGTGAATCGCCAAGCGTTCCAATTTTGAACACCTGACCGGGGGTGGGTAGGTGGGCGGGAGATGCCGCAACGGTCGCTAAGGGTGAAAAAGTGGTCCCAAGTCCCTTTTCCCCCCCTGGTGCCGTCGTCATTTCGAACGGGGTCACTAAAAGAACAGTCGTACTGCCTTTGGGATGTAATTCCAAACGGTCGTAAGTTGAGGACCACTCGTGGATAACGCCCCCTCCTCCCCAGCGGCATGGATGACCCCCCTCTCCGGGAAGGAAAAGCCCCCCCCCCCTCACCTGCTCTGGGACGCCCCCAGCGCCAAGAGAAAGGGCTCGGCGATGTCGCTCATGGACTGCAACGTGGAGGTGGCCACGATGAAGAGGATGATGGTGAGCAGGTAGGTCCTCTGGAGGAGCTGCAGGCCCAAGAGGCCCGTCTGGATGGCCAGCAGCAGCAGCGTCACCCCTTCCGTCACGCCCCTGTGGGGTTGGGGGGAGCAGAAAGAGACAGACAGGGTGGGTCAAGTTGCCAGACAGCTTCGCAGCCGGGTTTTTTGCGGCTTGCTAGGTCCACCTGGTGAGACCTTCGCCTCCAGGTGTTCCTTGAGCGAGCCATACAGGTCGTCCCCCACTTACGACCGTTCATTTAGTGACTGTTGGCAGTCACAACCTCCCCGAAATGTCTTCAAGGGGGGGGGGAAACCCAGGAGGTCCAGTTGCCTTTTTGAAAAATGGCCTCCTCCGGGAGAGACACCGTTGCCCCTTGTGATGCAGGACGTCCTCGACTTACGACGGTTCAGTTAGCGGCCGTTGAAAGTTACACCGGTGTTTCAAAACAAATGACCGGTAAGCATTTTCCCACACTTCGCAGCCGTTGTAGCGTGTCTTCCCCCCCCCTTGGTCGTGTGGCCCAAATTCAGATGCGTGGCAACGGACTCGTACTTATGACGGTTGCGGTGTCTCAGGGGTTCGTGCGATCCCTTTAGTGGCCTTCCCAGCCAGCTTCCGAGAAGCCAAGTCGACGGGGGAAGCCGGACTCGCTTATATGACTGCGTGATTCGCTTAACGGCTTCAGCGATTTGCTTAACAGCTGCGGCAAAAAAAGGTCGTAAAATGGGACACTGCTTAGCCAGGGGCATTTGGGGGCTCAACTGTGGTCGTAAGTGGAGGACTACCTGGCGTGTTTTGACCGAGGGCTCGAAGAATTGGCTTAGCTGCGGGTCAAAACCTGGAAGAAAAGGGGGTGATCTGGGGGATGGAGAGAGGATATCCCAGGAATGGGGAGACACTGGACGGTCCTTCTCCCACCCCATGGATGATCGGGGGGGGGACAGTTTTGCCAGAGTTCTGCCCCCTCCTGCCCCAATAATTCCGGAAGGACGGCAGTTCCTGCCAACCAGGGGGAATGTGCTGGCGAGTCAGCAGGAGGATGTGGGGGGACCCTGTAGCCCCCCCCACCAGCCCCTGGGGGCTGCCACCTGTTTATAGGGCTACACTGAAAGATCAGTGGGTGCTCTTCCAGAGAGAGGAAGACAGAGAGAGAGAAAGAAGGAGAGGGAGAGAAGAAGAGAATGGAGAGAGGGAGGGAGGGAGAGAGTGAGGGAGGAGAAGAGAGGGAGGGAGGGGGAGAGAGCGAGGGAGAGGGAGAAGAGGGAGGGAGGGAGAAAAGGAGACAGAAAGAGGGAGAGGGAGGGGGAGAGAAAGGGGGAAAGGGAGAGAGGAAGAGATAAGGGGAAAGATACAGAGAGATGGGGAGAGGGAGAGGGAGAGGAAGAGATGGAGGGAAGAGAAAGGGAGGGAGAGTAAGCAAGGAGGGAGAAGGAGAAGAGAGAGGGAGAGAAGGGGAGAGAATGAGGGAGGAAAGGGAGGAAGGAGGCAGAAAGAGGGAGAGGGAGAGAGGGATAAGGGGGGAGAGAGATACACAGAGAGAGATGGAGAGAGGGAGGGAGAGAGAGGGGAAGAGAGACAAAGGGAAGGAGAAGAGGGAGAAGGAGAGGGAGAGAGAGAGAGAGGAGGGAGGGAGAAAGGGGGAGAGAGACAGAGAGAGGTGAGAAAGGGAGAGAGAGATACAGAGAGGATGGGGAGAGAGGGAGGAAAGGAGAAAGAGAGGAGGGGGACTAGAGAAGGAGAGTAGGAGAAGAAGAGAGGAGAGAAAGAGGGAGTGGGGATAGAGAGGAGAGAGAGGGGGAGACAGAGAGGAGAGAAAGAGGGAGAGAGGAAGAGATAAGGGGAGAGAAAGAAACAGAAAGATGGAGGTGGGGGAGAGGGAGGAAAGGAGAAAGAGAGGAGGGGGACTAGAGAAGGAGAGTGGGAGAAGGAGAGAGGAGAGAAAGAGGGAGCGGGGATAGAGAGGATAAAGAGGGGGAGACAGAGAGGAGAGAAAGAGGGAGAGAGGAAGAGATAAGGGGAGAGAGATACAGAGAGAGAGAGATGGAGGTGGGAGAGAGGGAGGGAGAGAGAAAGAGAGGAGAGGGGGACTAGAGAAGGAGCGTGGGGGAAGGAGAGAGAGGAGAGAAAGAGGGAGGGAGGGATGGAGGGAGAGGCTCTCACCTGTGCATGACGCTGCCCTCCTGGAAGGCACCAAAGCCGGTTAAGTACAGCTTGCCCAGCTGGAGCAGCCCCAGGGCCAGGTAGGAGACGGCGAAGGTGAGTCCGAGGAGCGAGTAGGGGGTGCTGCAGCACTTGGCCACGCTGGGAAGGCAGAAGACAAGACAAGATGGACTCCCAGGGCTGCCTCCGTTTTTGGACAGCAGCCCCCCCCCTCCCCAGGGCCCCCACCGAGCCCCGCCCAACTCCTGGCCTTGGAGCGGGGGGGGGGGGGTCAAAGCAAGACCCGTCTTTACAAGAGAAGGTATTTTTTTCCCCAAAGGCAGCCTTGTTTTTCCTTGTTTTTCTTTGAAGACGTTTCGCTTCTCATCCAAGAAGCTTCTTCGGTTCTGACCGACTGGTGGGGACCGGAAGGACCGATATTCCTCGCAGTCCTCTGGACGCTAGGATGGGTCAAGAGCCCAGCTGCCTTTTGGAAAAAAGCACCCTTGGGACCAGCCTGACCACAGATACCCAAAAGACCCCTTTGGCATCCTGGCTGGGAATTATGGACCAGAATCATTGGCTTGGAAGCCAGAAGTGCTCATCTTGAGGCAATGAGTTCCACCAGCTCCATTAAGTCAATTCCATGAGGAAATGCTCCCTTGTCTTGGCCTTGAACCCCCAGATGGGCCAAAAAAGACACTGTCAGTTTCCATCTGACCCCCCAAATAGATTCCCTGTACCTTCTCCCCTTTTCTCCTCCTCCCTTTAAAAAAAAGTTATGTATTTTCCTAACCCAGAATGAGCCAGAAAGATACAGGTGGTTCTCAACTTATAACCGTTCATTTAGTGACCAAAGTTACAACGGCGCTGAAAAAAGGGACTTATGACCATTTTTCACACTTAACGACCGTCGCAGCATCGCCAAAGGTCACACGATCAAAATTCGGACCCTGGGCAACCGGCTCCTATTTATAACGGTCGCAGCGTCCCCGGTGTTTGTGTGTGTGTGTGTGTGTGTGAGAGAGAGAGAGAGTGAGAGAGAGAGAGAGAGAGAGAATCAGAGACGTGATCCCCTTTTTACGACCTGACAAGCAAAGTCAATTGGGGGAAGCCAATTTCACTTAACGACTGCCGTGACTCAGGAACGATAGCAAAACAAAGTTGTAAATTGGGGCGCAACTCATTAAACAAGTCGACTTAGCAACGGACCTTTTGGGCTTCATTGTGGTTGTAAGGTGAGGACCACCTGTGTTCCTTTGGACCAGGGGTAGGCAAGCTTGGATCTTTTATGACTGGTGGACTTCAACTCCCAGAATTCCTGGGCCAGCCATGCTGAGGGGAAAGGGAGAGTTTCCAAGCTGAGCCAGGCTGGCTCAGGAATGCTGGGAGTTGAAGTCCACCAGTCATAAAAGAGCCAAGGTTGCCTACCCCTGGCGTAGGGTCACCTGCCTGAGCAGGGGGTTGGGCTAGAAGATCTCTGAGGTCCCTTCCGACTCTGTTATTCTTTTTTTCTTCACTTAGCATTGTCCATTTGCTAAGTTTGGCTCCCCTTGCCCAAACCGAAGGGGCCGAAGTGAGGAGGGGTCTCCAATGCTTCTCACAAGCTTTGGAGGGCAGGAGAAATGACGGGGATTTACAAGATGCTTTGGGGTGGAGACACCAAATCCGAGGATTACACACACACACACACACACACACACACACACACACAGAGAGAGAGAGAGAGAGAGAGAGAGAGAGAGAGAGAGAGAGAGAGAGAGAAAGAGAGAGAGAGAGAGAGAGAAGTGCAGCTCCTACCTGCTAAGGAAGACGAAGATCCACCCCTGCTGGGATAAAAAGTGGCCGGAGGAAGAGGAAGAGAAGGAGGCGGCCAAGGTGAAGATCTGCAGTGTGAACAGGACGAGCCAAAAGGCGGAGAAGACCAGCGGCACAGCCAGCCGCCGCCACAGAGACACGGCCAGCGTCACCAGCCGAAACGGTCCCGGATCCTGGAAAGGAAGGCACCCCCAGCTCAGGACGGGCTTGACTGACACCCGCCAGCATCCGATGGCAGCTGGCTGAGGGGGTGGAGGAGGCGAGCAGGCCGGGCAAAGCTCAGCCAGCACGACGACCCCGCGAGGCGGGCAGTTGAGAAGCCAGGCTGCTCTCTGGGGGAGGTGATGAGGTTCAGCCCCATGGGAGAAGCGTGATCTTTCCTGCCCCCTTGACCAGCCTTTGGTTGGGGGGAAACATTGAGACAAAGAGTTGGGGGGAGGTGTTTAAACTTTACAACTATCCCTTTCTTTTTCTTTCTTTCTTTCTTTCTTTCTTTCTTTCTTTCTTTCTTTCTTTCTTTCTTTCTTTCTTTCTTTCTTTCTTTCTCCTTCCTTCCTCTCCCTTTTTTTCCTTCCTTCATTCCATCCTCCCTCACTTTTTCTTTTCCTTCTTGGCAGTTTTCTTGAAAACGTTTCATGACCCAACTAGGAAACATCACCAGTTCCATCAGGGAGTGGGGGTTGCAGAGTGCAGGAGAGGAGGAGGAGGAGGGGGAAGAAGAAGAAGAAGAGGAGGAGGAGGAGGAGGAAGACTATGGGGTACTTGGTGCTCTCTGAGCTTGGTTGTTTCCTTGCAGACATTTCATGACCCAACTAGGGAACGTCATCAGTGCTACAAGGGAGAGGAGGAGGAGGAAGAGGAAGAGGAGGAGGAAGAGGATTGTGGGGTCTTTGGTGCTCTCTGAGCTTGGTGGTTTTCTTGAAGACGTTTCATGACCCAACTAGGAAACATCATCAATTCCATAAGGGAGTGGGGATTGCAGAGTGCAGGAGAGGAGGAGGAGGAGGAAGAGGAGGAGGAGGAGGAGGAAGAGGAGGAGGAGGAGGAGAAGAGGAAGAGGAGGAGAAAGAGGAGGAGGAGGAGGAAGAGAAGGACTGTGGGGTTTTTGATGCTCTCTGAGCTTGGTGGTTTTCTTGAAGACGTTTCATGACCCAACTGGGAAACCTCACCAGTTCCATAAGGGAGTGGGGATTGCAGAGTGCAGAGGAGGAGGAGGAGGAGGAGGAGGAGGAGATGGGCCTGCTAGGGAAGGGCAGGCCGAAGGGGGTCCCCTGCTTGCAGGCATCCCTCTCCCCCCCAACTTACCTGGAGGAACTCCCGGCATCCGGCCGCAGCTCTGCGGAGAAGCCCCCGGAGGTCGTCGGCTGCCCCGTAGAGGAGCTCCAGGGCCGCCACGGCTGCCCCACAGCGGCTGACGGTGGGCAGGGTCTGGGGAGGGAGGCAGCAGAGCCGGGCGGCCAGCGGGAGGAGGGGAGCGCAGAGCAGCCCCACCTGCCGGGTCTTCAGCAGCCGAGCGCAGAGGGCGACGACCGCGACCTGCCCTGCGAAGGAGGACGCAGAGGGAGAGAGGAGGCGTCTGGTCCACCCATTCCCCGTCCACGCTGGGCCACGGGGGGGGGGGGAGGGGAGCCCCCCCCGTTTCCTCCTGGGCTACCTTTTCCTCCTGCTGCCCCTCCCAGCAGCTGGAGGGTCCTCCGAGGTCATCCAGGCTGACCCAGGCTGCTCCCGGGTGGGGAGGTGGGGCCGGCCGGCATGGCGGTTGAGGCTCCGGGCAGGAAACTGGGGGGGGGGCTTCGAGTCTTAGGACACGGAGCCTGCTGGGTGAGCCTGGGCCAGCCATTCTCTGTCAGCTCCAAGGAGGATGCAATGGCAAATAGGAGCAGCTGCGGAAGGAGCTTGGCGAGGGAACTGCAGGCCAGGCGGTTGCCAGGAGCCAACTTTTCCTTTCTCTGCTTCCCCCCCTTCTTCCCTCCTCTCCCCTTTCTCTGCTTCCTTCCTTCCTTCCTTCCTTCCTTCCTTCCTTCCTTCCCTTAGTCCTCTAGCCATTCCATCCTTGTATATCCTCCCTCCCTCTCTTCTTTTTCGTCCCTCACCGTTTCCTTCCTTCCTCTTTCCCTTCTTCCTCCCTCCCTCCATCTCCTTCCTTCCCTCCTTCCCTTGTCTTTGTCCCTCCCTCCCTCCCTGTCTCCTTCCTACCTTTCTTTCTTTCCTTTCTTCCTCCCTCCCTTTTCTGTCCCTCCTCCCTCCCTCCCTCCTTCCCTCCCTCCATCTCCTTCCTTCCCTCCATCTTCCTTCCTTCCTTCCTTCCCTTTTATCCCTTCCTTCCTCCATCTCCTTCCTTCCTTCCTTCCTTCCTTTTCATCTCTTCCTCCCTCCATCTCCTTCCTTCCCTCCATCTTCCTTCCTTCCTTCCTTCCCTTTTTGTCCCTTCCTTCCTCCATCTCCTTCCTTCCTTCCTTCCTTCCTTTTCATCTCTTCCTCCCTCCATCTCCTTCCTTCCCTCCATCTTCCTTCCTTCCTTCCTTCCCTTTTATCCCTTCCTTCCTCCATCTCCTTCCTTCCTTCCTTCCTTCCTTCCTTCCTTTTCATCTCTTCCTCCCTCCATCTCCTTCCTTCCTTCCCTTTTTGTCCCTTCCTCCCTCCGTCTCCTTCCTTCCCTCCGTCTCCTTCCTTCCTTCCTTCCCTCATTTTCGTCCCTCTTTCTCTGTCTCCTTCCTAGCTTTCTTTCCTTTCTTCCTCCCTCCCTTTTCTCTCCTCCCCCCCTTCCTCCCTCCCTCCATCTCCTTCCTTCCTCCGTCTCTTTCCTTCCTTCCTCCCTTTCTGTCCCTCCATTTCCTTCCTCTTTCCTTTCTTCCTCCCTCCGTCTCTTTCCTTCCTTCCTTCCTTCCTTCCTTCCTTTTCGTCCCTCCCTCCCTCCGTCTCCTTCCTTCCTTTCTTCCTCCCTCCCTTTTCTCTCCTCCCCCCCTTCCTCCCTCCCTCCATCTCCTTCCTTCCTCCGTCTCTTTCCTTCCTTCCTCCCTTTCTGTCCCTCCATTTCCTTCCTCTTTCCTTTCTTCCTCCCTCCGTCTCTTTCCTTCCTTCCTTCCTTCCTTCCTTCCTTTTCGTCCCTCCCTCCCTCCGTCTCCTTCCTTCCTTTCTTCCTCCCTCCCTTTTCTCTCCTCCCCCCCTTCCTCCCTCCCTCCATCTCCTTCCTTCCTCCGTCTCTTTCCTTCCTTCCTCCCTTTCTGTCCCTCCATTTCCTTCCTCTTTCCTTTCTTCCTCCCTCCGTCTCTTTCCTTCCTTCCTTCCTTCCTTCCTTTTCGTCCCTCCCTCCCTCCGTCTCCTTCCTTCCTTTCTTCCTCCCTCCCTCTCTTTCTGTCCCTCCATTTCCTTCCTTTCTCTTTCCTTTTTCCCCCCTCCCTCCTTTCTCTTTCCTTCCTTCCTTCCTTCCTTCCTTCCTTCCTTCCTTCCTTCCTTCCTTCCTTGTCTCCTTCCTTCCCCCCCCCCTCCGCTCTTTCCCCCCCAGATTCTGCCTGAGCAACCCCTGAGCCCTCAGCAGTTCCCAACAACAGGGAGCCAAGGAAGGCCATCAGGAGACCCCTCCCCAATCAGCAAGCCCCCTCCCGCCCCCATTCCTCACCAGTCAGCGCAGTGGCAAAGTGCCCAAGGGCCACCGGGTCCTCGTAGATGGCGCCCTGGAATCCCCGCTCCACCTCATGGTCCAGGTAGTCCCTGGAAGCCGGCGCATGTCATTAAGAAGTTCAATGCATCAATCAAAAACAGCCCTGCGAGGTAGGCTGGGCTAAGGTGAGCCACGTGCCTGGCGCCCGGCCAGAGGGGGATCTCCCCACTCCTCCTCCCGCGGGCTTTCCTCCCAGAGGTGGGGCGGGGGGGGGGCGGCGGAGCGGCCCACTTACCAGGCGGCCTGGTGGGCCAGGTAGAGCAGTAGTAGCGCCACCAGGCGGAGGTAGAGCTGCACCAGGGAGCAGAGGGGGAGTAGCACCACCACCAGGCACAGCAGGTGGCCTAAGGAAAAAGGGGGCGGGGAAACGGGGGGGGGAGAGAAAGTTGCATTTCGAACGTTTTATTTTAATTCTCGCTTTTATCTCGTCACAAAGCAAACCGTCTCTTCCGCAGCGAGATGGGCGGGGGGGGGGGTGTACGTTTCAGGAATAAATATGGGGAGGCGGGGTCCGCCACACGAACACAACCGAGCCCGACCTTTCTGTTGCTAAGCGAGACAGGCGTTGAGCGAGCTTTGCCCCGTTTTGCGTTAAGTGAGTCGCTGCAGTGGTTAAGCCAGTCACGCGGTCGTTAAGCGAATCGGGCTTCCCTTCCCCCCCCCTTGACTTTGCTCGTCAGGTCGCAAAAGGGGATGATCACATGACCCCCCCCGGGGCAGACTGCGACCGTCACAAATGCGAATCAGTTGCCAAGCCTCCGAATGTAAATCACGTGACCACGGGGGAAGGTGCTACAATGGCAGTTAAGTGAGATAAATGGTCGTAACTCTGTGGTGACTCCGAACGGTCACTAAGCAAGCTGTTGTTAAATCGAGGGCTACCTATATAGCAATGTTGGGGGCACAAATGTGAGCGACACGCCCCCCTTCTTTCCCTTGGACCCCCTGGGGTACCAGCGGCTGTTCCTGCCACTCACCCCCAGCCCGGACCCCCCCGCCTCATTTCCCAGGTAGAGGTGTGTGTGTTGTGTGTGTGTGATATAGAGAGACCCCTGTCCCATTTCCCAGGTAGAGGGGTGTCTGTGTTTGTGGGTGTGAGTGAGAGAGAGAGACCCCCCACCCATTTTCCAGGTAGATGTGTGTGTGTGTGTGTGTGTGTGTGTGAGAGAGAGAGAGAGAGAGAGAGACCCCCACCCCATTTCCCAGGTAAAGGGCTGTGTTTGTGGGTGTGTGAGAGACCCCCACCCCATTTTTCAGGTAAAGGTGTGTGTGTCTGTGTAGCTGTGTGTCTGTGTGAGAATGAGAGACCCCCACCCCATTTTCCAGGTAGAGGTGTGTGTGTCTGTGTAGCTGTGTGTCTGTGTGTGAGAGAGAGACCCCCACCCCATTTTCCAGGTAGAGGTGTGTGTGTGTGTGTGTGTGTGAGAGAGAGAGAGAGACCCTCACCCCATTTCCCAGGTAAAGGGCTGTGTGTGGGTGTGTGAGAGACCCCAGCCCCATTTCCCAGGTAGAGAATGTGTGTGTCTATGTATCTTTGTGTGACTCCCGCCCCCATTTCCCAGGTAGTGTATCTGTATGTGACCCCCATCCCATTTCGCAGGGAGTGTGTGTGTGTGTGTGTGTGTGTGTGTGTGTATCTTTGTGTGACCCTCACCCCATTTCCCAGATAGAGGTATGTATGTGTCTGTGACCCCCATTTCCCAGGTAGAGAATGTGTGTGTCTGTGTATCTGTCTGTGTGTTTATGTGTGTGACCCGTGCCCCATTTCCCAGGTAGAGGGGTGTGTGTGTGTGTGTGTGTGTGTGTGTGTAGTTGTGCGTGTTGGGGGGGCAGCCCATCCTTCCCCCGGTCCAGCTGTGTCCCCTAGTCCCCCCTCCCCCTCCATTCCCGCCTGGAGTCCCCCCTGCAGCTCTCCCGGGCCCCTCCTGCGCCCCATGGGAGGTGGAGTCCCTCTCCCCTCCCCCCGGCACCGCCTGCGGGAGAAAGTGCGTCCCGCGGGCTCTCCGGGTGGTGCCCTTTCCGCGCCCTCACCGGCGTAGTAAAGGCTCCACAGGCGGCCGCTCGGCAGCTGAAGCCGCCCCGCCAGGGGGCGCCCCGCGTCGGCGAAGGCCTGCACGTCCCACCGGTAGAGCAGGTCCAGCAGGACGACGGGCGGCAGCCGCAGCACCACCTCGGCCAGCCGCTCCAGCCAGCCGGGCATGGCGCGGGGTCTGAAACCCCCGGCCGCCCCCTCCCCCGCCGCGCTCCGCCCCCCGGCCGCGTCCCGCGCTTCGCCGGAAGGCGCGGCGGCCATCTTGGATCAGGGCACGCCCGGGTGGTTTTTTTTTTTTTGTTTTTTCCTTCCCGCTCCCTCAGGCGCCACGTGGCGGCGCGGTGGCGCAATTTCCGCGCGCCGCCATGTTTAGTGAGGGCGCGGGAGAAGGGTCGCTCCTTCCGGGACTCCTCCTCTGCCTTCTCCTCCTTGGGCGCCCTCTGGAGGGCATGGGAGGAAACGGCCGTTGACCGCCAGCTGGGTTGGACTAGCGGGCCTCTGGAGGTGCCTTCCAGCCTCAGGATCCGATGAAAAGCGCCGAGATAGACAACGCAGACATATCCAGAGATAATCAGGGAGTTGCAACCTTTATAAATGAAATCAGGGCCACGCAATGAAGAATCTGGCAGGGGTAGGCATCCTTGGCTCTTTTATGACTCGTGGACTTCAACTCCCAGAATCCTTGAGTCAGCCATGGTGAGGGGAAAGGGAGAGGTTTCCAAGCTGAGCCAGGCTGGCTCAGGAACTCTGGGAGTTGAAGTCCACGAGTCATAAAGTGGCCTAGGCCTAGGCCAGAGATAGGCAACCTTGGCTCTTTTATGACTGGTGGACTTCAACTCCCAGAATTCCTGAGCCAGCATGGCTCAGCTTGGAAACCTCTCCCTTCCCCTCAGCATGGCTGGCTCAGGAATTCTGGGAGTTGAAGTCCACAAGTCATAAAAGAGCCAAGGTTGCCTATCTCTGGCCTAGGCCTAGGCTGCTTTATGACTCGTGGACTTCAACTCCCAGAATTCCTGAGCCAGCATGGCTCAGCTTGGAAACCTCTCCCTTTCCCCTCAGCATGGCTGGCTCAGGAATTCTGGGAGTTGAAGTCCACCAGTCATAAAAGAGCCAAGGTGGCCTACCCCTGGCCTAGGCCTAGGCCGCTTTATCACTCATGGACTTCAACTCCCAGAATTCCTGAGCCACCATGGCTCAGCTTGGAAACCCTCCCTTTCTCCTCAGCATGGCTGGCTCAGGAATTCTGGGAGTTGAAGTTCACCAGTCATAAAAGAGCCAAGGTTGCCTACCCCTGCGCTAAGCTATCGGTTGATTTGTGGTCTAGTATTGTTTGGGTCCCATGAACTCTGGCTCGATGTGAGGTTTTAACAGGAGTTTCTGACTGCAGCCTTCCAGTATTTGAGGGGCTATCACAAAAAAGAGGAGGGAGTCAACATTCTCCAAAGCCCCTTGTCAGAAGTCTTCATCCTGGTTCATCCAAGCCGGGGATAAATAAGCAACATGGCGACTGCTTTGGGAAGAAGGTTACAGTTTATTGAAGAAGCAGCAAGATGGTCCTTGCAAGAAAGAGTAGAGGAGAGGAAAGAGAGGTTGAGCATATGCGCAGTAGGTTTTTCTACCCCCTCTAGCCTTGTTTGGAATAGTTTCCTGTTCCTGTGGCATGAACCTTGAGGCTGTTTCTGAGTGTTTCTCTAGGCCTTGATATCTGTGGTTTAATCCTATTATCATATCCTGCTTCCCAGGTGATGGAGCTAATGACTCCTAGAGTTTGGGTGGGGTATGCAGATCTTCTCTTTTGTCTTCTTGATTGCTCTGGCTCCAACTTTCTGATGGTTTTACATCTGCATTTGTATGGGGCTAGCTCTTGCTTGGGGCAGAGAGATAGATTTGGGGCCACTGAAGGCAGGAGAAGAAGCAACAGATGGAAACTCATCAAGGAGAGAAGCAACCTGGAATTCAGGAGCAATTTCCTAAGAGTGAAGACAATGAACCAGTGGAACTGCTCGCCACCAGAGGTTTTGGGTGCTCCATCACTGGAGGTTTTTAAGAAGAGACTGGACAGCCACTTGTCTGAACCGGTGGCGGGTCTCCTGCTTGAGCAGCGGTTAGATTATTAGAAGACCTTCCAGCTCTAATTTGATGGATTGAAATGGAGCAAAGAATCAAAGTTGATTATTCAGGAGACGCCTGGGATTCCTTGCAGCCAAGAAGGCTCCACACCCGTTTGCACTACTCGGGTGACCGCGGACGACACAGAAAAAGCTCCAGGTGGCCTCAACGACTCTCTGAAAGAAGGCAAATGACCAGATGTCTGCAAGGAGCATAAATCCTCCCGTTCCTCCCCATCCACTCAGAGCTGAAGAAGTTTCTGGGATGAGAAGCGAAACGTCTTCAAAGGAAAACAAGAAAGTCCAGTTGCCTCTTGAAAAGAAAAGCCCAGATCAACAGCCATTCCCAAATCCTGCCTCCCTCCTTCATGTTTGCGAACAACCTTGACCTGGAGGACAATAGTAAATGTCATGTTTTTATGCAGCCAGGAGGTGGCGCCAAAGCCTTTCCTATGATAAAAGACCTCTATGGCAAGGGTAGGCAACTTTGGCTCCCAGAATTCCTGAGCCAGCCATGCTGAGGAGAAAGGGAGAGGTTTTCAAGCTGAGCCATGCTGGCTCAGGAATTCTGAGAGTTGAAGTCCACCAGTCATGAGGGGGCCTAGGCCTAGGTAGGCAAGCTTGGCTCTATTATGACTGGTGGACTTCAACTCCCAGAATTCCTGAGCCAGCCACGCTGAGGGGAAAGGGAGAGGTTCCCAAGCTGAGCCAGGCTGGCTCAGGAATTCTGGGAGTTGAAGTCCACAAGTCATAAAGGAACCAAGGTTGCCTTCCCCTAGCCCAGGCCTCAACCTTGCAATTTTAAGGCTGTGGACTTCAACTCCCAGAATTCCTGAGCCAGCCATGCTGAGGAGAAAGGGAGAGGTTTTCAAGCTGAGCCATGCTGGCTCAGGAATTCTGGGAGTTGAAGTCCACCAGTCATGAGGGGGCCTAGGCCTAGGTAAGCAAGCTTGGCTCTTTTATGACTGGTGGACTTCAACTCCCAGAATTCCTGAGCCAGCCACGCTGAGGGAAAGGGAGAGGTTCCCAAGCTGAGCCAGGCTGGCTCAGGAATTCTGGGAGTTGAAGTCCACAAGTCATAAAGGAACCAAGGTTGCCTTCCCCTAGCCCAGTGTTCTCAACCTTGACAATTTTAAGGCATGTGGACTTCAACTCCCAGAATTCCACAGCCAGCAATGCTGGCTGTGGAATTCTGGGAGTTGAAGTCCACATGCCTTAAAATTGTCAAGGTTGAGAAACACTGCCCTAGCCTATAGAGCCCTGTCTTCCTTCTTTGTGCCTAGCAAATTTGGGATTTCTAGACCAGGGAAAGAGGATCTGGTGAGGGTTGCGGTGTCGCTTAAATCATTCCAAATACCAGGACAGGCAGTTCCTGAATCACAGCCATTTGTTTAGTGACCATTCAAAGTTACGACGATACAAAGAAAGGACCGTTTTTCACACATGCAACCGTTGCCCCGTCCCTGTGTTCATATGATCAAAATTCAGATGCTTGGCAGCTGGCTTATATTTATAACGGTCGCGGCAACCTTCTGGCAAACAGAGTCAATGCGGAAGCCACTTAACGGCCTTGTTAACAACTGCAGTGATTCATTCAATCAATCAGAATAGAGTCCGAAGGGACCTTGGAGGTCTTCTAGTCTGATCCCTTGCTCAAGCAGACAAGAGGCTGTCCAGTCTCTTCTTAAAAACCTCCAGTGGCAGAGCACCCACGATTTCTGGTGGCAAGCTGTTCCACTGGTTGATTGTCCTCACTGTCAGGAAGTTTCTCCTTAGTTCCAGGTTGCTTCTCTCCTTGATGAGTTTCCATCCATTGCTTCTTGTCCTGCCTTCAGGCGCTTTGGAGAAGAGCTTGACTCTCTCTACTTTGGGGCAACCTCTGAGATACTGGAAGACTGTTTTCATGTCACTAGTCCTTCTTTTCTCTAGACTGGCCATTCCCATTTGGGGTTGAACGACCATTTTATGGGGGTCGCCAAGCAAGGCTGTCTGCCATTTTTTCCCCCTTTTTTTGGCCACACTCCTGGCACCCGGTGATGTATAAGTGGTTGGGGGTCACCACAACATGGGGAACTGTATTATGGGGTCGCGGCATTAGAAAGGTTGAGAACCACTGTCCTAAGGGGAGTCTGGAGGAGCAGGTGGAGACAAAGATGGATGCGCTTCTCCCTCTTCGCGTTCTCCCAGCCGTGTACACCCCAACAGAGTGAGAACATCTGACGGGGCTTCCCAGGAGATTCCAACGAGGTTAAGAAATTCATTAATACAATGTAAGAACTTCTTCGGAGTAAAAAACAACAACACCCCCCCCCCAGCCGTTCTTAGCTACGCAGAAGGAGGTTTGTAGAAGAAGAAAAAAAAACCCCGCAAAACAAACAAGGATTGTTAAAAGGCCATCGTGTTAAAATCTGTGCTGCATTTTTTTTTCAGCGGTTCCACGCTGGGCTTTCGTGGGGGGGGGGGTCAGGATTTGATGGAATACACTGGAGGTGTTTGCAATGTCCCAATGAATTGTAACGTTTACACACGCTCTCAGATTCGGCTGGTGGGCCCACGTTCGCACCTTCCCAGCCCAGATCAACAGCCACACACACACACAAATCACGTTGAACTCCACGCTAAATCAAAACTGGTGCTTTTACAGTAGAGAGAGATGGAGAGGGTTTAAAGCAGTGGTTGTCAACCTTTTTAATGCCGCGACCCTCAACCGGTTGTAAGTCGAGGACTACTCAACTGTCGCAGCACCGTTTGCAGAATGGGGCTTTTGGCGGGCTCAGCATTGGAAAGCCAATCGGATTAGACTCTATTCAAGAGAGTCTATTCTATTGGCTTTCAAAAGCCAATAGAAGAAAAGGGAGTAGCACAGCTAAGGAAAAGGGGGGAAAAATGGCGGACTGCGTTGTTTGGCGACCTCCGTGAAATGGTCGTTCGACCCCAAATGGGGTCCTGACTCACAGGTTGAGAACCGCTGGTTTAAAGCAAGAGCAAAACTTTATTGGTTGCAATACACACACACACACACACACACACACACACACACACACACACACCACACGACCCTGTCTTTCTAAACTAGGCTGGCAGGCACTGAGCAGCCTCCAAGTTTGGACTTGGCAGAGAATACAGAAAAGAGAGATACTTTTTTCATTTTTTTTTTACTAGCTCTTTAAGTCGCCAGATAAGACAATGCTTTTATCTACAAAAAAAAAAGAGAAGTCAAAGTCCTGATTGGGGCTACTGGTTTTTAAGTGGCAGTTTTATCGGGTTTTTTTTTTTGTATTCTCACCGAGTTGATCAAAAATTACCCGTCTCGGCCCATCATTCGGCCAAGAGCTAGGACATCCACCTCAGCTCTGGAGACTTCTTGCAAATGCCCTTCTGGGGTTCCTCACACGGATAATTTATCCAGCATTTATAAAGGGTTGGACATCTGCTGCTCATGAGTACACACTGGTTGTCCTCCGGAAGTTGTGGAAATCCATCAACCCAGTACCTGAAAAGGACAAGCAACAGCTATCAATCCGCCACAAAAAAAAAAAAATAAGCAACTTTTAACAGAATAACAGAGCTGGAAGGGACCTTGGAGGTCATCTAGTCCAACCCCCTGCTCAGGAAGGAAACCCTATACCATTTTGGACAAATGGCTGTCCAGCCTCTTCTTAAAAACCTCCAGTGTTGGAGCATTCACCGCTTCTGGAGGCAGGTTGTTCCACTGATTAATTGTTCTAACTGTCAGGAAGTTTCTCCTTAGTTCTAGGTTGCTTCTCTCCTTAATGAGTTTCCATCTGTTTCTTCTTGTCCTGCCTTCAGGCGCTTTGGAGAACAGGTTGATACCCCCCATCTTTTTTTGCATCAATGAAGGAGAATATTTGAAATGAGGGTTGCATTGCGGGGTCCTTGGTGCTCTCGGAGGTCAAGAGTGGTTTTTTTTTTTTTTTTGCAGACATTTCATTACCCAACTAGGTAACAGCACCAGTGCTAGAAGAGAATGGGGTTTGCAAAGAGGAGGAGGGTGGAGGGGGAGGAGGAGGAGGAGGAGAATGACCAGGGTCTTTGATGCTCTCTGAGCTTGGTTGGTTTCTTGCAGACATTTCATGACCCAATTAGATAACATCATCAATGCTTAGAAGGGAGTGGAGTTTCCAGAGAGGAGGAGGAAGAGGAGGAGGAGAAGGAGGAGGAGGAGGAGAAGGAGGAGGACGACAACTGTGATGATGGCTGTGGGTTCTTGATGGTCTCTGAGCTGGTTTGTTTTCTTTTAGACATTTCACGACCAAACTAGATCCTTTACACAAACATCCCCCCTTCCTTCTAGCACTGATGGTGTTACCTAGTTGGGTCATGAAACATCTGCAAGAAAACCACCCAGCTCAGAGAGCACCAAGGACCCCACAGTCCTCCTCCTCCTCCTCCTCCTCCTCCACTTTCCTACAATCCATTCCCTTCCATTACTGAGGATGCTACCTACAGTAAATGCTGGCATACAAGGCGACCCGGCGTATAAGACGACCCCCGTCTTTATAGCCGGGCTGCATTCCTAGAACGTCGTCTTATACGCCGGAAACTACCAGTATTTCCGGCGTATAAGACGACTCGGCATATAAGATGACCCCCGTCTTTGGTGCCGATTTCAGCGCTCGCGGAAGTCGTCTTATACGCCGGCATTTATGGTACTTTGGGTCATGAAACATCTGCAAGAAAATCACCAAGTTCAGAGAGCACCAAGGACCCCACAGTCCTCCTTCTTCCCCTTCTTCCATAAGTCCCACTCGCTTCTAGACACTGATGATGTTACCTAGTTAAGTAATGAAATGTCTGCAAGAAAACCACCCAGCTCAGAGAGCACCAAGGACCCCACATTATTCCTCCTCCTCCTCCTCCTCCTCCTCCTCCTCCTCCTCCTCCTCCTCCTCCTTTCTAACGATGTTCCCTAGTTGGGTCATGAAACATCTGCAAGAAAACCACCCAGCTCAGAGAGCACCAGGGACCCCACACATTGCATCATCTGCCTTCTCCCCCAGATGTGAAGCCTTTCCAAACTATAGAGAAACTTAAATGATACACTTACGTGGGATAGGCTGGAACTTCGGGGTTGTGCCAGACAAATTTATTCTCCTTGGCATGATACCTGTATCCAATCCAGAAGCTGCCATATCTGGAGGCAACTAATGTTCCTAAAAACTCCTGGAAAAATGAAATTCTTAGGGTGAATAACGCAGAGTGATTCTCACCTGGAACATTTGCAAAATCGGAGCCCGCACAGAATCATCAGTGGAGGAATTCGTAGAAGCAGAAATACAATCCATAATAGGGTATTACGTAGAAAAGAGTGAGATATGTCAGGTTACTGAAGCAATGCAACAATTAGGAGGAACCAAGGAGAAGCTTGTGTGTAATCTGTCCCCCCCCTATAATTTTATCAAGGATTATATCAAACAAGTAAGAATAATACAAGCCTTAAAACAGAAATACATAATAAAATACATACACACACACAGAACATTTTTAAAAAGTGCAAGAAAAAAGCTCAAAATAATAATACATACAAATAATTAAACATGAAAGCTAACTATAAATTAATCCATTGCACCCCAAAATAACAACCATCGCCCAATCCCATTAAAAAAACAAAACAAAACTTAGGCATCACCAGAGATAAGCAAATTAATTTTATATTCTTTCTATCCGCAATATTTAAGTCCCACAAATAAAATTCCAATAGCTGTTCTCTTGTAACCTCTTTTGTCTTTTCTCTCGAAATTCTTGCCATCTGTATCAAAATCCTTTTGTAGGTCCAGAAAATTAGCTTCAGTAAATCTCTTATAGTCCAATATAAAAAACAAAATAAAATAATCCGCATCGCTTTTTTGGTTTATTATTTATATCTCTTTTTAATTTTTAAGGCATAACACAATTCATTTGTAAATCCAGTTATTTCCATTCTTCCTTACAAGTTGTAGTTTTTAAAATCCACCTTAAAGTCCATTTTGATTTTATTTAGTGGCACTTTTTGAGTAATAACTTTTGGTTCTGTTACAGAGCTACGTAGCTCAAGATCATCTTTGACCCAAGCATTAAACATTTCGTTTAAAGCATTAAAGAGAACATCTGGTGTCCTTTAGTCTCCAAACATCAGCATCTTGTTATCAGCTCATAAACAAAGAAATATTTTCCCATAAGAGAGGATCCTTTTAATTAACAGAATAGCAGGGTTGTTGGAAGGGACCTTGGAGGTCATCTAGTCCAACCCCCTGCTCAGGCAGGAAACCCTATACCCTTTCAGACAAATGGCTGTCCAGTCTCTTCTTATAAACCTCCAGTGTTGGGGCACCCACAACTTCTGGTGGCAAGCTGTTCCACTGGTTAATTTTTCTCATTGTCAGGGAACTTCTCCTGAGTTCTAGGCTGCTTCTCTCCTTGATAAGCTTCGATCTGTTGCTTCTCGTCCTGCCTTCTGGTGCTTCGGAGAAGAGAGGCCAGGAGTAGGCAACCTTGGCTTTTTTATGACTTGTGGATTTCAACTCCCAGAATTCCTGAGCCAGCCTGGCCTAGCTTGGAAACTCTCCCATTCCCCTCAGCGTGGCGGGCTCAGGAATTCTGGGAATTGAAGTCCACGAGTCATAAAAGAGCCAAGGTTGCCTACCTCTGGCCTAGGCTGCTTTATGACTCGTGAACTTCAACTCCCAGAATTCCTGAGCCAGCATGGGGTAACCATGGCCCCTTCATGACTTGTGGACTTCAAGTCCCAGAATTCCTCAGCCAGCATGGCTCAGCTTGGAAACCTCTCACTTCCCCTCAGCATGGCTGGCTTAGGAATTCTGGGAGTTGAAGTCCACCAGCCACGAAGGGGCCATAGTTCCCCCATACTGGCTCAGGGTGTCCCCCCTCGTCCTTCTCTTCATTAAACGAGACGTACCCAATTCCAGCAACCGTTTTTTGTATCTTTTATCCTCCAGTCCCCTCATCATCTTTGTTGCTCTTCTCTGCACTCTTTCCAGAATCTCAACATCTTTTTTATATTGTGGTGACCAAAACTGGGTGCAGGATTCAAAGGGTTGAGCCCTCTCTTGCACCCCTGGCTTGAAAGCCCGAGGACAGCTTTCAATCAGCTCTCTTGCTATCCAGAGGTTCTCCAGAGACCATTGATTGCAGGAGAGGGATCCGCGGTGGGCACGGACGGTTTGAGGCTGGTGTCCTTTTCTGCCAAATGAAGGCCAGGCTGAGGGTGGGGACAGAGCGAAAGCCGAAGGATACCACCACAAAATCGGTTCCATCAGGGAAGGGAGAAAAACAGCACACTTACTTGCTCGTCCCTATCTCGAACGGACACAATTTCAGCTCGGAGGCTAATACAGCGGTTGACCCATTTCTCCTGCTGAAGCATCTGGTCCCCAAAATAATAAATTTTGCCTCTGTAGATTATCCAGTCTTTGGAGAGCTTGCCTTGGAGGTCCTCTTTGAGCCAAATCGTGATTTTGACGTGGGGAGAGAAAAGAGAGGGGAGTTGGGGGGGGGGTAGAATACCCACACAATTTAAAAGAAGCAAAGTTAGGTTAATATTTTCAACCTAATTTATTGAAACGTGTTATTTTTTTTAAATGCCATCCCTCTAGCCTTAAAATTGTCAAGGTTGAGAAACACTGGGCTAGAGCAGTGGTTGTCAACCTTTTTAATGCCGCGACCCCCAACCGGTCGTAAGTCGAGGACTACTCAACCGGTCGTAAGTCGAGGACTACTCAACCGGTGCAGCACCGTTTGCAGAATGGGACCTTTGGTGGGCTCAGCAGGGCAGAGACAGCCTGGACAATTCCTATGGGCTTTGGAAAGCCAATAGAATTAGACTCTATTCAAGAGAGTCTATTCTATTGGCTTTCAAAAACCAATAGAATAAAAGGGAGGAGCACAGCTAAGGAAAGGGGGGAAAAATGGCGGACTGCGTTGTTTGGCGACCCCCGTGAAATGGTCGTTGGACCCCAAATGGGGCCCCGACCCACAGGTTGAGAACCACTGGTCTAACTCTAGCAACGTGCCCAGTTTTGTGTCTTGTGTGTTTGTGCTTTGTATCTTTGACTCGTGGACTGCTTTCCTGGACTTCGTGTGTGCTCATGGGACTCAGTTATCCAATGACTCTTTCCGTGCTAAGCTCAGAATCCAAACCTGCGCAATGTGGCTGCGTTTCTGTTTGTGTGTGTGTGTGTGTATTGAATAAACACCTGTAGAACGCCCGCTGTACGTACATGTGTGTGGGTGAGGGAAGCGTGGCAACTTACCAAGCGCACCTTCAAGTTCTTGATGCTTTATAGACAACACCGCCAAAGGTACGGTCAACTTTTCAGCCTCCAGAATCAGATCGGTATCTGAAACGTGTGTGGCAAGAGCACCGCTTCAGATCTCGACGGATCAAAATGGTTATTAGTTTATCGAAGCATAAAAATACGAAATGCGTACGAAGAAAAACGGAAATAGAGGCCAAACAAGGGAGGAGAGAAAAGTCTAGGGCAGAGGGGAGGGAAAAGCAAAAAAAAATAAAAAAGCATTGACTTCCTTTTGGCGCAGTGGAATAAGGTAATGTAAGTAGCCCTCAACTTTTAACAGTTCATTTAGCGACTGTTTGAAGGCACTGGAAAAAAGTGACATTTTTTTCACACCGTTGCAGCATCCCCCCCCCCGCCTATGGTCACGTGATTTATATGTGGATGCTTGACAGCGGATTCATATTTATGACGGTTGCAGTGTCCCGGGGTCATGTGGTCACCTTTTGCAACCTTGCAAAGGAGAAGGAGGACATGATATGTACACATGAAGCAAGAACAGGGATGAGGAAGACTTAAAGGAGCAACTTGTGACTTTTCCTATGGGCTTCCAGTACGTGACCAGTAGTGGGATTCAGCCAGTTTGCAACAGTTCGCTAGGACCGGTAGCTAATTTTTTCCTGCCCAGGCCCAGAACGGACTTCCGGAAGTGGCATCCATGCCGAGAACTGGTGGTTCACCTATTTGAATCCCACTGTCACATGTTCCGACTAATGAAGCACTTCAAAGAACTTTCAGGAATGTTTCCTAAAATCTTTATTGCAAGAGCTACAGTTTTGCCGGTCACCATGATGGACTGGTTGATGCCAGAATCTGAACTTCCTGTCGCTGGCATCAAGCTTTCCTTGCTCAACCCCTCCCTTCTCATGCAGTCACAGGTCACATTATCCAATTAGTGAGAAGGTCAAACGTTTACTTCCTCTTTCTTTCCCGGGCTTTCCCCCCCCCCCCGCCCAGTCTAAGCTAAGTATTAACCCAATAAATGCCAGACAGTTTTGCATATTGTCAAAGCAAGAATATACAGTATTTGCAGCATTGACACCCACCACTGCACGTGACCCTGGGATGCTGCAATAACCGGTTGTAAGTGCAAGACAGCTGCCAGTGCCCCATTTTTGTTCATGTGACCCCGGGTGAGATTACGCTGAAGTGGCCATAGCCATCCTTCCATCCTGCCCTAACCCAGGTGGAAATTTACACCTTCAGAATGGAACTCCTTACTTACCGTTAAGCAAGTTATAATTTGCATCCACGGATACCATATAGCTCCTAATACCTGCGACTGCTTTCCGAAGAGCATCGTGTTTTAGCTTTTCCATCAAACCTGCAATGGAGATTTGTTATCGTGTGGGCTTTGACGGCGACAAAATCTCGCTAACCGCACACGCGCAAAGAAAATATACTTTGCTATACCTCCTTTAAAGGTTTTTGTGGGAAGTCAGCCCTCCCAGAGAAGGAAATATTAAAAGGGCAGAAAAATATATTTCCTCCAAGGATCTTAAAGAGGCAGGGAAGCATGCCCAGTTTTCCTTGATAGCCCCAAGTTTGCCTCCCCCAAGCAGAATCCAGCTCTGTACAAATGCAGATGCAGACCATTCAGAAAAGTTGGAGCTAGAAGCTTAGGAAGACAAAGACACCTAAAATCTGCATACCCCACCCAAACTCTAAGAGTCATTAGCCCCAGCACCAGGGAAGCAGGATATGACCTTTGGGACATAATAGTTTAACCTATTACCATCAGAATACCAGAAAAGCACACTCAGACTCAGGTCAAAGTTCGTGCCACAGGAACAACTCCACAAACAAAAGGCTCCAGAGGGTATAAAAACCCACTCCCCACATGTGCTCAGCCCTTTTTCTCTCCTGTTTCCTGACAGAACCATCGTTCTGTCTGGCTCTTCAATAAACTGTAACCTTCTTTCTAAAGCAGTTACCATGTCGTTTATCCCCGGCTTGGATGAATCATGAGGAAGACTTTTCTTTCAACAGTTTCTTCCCCGTGAAGCCATAAGTTGAAATTTTGACTGCAAAATTTGGGTGCCTTCTGAGCCAGCACTTTCTCTCACCGAGCTCGGTTTTTCTTTCACGATTACTTTTTTTTTTTTATTGAAAATTTTTTAAAAGTTTTACAAATAAACAACCAAAAACAAATCAACCCTCACCCAATCCCTCCCAAACCCACCCCTCCCTCCCCCCTCCCCGAACTTCCCAGAACTGAATATAGGCTTATTTAAAATTTTTAAAAACCTAAACAAATTTTTACAACTTATAAAATAATTAATAATAAGATATATGTGACATAAGCATTAAAAAGAAAAATACTTTAAAAAGAAAGAAAAAAGAGAGGAAAGAGAGAGAGAAAGAAAAAGAAAAGGAAAGAAAGATAAAAAAATAAAAGGAAAAAAAAAGAGAGAAAACAAAAGACGGGAAAAGAAAAAAAAACAATCTATACAAGTTATGAAAAAACTAAATGATATTTTTCCATATCCAAATTATATTGTATAAAATTTATCCATTTTTCCCATACAACAAAAAATTTCTCTTGAGATTGCTCCTTTAAGAAAGCCGAAATCTTTGCCATTTCCGCCAAGTAAGAAACTTTATAAAACCACTCTTGTAAAGTAGCAAAGATTCCTTCTTCCAATATTGTCCTACTAACAGCCTTGCGGCTGTAATCAAATTTAACATCACGATTACTTTGATTGCATGAAAGCCGACAGGCGCTATCCAGGGACACCCAAACTCTTCTCTAAAGCGTAAAGCTTGCCTTGGAGATTTGGGGCAAGAAGGAAAACAGGCCTCTAAACTCAGAAATGGATAGGAAAGAAATTTAAAACTTACACAGAGCGCCAATCCAAGAGGTGCACAGAAGCAGACAGAAGAGTATTACGAAACCGACGACTACCAATCTGTGGGCGCCAGTGATTGGAGCTTTCGCGACTGCGGTTAGGGAAAGCAAACATTGATTACAAAAAAAAATCCATGCAGTAGTAGCAGGAAGGATCACACTATCCATCTTCACGATGCATTTTCACTTGCTGTGGCACTCTAATCTGCAGCTGCTCCAGAACTGGGCCCTTGGCAGGCCAACTAAACAGAAGAAGCTTTCATGAAATGCTCACTTTTGAAGGAGATATAAAAATCTGCCCTTCACTCTATGGTGGTGTTGGAAGAAAAATCAGGTCTAGTTCCAAGCTTGGAGAGAGACGCTGGAAATAAAATGGAGGCTAGCTGCTTAGGAAAGAAGATTTATTGATGAGCAGAGCCAAGAACAGCATGGGACGGCTGACAAAATGGAGTTGAGAGTAAGTGGGTTTTCATACATTCTTTGAGGCTTTGTGTTTGAGATGCCTGTTCTTTGTGAAATGTATTTTGACCTATGCTTGAGTGTGCCCTTTTAGTATTCTAAGGATTGTCGTCAGCCACTCCCATTATGGCTGGGAGGTCATGCCCTCTCCTTGGAGCAAAAGCACAGGTCAAAATACATTTTACAATGAGCAGGCATCCCAAACACAAATCCCAAAGAAGGTATAAAAATCCACCTACGCTCAACTCCATTTTGTCAGCCGTCCCAGAACCACATGCTGTAGTCACTGAGGTTTCTGGCTAACAATAAACAGAGATCTCCTTTCCCAAATGCAGCCTTCATCTCATTTCTACAGCGTCCTCCTGGCTTGGAACGGGACCTGGTTTTTCTTCCAACACTTTCAAAACGTCTCAGTTTGAATAAACTTTGGCCCAGTTGCCATGATTTAACTGTTTAAAATACTCAGCCCTCACACTTAGGATCGTCGTGGCATCTCTGCCGTCACGGGATCAAAATTTGCGTGCTTGGCAACTGGCCCTTCCTTCTGACAGTATCCCGGGGGTCATGGGATTGCGATTCGTAAACCAGCTGGTTTCCGACAAGCAAAGACGATGGGAGGGAAGCCAGATTCGCTTAGCGACTGCACGGTTCACTTAACAACTGCCAAAAAAAAAACCCTTCACAAAGTGGGTGTGACTTACTAAACAACCGTTTTGCTTAACCGTGGAAATTCTGGTCTGGTTGTGGTCAAGGAGATCCTCGCAGAGATTCTTTGGAAGAGTAAAAATTAGGCAGAATAAAAACAGCTCACCTTTTGGCGGTGCTCTCGGAGCCATATTTGCTCTTCAGGGCATGTCACAAACCATCTTGCTTTGTGCAGCTAGAGAAAGGAACAGAATATAAAAACAAAGCACTGTTGTAGCGGGCGGCAAAACGGAAATAGGTTCGGAATCAATTTTAAATCTTCCTGTCATGGATCTTGGGGCCCTGAACGACTTGCTTCCAGAAGTTGTGAATGCTCCAACAATGGAAGTTTTTAAGAAGAGCTTGGACAAATATTTTGTCTAAAATGGTATAGGGTTTCCTACCTGAGCGGGGGATTGGACTAGAGCAGCGGTTCTCCACCTGTGGGTCAGGACCCCAGTTGGGGTCGAACGACCATTTCACGGGGGTCGCCAAACAACGCAGTCCGCCATTTTTTCCCCCCTTTTCCTTAGCTGTGCTACTCCCTTTTATTCTATTGGCTTTTGAAAGCCAATAGAATAGACTCTCTTGAATAGAGTCTAATTCTATTGGCTTTCAAAAGCCAATAGGAATTGTCCAGGCTGTCTCTGCCCTGCTGAGCCCGCCAAAAGTCCCATTCTGCAAACGGTGCTGCACCAGTTGAGTAGTCCTCGACTTAACGACCGGTTGAGTAGTCCCCGACTTACGACCGGTTGGGGGTCGCGGCATTAAAAAGGTTGAGAACCACTGGACTAGATAGACTCCAAGGTCCTTTCCAACTCTGCTATTTTGTTATTCCATATATTTATACAGAAAGTCCACAACTGATTGAGGAGTGCCTATAGTTTTGCTTCCCAGTGGACTGCTTATACCAGGGGTCTGCAACCTTGACCACTTTAAGACTTGTGGACTTCAGCTCCCAGCACAGCTGGCTGAGGAATTCTGGGAGCTGAAGTCCAAGAGTCGTAAAGTGGTCAAGGTTGCAGACCCCTGGGTTATGCCATCTGCGTTCTTGGGGACTGGGGATTGCTTTCTGTTGTGGGTCAGAGCCCCCTGGCAGTAGCCAGGTCACTCCTGCTCTGTCCCTCCCTTTATCAGAGTTGGCATTTGGATTGCCTGACTGCTTCTGAGGCAGGTGAGGGGTCTGGCCAGGCCTGGACAGTCTCCTCATGGGAAGAGCCTCACAACAAAATGCAACAATCTGAGGGAGATGAGCGGTTCAGAAATAGGGTGGATAAAAAAAGAAAGAAAGAAGGAAGGAAGGAAGAAAAGAAGGAAGGAAAGGAAGGAAGGAAGGAAGGAAAGAAAAAAAGAAAGAAAGAAAGAAAGGAAGGAAGAAGAAAGGAAGGAAGGAAAGAAAGAAAGGAAAGAGGGAGGAAAGAAGGAAGGAAGAAAAGAAGGAAGGAAGGAAGGAAAGAAGAAAGGAAGGAAGGAAGCAAAGAAAGAAAGGAAAGAGGGAGGAAGGAAGGAAGGAAGGAAAGAAAGAAAGAAGGAAGGGGAAAAACCTTCTTGTGCCTAATTTTCTATTTAAAATTGTTTTCAGGTGCAACATTTTTTTTTCTCCAGCCCTAAAGATCAAAACAGCCACTTCAAGGTCAAACTGCACAATGGTTAAGATGACGGGCTGGAGACCGTCAACAAGAGACTTCTGCGCGGGAGCGGAACGACTTGAAACAGACGGACGACGGATAGCATTTGTACCGAAAGCAGCCATCTCCGAAAGTTTGGAAAAAGCCATTTATCTACCCCACCCCCAATGGTAGGAGATTGTGCAACACTGGCAATCCTTTAAGCCCTAAAAACCAACCAACCAACCACTAACCAACCAACCAAGAAGAAATAGGAAGATGGAAGTTCTTGAGCTTCTAAGTGAAGCAACCTTGAAAAGAAATGCACTTCTATTCCCCATTTTCTCCTTAATTCCCCATAGCGTAGTGGAAGTAAGAACAGAATCCCTGGGAGTCCCTAGGCAACCTGCAGACCCTCCATCTGAGGTTGAGCAACTCACTAAGACCTCCTCCTCCTCCTCCTCCTCCTTCTCCTTCCTCTTCTTCTTCTCCTTCTCCTTCTTCCTTTTTCAATTTTTTTCTTCTCCCCCTCTTGGTACCTATGGCTTGATCTTCCTGCAGCGAGACTGTTGGCTTTCTTTATGATGCAGATTACTTGGCTTCTGCTGCTCTCCGATTGGCTGGCCGCTGTGCCCAATCGGCATTCGGTATTTAGCTTTCAGTGTCCTCTCTCTGGCCTTTAGAAACCAGGAAATGAGTATTATTAATTAGACATTAATACTTAATATTACTAATGATTAATACCAATAGGAAGCTTTTGGTGAGGAAATGGAAAACTGGACGCTCCATGGAGAGTAGGAGACATTGTGGTGGAAAACAGCAGCTGAATCCAGATTATTAGGAGGGCACCGACTTTTCTAGGCTGCCCTATCTATCTTTCCTGGTAAAATCCCATTGGAGGAAAATTCCACTTAGGGTTAGGTCACCATGAACTCGTAGAGCAAAATGGACATCGCCAACAAACTTGCAGTGCTTGGGTATGGTTAGGAGGGCACTGGCTTTTCTAGGCTGCCCTATCTATGTTTCCTGGGAAAATACATGGGAAAATCCCATTGGAGGAAAATTCCACTTAGGGTTAGGTCACCATGAACTCATAGAGCAAAATGGACACCGCCAACAAATTTGGAGTGCTTGGGCATGGTTAGGAGGGCACTGACTTTTCTACCCTGCCCTATGTATGTTTTGTTGGACCATAAGAAAGGCTGAGCGACAAAGAATTGAGACCTTTGAACTCTGGTGCTGGAGAAGACTCCTGCGAGTCCCTTGGACTGCAAGGCGTTCAAACCAATCAGTCCTGGAAGAGATCAACCCCGACTGCTCTTTAGAAGGCCAGATCCTGAAGTTGAAACTCAAATACTTTGGCCACCTAATGAGAAGGAAGGACTCACTGGAGAAGGGCCTGATGCTTGGAAAGATTGAGGGCAATAGAAGAAGGGGATGACAGAAAATGAGGTGGCTAGATGGAGTCACTGAAGCAGTAGGCGTGAACTTAAATGGACTCCAGAAGATGGTAGAGTACAGGAAGACTGGAGGAACGTTGTCCATGGGGTCGCAATTGGTTCGACATGACTTCGCAATTAACAACAACAACAATGTATGTTTCCTGCTAAAATACATGGGAAAAACCCATTGGAGGAAAATTCCACTTAGGGTTAGGGTTAGGTCACCATGAACTCATAGAGCAAAATGGACATCGCCAACAAATTTGGAGTGCTTGGGTATGGTTAGGAGGGCGCTGACTTTTCCAGCCTGCCCTATCTATCTATCCTGGTAAAATACATGGGAAAATTCCATTGGAGGAAAATTCCATTTAGGATTAGGGTTAGGTTACCATGAACTCATAGAACAAAATGAACATTGCCAACAAACTCGGAGTGCTTGGGTATGGTTAGGCGTGCACTGACTTTTCTAGCCTGCCCTATCTATGTTTCCTGTTAAAATACATGGGAAAATCCCATTGGAGGAAAATACCACTTAGGGCAGTGATGGCGAACCTTTTAGAGACCGAGTGCCCAAACTGCAACCCCAACCCACTTATGTATCATCGGGTGCCATGTGGGTGTGGCCCATTGGTGGGTGTGGCCAATTGGGTGGGCATGGCCTATTGGGTGGCCGTGGCTGTGGTGGTAGTGGCAGACTGGGCGGGACTAAAAAGTTCAATCAATGAATTCCAATTTTGCGAGATCTTTTTTTTCCCCGCAAGAAGTTAAAATTGATTGATTGATTGACCTTTTTTTTTGCACACGGTAGCAGAGGCTTAAAGCAAAAAGGTTTTACAGAACCCAGCTGAAGGCCTAGGACTGGGGCGATGGCGCGCATGCCCACAGAGAGGTCTCTGCGTGTCACCTGTGGCACGCGTGTCATAGGATTGCCACCATGGGAGTATACTGTAGAACAGAGGGGCGAACCTATGGCACGGGTGCCAGACGCGGCACTCAGAACCCTCTCTGTGGGCACACACGCCGTCGCTCCAGTCCTAGGTCTTCAGCTGGGTTTTATAAAACCTTTTCGCTTTAGGCCTCCGCCACCGTGTGCAAAAAAAAAAAAGGTTCAATCAGTCAATTTCAACTTCTCGTGGGAAAAAAAAAGATCTTGCAAAGTTGCAATTGATTGATTGAACTTTTTAATCCCGCCCAGTCTGCCGTTACCACCACAGCCATGCCTACCCAATGGGCTACGCCTATCCAATTGGCCACACCCAGCCATTGGGCCACACCCACCCGACACTCGATGATGCATAAGTGGGTTTTGGGTTGCAGTTTGGGCACTCAGTCTCTAAAAGGTTCGCCATCACTGCTATAGAAAATAATGGGTTTGATCGGTGTTTTAAATGAAGTTCCATGTCATAGTCCCCAAGCGCCAGCAGATGGTGCAATTTGCAAATGGATCGAAAACTTGCAATTTATAACAGATTTCTTCAACTCAGCAGGCTCCAGATAGGTCGGAGTAAAAGAAGAATGAAATTTAATACGCTCCACCATATTCAGGAGCAGCTGAAAAAGTTATCAAAAAATTAGGATGCAGCCAGAAGCATGCATTTATACACTGACGTCTTTTTTTCTTTTTTTAAAAAAACACCTTCTGATTCCAGTTGGCAGTAACAAAAGTTAACTAATTTATTTAGATTCCATTGGTGGTCGGGGTGGTGGTGGTGTAAGATGAACCTAACCTTCTCTACTGCAATTAAGCCCAATTTCCATAAATCTTGCACCCATGTCACTGAAGAAATATCACATTAAAAAGTCATTCTGGAATTTGTCAAGGTTTCCTCTAATCAAGCATTTTATTTATTTATTTATTTATTTATTCATTCATTCATTCATTCTACTCTATTTTATTTATTTATTTATGTTATTTATGTTATTTATATATTTATGTTATTTTACTTTATTATTACTTTATCATTTTAGTTTATCATTTTAGTTTGGTTTGGTTTGGTTTAGTTTAGTTTCTCCCTGGAGCAAAATTTAAGATGTAACTGAGAACTTTACTAAAATAATCAAGCCCACAGATAACTACCCCTTTCTTCTCTTTCAAACAGGGTCAAATGACACAACAACAAACCTAGAAACAATATTGAGAGATTATGAGGAGCTTGACAAGGAAGTTAAGAAGTTAGGGGCACAAGGGGTGTTTTCATCTGTATTTCCAACAAAAGGTCAACATCCAATGTGGGAACAAAGGAGTTTAGAAACGAACCACTTTTGGATGAACCTCATCCGCTTTTGCAGAGAATGGTAGCCTGAAGTCCCACGGGATCGCCGCCCCAGAAACTTCCAGTCTCCACGCAAAACAGCTCAATTCTGCTGCCCCAAATCCTCCCATCAGCGTGCAAACACCTTTCGCACCAAGACTGGAAGCCTTTGGGGACGAGTCAGAGAAGCTAAGCAGGGTGCACTTGTCCCACTCTCCCCGTTCTGCTTTTGGAGTGCCAGGAATGGGCATGGAAACCAGGGCAGAGAGTCTGGAGAAGAGACAGCTCACTAGATCTTCGCAAGGTAACTGAGTCTCCACAACCCCAATGTCTGTGGAGACCCGGCATTGGAAGGATGGGGGAAAGAAGCAATTGTGGGGAGCATGTGGTATCTTAGTGGGTCAGGGGTAGCCTTAAGCAGGTGGCCTCTTCCATCACTAGCCCCTCCCCCCATGGCCTTCCCCATCCTGAGATACCTCAAGTGCACTTAATGACTTGTGCATTTGATTAACGAATGCGTGGAGTTTTCACGTTCATTTTACATGATTCACTCCAACGAATCCTCGGGTTACGGGCAGGCTCCATTACATTCGTAAATCGAGGACTACCTGTGTACATAAAGGATCCCAAACAAAAGGCTTTGAATTACCTCACAAGAAATGGACAGCCCTGAACAGGATTCGCATCTCACATGGCGTCTGCCAGGATTCCCTGTATAAATGGGGCACCCTGTAGTATCTTCCCCTCAGTGGGATTGAGGGGTCACACATCAAACTGTAGATCACATCATGACCGGATGTAAGCTGAAAGCATCTACCCGTCCAGTTTCTGATTTCTTTCATATAAATGGTGCTGAACCTCAGTGGTTAGATGATCTAAACATTGGTATCTGAATATAGATCTTTTTAACATTCATACTTTATTGTGTTTTTAATTCAGCTGAAATGCTAATAAAGATACAGGAATGGTTGCTGAAATTGGGTATGTCTAGTTTAATGAAGAGAAGAACCAGGAGTGACATGATAGCCAATGTTCCAGTATCTCAGGGGTTGCCAAAAAGGAGGGGGTCAAGCTGACAGTAGCTGGGGACAGGAGAAGAGAAGAGAAAGAACTGGAGAAAATCAGAAAAATATATAGACCTGCAAACAGAAGTAGAACGACTTGGGTGCAAACATCTGGAGCATCAGTATTGACAAAGTCACCATCGGTCAACTGCAAAAGGCAGCTTGGTTTAGGACAGCTCATATCCTGTGACAATATCTTTCATTAACTCAAACAAGAATATCTGCCTATCCCAGGTCCTTGGGAGGGGCTCAGTTGATGGATAAAAATGCCAAATCCAATCCAAACATCTGGCTGACTGAATGACCCATCCTAATAAGGGGGACTGGATTAGGGGACTGGAGGCTAAAGCATATAAGGAACGGTTGCTGGAATTGGGTATGTCTAATTTAATGACAAGAAGGACGAGGGGGGACAGGATAGCAGTCTTCCAGTATCTCAGGGGCTGCCCCAAAGAAGAGGGAGTCAAGCTATTTCCAGAGCACCTGAAGGCAGGACAAGAAGCAACAGATGGAAACTAATCAAGGAGAGAAGCAACCTAGAACTGAGGAGGAATTTCCTGACAGTGAGAACAATTAATCAGCGGAACTCCTTACCTCCAGAAGCTGTGAATGCTCCAACAATGGAAGTTTTTAAGAAGAGCCTGGACAACCATTTGTCTGAAAGGGTATAGGGTTTTCTGCCTGAGTGGGGTTGGACTAGAGGACCTCCAAGGTCCCTTCAAACAACAACAGCAATAATAATAATAATAATAATAATTTAGCTCTTGACTTAAAACAGCTCATTAAGTGACCATTTGAGGTTACAATGGCACTGAAAAAAGGGACTTATGACTGTTTTTCACACTTACAACCATTGCAGCATTCCCCAATGGCCACGTGATCCAAAGTCAGATGCTTGGCAACTGGTTCATACTTATGACGGTTGCCGCCTCCTGGGGTGACGTGATCACCATTTGCAACCTTCCGACAAGCAAAGTCCATGGGAAAGCCAGATTCACTTAACGACTGGGTTGCTAACTTAACAACTGCAGTGATTCACTGAACAACCGTGGCAAGCAAGGTTGTAAAATGGGGCAAAACTCACTTAGCAACTGTCTCACTTAATTGCAGATATTTGGGGCTCAATTGTGGACGTACGTCAGGGACTACCTGTATATAAGGCCCATGTGTGTTATGCCAGGTGTTCATTCAGTAAATATCAAGTGGTCGTGCAATCAAGGTGATTAAAATCCCTGCCCTTGTGTGACGTCCCTTAAAAAAAGGGTTGGAAAGGATTGTATGGATAAAATCGTCACCTCATCAGGTAGCCTGTTCTAGTCCTGATAAGAGTCAGTGGTGTTTGGAGAGGAGAGATCCCACCCCCAGCAACTGCTATGTGGGAAACCACAGAATTTGGTGCTCTCCTTGCTCCTATTCAACATCTACATGAGGCTGTTGGGTGAAATCATCCGTTGTTGTGGTGTGAAGTATGACATCCAATTGTACAACTCCACCCCTGGCAAATTAAGCAATGCTATGAGCGTCTTATCTCAGCAGATCAGGCTTCTCTTTCAGGTTCATATACACTGTATATCTTTTTTAAAAAATAATACAGATTTTGATGAAGAATTCCATGATGATCAAAACCATTAACCACTTCAAACAGCAGAATTTGATCTTGTTCAAATCAGAACTCTTGATAGGAAACTGTCAAGGAGAAAAGCAGAAGTAGATGTAGACAATACTACTGCTGGTACATCCAAGCACTGGTAGACTGGTGTGGTCAAAGTCAACATGTGGTCAACTCTCTCAGAAGCTCATCCTTCAAGGAAAATTCATTCATGGTTCTTACATTACAGCCATCCCCCATCGCTGTCCTTTGTGGCACCTCTAGAGAAATTTGTAGAACCGCTTCTACCTGCTGCTGGTGTCAACTCTACAACGAATCTGGCGGCAGCCATCTTGCTCATTCTAGGTTGCCACAAGAATGGAAGGGGGTTCCGAGGATTTTTGCTAGTCTAAACAATTCACTATCCCATGGGAGCCAGGTTCATTTCTGTCGATTAGGTGGGCCGTGTGAGCACTTGGTTAGAAATCCCACCAAGCTGTTCTATTGGGAAAAGTAGCTGATTGCATAGCCATGGGGTGGGAGATTTAACTTTGTAGTAGTGTTTCTCTTTGGAAGGGGATTGCAGACTTGGTTTCACTTTGGACCGTGCTGATACTATGTAACCAATAAACATGTTCTTTGAGGAAATCTCTAGCCTCGGAGTTCTGATTTGTTTGGTCTCGTCTATCAGAACTATGACAGCTGGATTCCCTACGTAACAAAGAATCCAAGAGCAACTGCCGTCATTGCAGCTAGACAGGAACATCAACTCAAAGAAGGCCAAGGAAGGAACTGGAATAGGGATTTTGGAATGTTTGACATCATCAGAAAAACAGCTGCCAGTTTGGCTGAGAGAAATTCTGAGCCCATCCAGGAAGGTACGAATGAGGTGAGGTGACGTCAAACTGGTTGAGCTACCGGCATCCCTGGAGCACTCTTCTTCACGTGTGGCTACTGGGCTGACATTATTGATTGATTAAGCCATTGTGATGTAATATGATACAATAACTGAGGTCAGAGGTCTTGCTCTGACTCACAAAGCTCCGTTTGGTCATTGCACTGGACAAGTGGCAGTCTGATTTCAATCTTTGGGTAGCAACAAGGATGTCCTCGGCATTATCTCCTTCCTCTATTCTGAATTAGTAAGCACATCTAAAAGTTGCCTTATTGATTGGGCCTCTGGGTGCATGCAGATGTCATGCAGAGAACTTGCAAGATGGGTGGGGATATCGCAGACGAATTGTGGAAAGGCTTCAGATGTAGTTTACTAACCCTCACATCATTTGAGAATCCTTCCGCTGATTTCTACGAAGGTTTCAGGGCTCAATTTCCTTGTAGTGGTCTAAGGATCCTGCACATTTTCTCCCGTTTGGATCAAGGAGAAAGAAGATGGAGGTCCTAGCAGTCATTCTCCTTTTCACATCCTAGATAACAGGAGGGAAAGTTACGATTTTGCTGGAAAGGCTCTATGGTCAGAAATTAGCCAGAGTCAACTAGCCCAAGAATCACTCCAAGGCCAGTTAAGATACTTTGCAGATTGAGGACCTAGCTGTCAAAGGTTGGGTGGTCCATGCAGAGGTCTGGATTCTTCAGAGGTCTGGATTTTTAATGACATAAAAGATTAAACTCCAGAGGAAGTATATTGTATTTCTGAATATAGTTTTTTTTTTTAAAAAAAATAACCTGTGTCATATTCTATAAACTCCAATACAGGATGAATGATCATTTGGACTAAGAAGATAAAATGGCACCCAAAGCACCTCCCGAACCTCCACGTATGTTGCTTAACCTCTTCTTATTTCCCACCTCTTTCTACAAAGCGTTGCAGATGCTGCCTCCTTTTCCATAACATCTCCATCGAAGTTAAGTCTAGAGAATGTATACTCCCAAATGACTCAATCCCATAAAAAGATTTTTTTCAGGGATCTAAGTGCATGAACTTGGTGGTCTTTTGGATAGTGTCTTCTGGGTGCTGATGATGAAGGTTGTCGGCTTTGCCTGGTGTTGATTAATGGTGATGCTCCATCTGCTGCCTTCTGTGCTATCCAGAGCTTCTGAGTCATATTACGGGACATTACTGGATGCTTATTTCTGAAAAGCAACTCTACCTGCATTGCAAACTGAAGATTCTTTCCTCCTCCTCCTCCTCCTCCTCCTCCTCCTCCTCCTCCTCCTCCTCCTCCTCCTCCTCCTCCTCCTCCTCCTCCTCCTCTCCTTCTTCCTCTTCTTCCCCTCCTCCTCATTTCCACCCCCTCTTCCCATGCAAATTGTTGAAAGAAACATTTTCATCAGGGTCCAGTCCAAGCTGGGAATAATCAAAATGGAGACTGCTTTAGAAAGCAGTCTGTGGCTGATGAGTATTGGATTTTTGTGTGTGAGGGATTGTTGATTCTAAGAATCTTTGTCTTTCTAATCCCATCAGCTTTCTGGCTTCAATCTTTCTGACTGTCAAAGGTCCCAAGCCCAGACCTGAGCCCAACAGAAACACGGTCACTATGGGACCAAGGAAAACTTGGTTTATTCAGGCTGGGAAAGTAAAGTCACATTTTGCCTTGCAAAGTGTTAACCAGCAATCGCAAACTGAAGTCAGCGCTTGGAGCTTCTGCCTCCCAGTGCCCTAAATAGATGGATACCATGCCCCGCTGGACTTGCCCCCACCCAACTAACCAGCATCCGGAGTAACGATTAGGAGCAATCACTCCACAGCAGCGTCCCTCTCCTTCTAGCAAGCAGCCTGTCCGGGACTCAAAAGCCCCGCCGTTTTCTCCTCCGATCAGGAAGTTACAACCATCCCCCATAGTCCTGTATGTTGGCTGGGCAGTAGCCCACTCCTGGGCCTCCAGAGGGCTACCACTGCCCAGTTGAGTCCCCAGCATGCCGCTGAAGGCTGTTGCCATTGCTTCCGGCAGCTGCCATCGCTCTGTCCACCAATGGAACCCCCACAGTTAGTGTCAAACCCCACAGGGCCTTGACGCTGACACGATTATCACATCTGCATTTCTACAGAGCTGGTTTCTGCTTGGGGGAGAGAGACTTGAGGCTATTAAGAAAAACTGGGCATGCTTTTCTGCCTTTTTAAGATCTTTTGAGGAAATACAATATTCTGCCTTTTTAATATTTCCTTCTCTGGGGACAGGGCTGACTTCCCACACAAATAAGTGGAACAAAAAGAGATAAGATCTAGGAAGCGGGAGGGGGCATTTTAGGTAAAAATGGAGGAGCTGCAATGGGTGCTCCTCCGTCTCTATCTGTCAATGCCCCCTCCCCCTTCTTAGATCCTTGACAGGCCACAGGAAAACATAGGGGAGTCCAGTCAAAAGGAGACCTCTTTCCAGGAGCCCCTTCTTTTGACCTTCTGAAGCCATGTAGAGCAGCTCCTCTCTCCCTTTAACCTGACTTAAGTTAAAAAACAAATTCCAAATGTGATGTCTTCCCTTCCAAGGCTGCCGATATGAACTGTGGCAAAAGTAGAGTTCTCACCGCACAGGCTTAGAAAGTTGCTCAACATTTCCGTCTCTGTTGAGGGATGCAAAACCGTTCTTGGGCCAATAGGCAAAGGGGGGGGGGTCCTTTGCCTGGAATGCATGAGAGCACCTTCCAGGAAAGAGCAGGGGTCAGGGAGAAGGAATGGTCAGCCTCACAATTGATTAAGCTACCCATTTGTCTTCTTCCAGCACCAAAGAACTTTTTCGAGCGATTCGGTGACTACCTGGATTCAGATCAAGGCAAACGAAGAACTAAAATACTGGTTTTCCTCTTCTTCGTTCTTGCTGTGGTGATGACCTATCTGTGTAAGTTGCCTTCTTATAAGAGATCGATAAAGGCTTTATTTGAAGGTCCTGTGGAATTTGCTTCAACAGGAGCACTGATTTCTCTCCCCACACGCAAAAGACTCTGTATTCTAGTGGCTTGAGTATAAATTGAGAGCAGACCCAACTCCTTACTAGCACTGATGAAGTTCCCTAGTTAGGTCATGAAATGTCTCCAAGGAAACAACCCAGAGAGCACCAAGGACCCCTTATTTCAACCCTGAGCTACAAATATTCTCCTTTATTGTTACCACCCACAGATTTCAACAAATTAGGCCAGGGAACAATTCAGTCTCTCTCTTTCACAATCGGGAAACCTTCATTGGCTCTGCTTTGCCAGCTTAGGGAAAATAGCTTTGGTGATATTTTAGTAAATTCTTTTCAACTTCCTTGAAATCAACATCCCAAATCCTCTGATGCTTTTACCAACTAGAATGACACAATTTCTCTTTTGAAAGGCATCCTAACTCAGGTGACTAATAATATCATAAGGGAAACAGTTGGCATAGAACCAATCTTAAACTACATAGAAAACAGCAAATAAAGTGGTTTGCTCACTTGGAGAGGATGTCGTGGGATTGCGTACTGTATGAGACATATACAAAAAGAGGAGAAGATCAAAGAACACAGCGGAAACCCCAAAGAAGATGGAGAGACAACATCAAAGAGACACAAGAACAGCATAAAGAAATGATGGTTGAGGCCACCAGAAGAGCAAGGAGCTTCTTCAGTTCAGAAAAAGAGAACGAGAAGCAAAACATTTTCAAAAAAAAAAAAAAAAACCAAGAAAGTCCAGTTACCTTTTGGGGAAAAGCACCTTTGGGACAACGATGACCTGGATGACTGAGAATCTCCATAGAATGCTCAGGTGTAGGTATCAAGTTACGCTGAATGTGAAAAGAGACTGACAAAGATCAGGAAACAAACGAAAGCAAACTGAATGTAAACGCAAATGGTGGGAATTGCCAAGAAGAGAAGCCAAAGCCAAGAAACGTAAAAATATCCAGAAGGAACGTAGCAAGGGATTTCAGTTATAGGAGACAAAAAGCAATATTCTAATGACATTTGTAAAGACACTGAAGATGGAAACAAACATAGAAAAAGAAAGTCTTCCAAAGTTACTTCAACCTAGGAGGATGTTTCAAACTCCAAATCATCACTATAGGTTGCGATTGTGGTGAGGTGGGTGGCAAATAAATAGATTAATTGATGAAATAGATAGATAAATAATAATAACAACTGATGCCACACAGATCAAACCAAGAAGGAAGGAATACACGGAGAGTCTGTGGATTGGAGAGGTCAACATCCAAGATGCTGAAGAAGCTGTTCCCGCCTTACAAGCATTTCTAGTTCAAGAAGGAAGTTAAGTCAGAGGGAATTCCTACAGAAATATTGCAGGCAACAGAACAAGAATTTGTAAATGATGCTGGCCAATCCCGAGAACGAGGCAGCGGTCATCAGACTGGGAGAGGTCAACGTACATACCGACCCCAAAGAGAGGAAACGCAGCTGATCATGCAGCCATCGTACAGCATCTCTAATTTTCCATGCTACCATCATGCTTATGACATCCAGCACCGATTAGAGCAGTGGTTCTCAACCTGTGGGTCGGGACCCCATTTGGGGTCGAACGACCATTTCATGGGGGTTGCCAAACAATGCAGTCTGCCATTTTTTTCCCTTTTCCTTAGCTGTGCTACTCCCTTTTATTCTATTGGCTTTTGAAAGCATCTCTAATTTTCCATGCTATCATCATGCTTATGACATCCAGCACCGCTTAGAGCCTTTCCCGGGAAAGAAGATATTTCAGGTGCCTTTAGAAAAGTCCAAGGAGACCCTTTTCTGATCCGTGCTGGATCGCTGAGGAAGCCAAGGCCTTTGCGGCTGTTCATCATGTCAGCCTGTGCATGGAGACATAAGAATATCTTCCGGAAGATCCCATGGTCCCCATGCAAAACCAGCACACGGCCAGGAAGCCACAGGACATTGGGAGTGAATGTTCAGGCTGCTTCCAACCGGTGGCAATCTCCTTTCTTCTTCAACCTATCTACTGAATACGTCTGAAGGGACACTGGATGGAAAGAAGATGGATGTGGTTTTCAAACTGGGGGAAGGAACATCAAGGATCTGCGATGCCGGGGACCCTCTTTTGATAGCTGAAAATGTTAATGATGTTAACGATAAATGTCTTCAAAGAAACACCACGAAAGTCTTTTGGAGAAAGCACCTTTGGGACTGGGTTTTAATTGTACTACCTTTATTCTTATGTTTCATCATTTGACTTTTCAAGAGCTGTAAACCACCCTGAATGTCGGATACAAATGTATTAGATAAAATGCACGAAGTCCTCCACTTACAACAGTTCACTTAGTGACTGTTTGAAGTTACAACAGCAGGCTTTCACACTTATGACCATTGCAGAAGCCCCATGGTCACGTGATCAAAATACTTGGCAACTGACTCATATTTATGACGGTTGCTGTGTCCCCGGGTCATGTGATTACCCTGTGACAAGCAAAGTCAAAGGAGAAGCCTGATTCACTTAACACCCAAGTGGCTGACTTCACAACTGCAGTGATTCACTTAAGAAATGTAGCAAAGGTCGTAAAATGAGGCAAAACTCACGTAACCAATGTCTCACTTATCAACAGAAATTTTGGGCTCAATTGTTGTAAGTTGAGGACTCTCTATAGTACACAATCAAACTGACATTGGGCAAGGATGGGGCAAGTCCACAGAATTATTCTCTTCAAGAGGTTTTTTGTTGTTGTTTATATCTCTGGAAAAAGCCCAACCGAGGGAAGGTGATGCACCTGTCGGGGGCCACCCTATTTTGCAGGGCAGCCCGTGAGGTTTTGACTACCAGGTTGTCGCAGATAATAATAATCAAAATAATAGTATATTCATTTATGATTATTGGGAGGGGAACTTAACACTCTACTTCTTCTCCTTTCTCTTCTATAGACCAAACTGAAATTAAAAAGAGTCAGAGTCTTCTAGACGCAGTGGCTTCAATTCGGCAATTTGCTGTGGAATACGATACAAGTTTATTAGACAAAACTGGTAAGCAAGGAGCCAGCAGGTTCAGAAACAGCTGCTTGGCTGCAATAAAACGGGACAGCTTTTAAGAGCAGGCTGGAGAAGGTGCAACTCGGTTACCAGTCTTAATAGCACCTGTGCCACAGGCAGGTTTCCTTGTTAGTGGGGTCAGCAACAGGTTTGGACACACGTTTGCTAGTCTGCCAAAAGAGCAAACCAGGGCCACTTTACTTCAAGCCTGCTTAGGATATTCTGGGCAAGTTGAGATGTCCAATTGACAGGCTTCCTAGCAAGGCAACCTCCTGTTGCACGTGGCCCTGGCTCAAGAGAGGATGCAGGAATGCATGGAAGCAGCCACCCCCCCCCCCCCGCTGTATGAGCTGGCAACATAATAAATTCAACGTTTTCTGAGGTCAGCTCCCACCCCAATCTACTTGTTGAACAGAACATCCTCAAATGTCTAAATTCGTATACATAATTATTCATTCAAAATCTTCCAGGATTTCACCCCCTTCTCTCATGGTCTCCTTAATCCCCCAGAATTTAAAAGAATTGGGACATGATTTGGTTCTTATTGTAGATTTTTACTTCCAATCTCTTGACTTGAATTGCTGCATGCTTTTAGACTTGGAGGTCCTTGCTGCGGTTCATCTCTTAACATTGGAGCTGTTGAATTGGACCTTAAAGAATGAAGAGCTAGACCATGAACTTAGTAAGTTAATCAAGTCTGCAATCCGGAAGCCTAAGAATAAGCAATCTGAAATTCCCTTTCCTGAAGCATTTCTGGAGTCTCAAAGTGCTCTATAATCTTTAATTTCAAATATCTGACCAAAGCTTATGATATCTGTTGGTTCCAAATAGCTAGTAAATTTGGTCTCTATACCCAAAGTTCCTTTTGCACAGATATAGACGAAAGCTCTGCGATATAATTAACAAGATGGTAACATTCAAGAGTGCCAAATAGTAACCCTTCTATTGAGTAGTACATACTCAGTTTAGTTTTTATTGCAAGACGTTAATGAAGTGGATAAAGACCCCGTTATCATGTGACAGTCACAGCTTTATGAGAAAAGTCCTAGCTATTTCCATAATAGTAGCCCCTAAATTTAAACATTTTGTTGAAAAATGGAATTAACAGAGATACCACTCAGAAATATTTAATAATCCTGAACGATTGTTCAGGAGGAAAAAAACATAATATTGATTTATTGCAGAAGTTAGCCGGAAGTTCAACTAGATTTTGGCATTTTTATGCTTCTATTGAGTCCTTGCCAAGGACTCGGAATAGACGGATCTGGTTGTTTGGTAGTGTGAAAGGGATTGGTGCAGGTGAAGCTGCCTTTTGCAATTGACCAATGGGCAATTTGTCAATGCTGACGGTGTTCAGGGGATGCTGCAGTTGTTGTTTTATTATTATTATTTAAAATAATTTTAAAAAATAACTGAACAGTGCCTCATGGAAGGACAATGAAACATATAACCACTCAGAGTCACCTGGAGCCACGAGACGGGCAGTAAATAAATTTAATAAATAAAAAAAATAAAAAAAAAATACAGAAAACTTTTGAAATACTTCCTTGGAATTTTAGGAAGAACACTGTACTCCAAGAGAAGTATACCGTTAACTTTGAATGGTGTATTGATTTTAACAATTACAATAGGCTTGTAAGATTTTTGCATTAACTAATGTAATCTTCTTGTTTTCTCTATGGATTCGAAGAAATTCTTACTGAAATGCTTCCAAACTGGCTTGCTTTCGACAAAAACCTCTATTTCTTTTCTACGGCACAAAAAACTTGGCAGGAGTCTCGTGACGACTGTATGGAAAGACACACTGCAGATTTGTATTCCGGTACACTTCCTGAAGAACAAGTAAGCACAGGCATATATGTCACCATTTTTCTAAAATGGGTGTTTCACGAAAAAGCCTCAAAGATGGCAGAGGACAGGAAGGCCTGGAGGCAACGTTGTCCATGGAGCCGCGATGGGTTGGACACCACTTCGCAACTAACAACATTTTTCCAAACTGAAAATCAGTTGCTGGTGGCTGAAAATGGGTGCAGCCGGGAAGCTGCCTGGGTCCCCAAGACAACAGAAGGAGAGCAAGTGAGAGTAAGAGACGCAGAAGGGAGGAACGGATGCTGAAGGTTTCTGGAGCCGCTTCTCTGTGTTGGCCGGTGGAGTGATAAGGGCAAGAGAGAGCGTGGGCGGGGGGGGGGGCATCCTTGATCAGGCCTGGTTAGGACCCAAGAGGGAAGAATGCAGGGGATTTGCTGGGAAGCTGAAAGGGGCTTAGAGGGAATTTTCTTTTGGAAGGATAGATGAGAAGAGCACGCACCTGCCTCCTGGGGTGCACAGGAAAAGGGGAGCTGCGCTGCATATTGTGAAAATATAGGAAGGGGGGAAAGGAGGGAGGGAGGGGGGAAGGAAGGGAGGAAGGGAGAAAGGAGAAAGGGAGAAAGGAAAAGGGAGGGAGGAGAAAGAAAGAGCAATGGATAAAAAGGGACAGGAAGGAAGGGAGGGAGGAGAAAGAAAGAGGAAGGGAGAGGAAGGAAAGAAGGAAGAGGAGGGAGGAGAAAAGGAGAGGAAGCGAGACAAAATGAGAGGGAGGGAGAGAGGGAGGGGGAAGGGAGGAAGGAAAAGAAAGAAAGAAAGAAAGAAAGAAAGAAAGAAAGAAAGAAAGAAAGAAAGAAAGAAAGAAACCTGGAACCTCATATCCTAAACCTCTTCCTCCTATTCTAATCTACTATTGAGCTTAATTAGATCAATAATAGTAATTGTAAGAGGGATCTCAAAGTCCAAGTGGACAATTCCTTAAATAGGAGCCAGCCGTGTGCAGCAGCACCCAAAAAAGCCAACACAGTTCTAGGCTGCATCAACAGATGGACAGAATCAAGATCACGTGAAGTGTTTGTTAGTACCACTTTATAATACCTTGGCAAGACCACACTTGGAATATTGCATCCAGTTTTGGTTGTCACAATATGAAAATGATGTTGAGACTCTAGAAAGAGTGCAGAGAAGAGCAACAAAGATGAGTAGGGGACTGGAGGTTAAAAGAAATGAAGAATGTCTAGTTTAATGAGGAGGAGGGACAGGATAGCAGCCTTCCAGTATTTCAGGGGCTGCCCCAAAGAAGAGGGAGTCAAGCTGTTCTCCAAAGCACTTGAAGGCAGGACAAGAAGTAACAGGTGGAAACTCATCAAGGAGAGAAGCAACCTAGAACTAAGGAGAAACTTCCTGACGGTGACAACAATTAATCAGTGGAACCACCTGCCTCCAGAAGCAGTGAATGCTCCAATACTGGAAGTTTTTAAGAAGAGACTGGACAGCCATTTGTCTGAAATGGTGTAGGGTTTCCTGCCTGAGCAGGGGGTTGGACTAGAGCAGGGCTTTTCAACCAGTGGTACGGTACCACCTGTGGTACATTGGCACCTGGCAGGTGGTACACGACCATCCTAGAAAAGTGGTAGCAAGGGAGGGGAATGAGCTGAACCGGTGGCAGCACCACACAAGCCTGAGCGAGAGACGGCTGGAGCTGCAGGGCTGTCAGGGCTCAGCGGAAGCCCCAGGATCAGCACCAGGCTCCAGCTGGAGCTCGGCGCTGATCCTGGCGCTTCCGCTGAGCCCAGAAGAAGCGCCGATCAGCTGGAATGTTGCAGCCTCTCCAGGGTCATGTGATTTACATTCAGATGCTTGGTCACTGATTCGTATTTATGACGGTCACAGTGTCCCAGGGTCATGTGAAGGGACCAAAACCTGCTGCAACCACCCAGCAGATGGGGGGGGGAATAAAAACCAAACACCCCCCACCCCACCCCCATTGCCAATCCTCAACAGAAATGCTCACAACAATGAAAACCTCGGACAGGAGGAAGAGCGCGGGCAGGTGGGCAGGCAGGTGTCTTGCTCGGCTGTGGCTTGGGGGGCCCTTTGTTCAGTGCCATTGTAACTTCAAACAGTCACTAAGCGAACTGTTGTAAGTCGAGGACTACCTGTACTTTATCATTTTTTTCCTTTTGGGGGGGGGTGTCATTAGGTTTTTGACACCTTGCTAGGTGACTGGTGGTACTCGGATGTTGCCATATCCTAAAAGTGGTACAATGGATGAAAAGGTTGAAAAGCCCTCGACTAAATGACCTTCAGTGTCCTTTCCAGTTCTGTTATTCTATTAATCCTTGGAGTTGTAATCTGAAAACACAGGAAGAGTGTTTTTGACGAAAAGACTGTTGCTTTATACCTATAGATCAGGGGTGTCAAACTGCCAGCCCATGGGCTGGATGTGTCACGTGGAAGCCACGCCCACCCCAGCTCTAACAAGGGGAAAAAAGTCGCGAAACATCATGTCACGTCATGTGACATGGCGAATTTGATACCTCTGCTAGAGATTGCTCAAAGCTCCTGAAGGTTCACAAAGACACTGATGGTTGGGAAGGGGAGAGGATCAGTCAGTCCTTAATGGGGTTGGGAACGAATCATGGGCCACATATGTTCCTCTCTTAAGCCTTAATTTCCAATAAACTTTATATCATCTCCCTTTCTCCCCTCCCCCCGTTCCTTTCACCCTCCTCTCTCTCCTTCCTTCCTTCCTTTCGCCCTCCCTTCCGCATCTATCTACCTATCTATCTACCTACCTATCTACCTACCTACCTACCTACCTACCTACCTACCTACCTACCTACCTACCTATCTATCTATCTATCTATCTATCTCTATATCTTTATCTCTTTCTTATCTATCTATTTCTATCTATTTTTATCTCTTCTATCTATCTCTATCTATCTATTTATCTATCTATCTCTATATCTTTATCTCTTATCTATTTCTATATCTATTTTTATCTCTCTCCTATCTATCTATTTATCTATCTATCTATCTATCTATCTATCTATCTATCTATCTATTTCTATATCTATTTTTATCTCTCTCTCCTATCTATCTATCTATCTCTTTCTTTCCTATCTATCTATCTATCTATCTATCTATCTATCTATCTATCTATTTTTATATCTCTATTTTGATCTCTCTCTCTCCTATCTATCTATCTATCTATCTATCTATCTATCTATCTATCTATCTATCTATCTATTCTTTTTCCTCCTCAAGGGCTTCCTAGATGAAATGGTGAAAAAAAATAACCGCGACTATTGGATAGGACTCAGGAAGAACACCAGTGTTTCAGGTGGGCTGTTGTGGCTAAATGGAGATGTTCCAGATGAAACGTAAGTTTTCAAACAAAATCTAATTATATGGCAAGTTGTGCATAAGGATTTCATGCTTACCACCCTCCCCCTGGGGCTGAAAGAAGGGGAGTCAGAATCAATCATCCATGGTCCTAACCCTCAAAAGTCTAGCCTTGGTCCAAAAGGACATGATTGGCCAACCCTTTGCATCTACAAGCATTGTCCCAAAAGAACTGGGCTGTTTCCCAAGCTGTTGGGAAGCCTCTGCAAGGCTGATCTGGTAAATGAATCCACCAGTAACCGAATGCTGATAGATCCCTGCCCTGATAGATCCAGTGATACGGTGGCCCTCATCCTGAAATTGTTTCCAGAGGCTGCAACAGGCCACTTGCTTTCTGGGAACAGATCTTCTTCTGAGGGGTCCTTGGTGCTCTCACCTCTTGGCTGTTTTCTTGCAGACGTTTTGTTACCCAAACGAGGTAATATCAGTGCCGGCACTAGCCCTGATGATGTTAGCTAGTTGGGCAATGAAACATCGGCAAGAAAACCACCAAGAGCAGAGAGCACCAAGGACATTTCAACCCTGAGCTACAAAGATTCTCCTTCATTAGGACTTCTTCTGCCGCAGATGTGTCAAGATGAAATATAACCCCTAATCTCCCCTGACCCTTGACCACTAGAAGTCCCCCGTGGACCTCATGCTGAGGTCCCAACATCCACTCTCTCCCCCCATCTCAATGCCCTGCTGTAAATTTGCCAATAACAAGTTGTGTATTTCATATCGACAGAAAATGCTAATCTAACAATAACCCATTGTGATTGTGATTTGGCAGCGGAAGGAAGGAAGGAAGGAAAGAAGGGGATATTTATTTGACTTTCAAAATATATCTAGGTCTAGATAAAATCTAGATATAGACCAAGATCTAGATCTAGTGCTCTACATTTATATCTCTAGATATACATACCTAGATCTATCTCTAACTAGATCTAGATCAGTGGTTCTCAACCTTTTTAATGCCGCAACCCCCAACCGGTCGTAAGTCGAGGACTACTCAACTGGTGCAGCACCGTTTGCAGAATGGGACTTTTGGCGGGCTCAGCAGGGCAGAGACAGCCTGGACAATTCCTATTGGCTTTTGGAAGCCAATAGAATTAGACTCTATTCAAGAGAGTCTATTCTATTGGCTTTCAAAAGCCAATAGAATAAAAGGGAGGAGCACAGCTAAGGAAAAGGGGGAAAAAATGGCGGACAGCCTTGTTTGGCGACCCCCGTGAAATGGTCGTGCGACCCCAAATGGGGTCCCGACCCACAGGTTGAGGACCACTGATCTAGATAGTGTCTAATGAGTTTTGCTTTTGTTTTCAGCTTCTGGGCTACTGGGCAGCCTAATGACGCAACAGAAACTTGCATTGTTGCCATACCTCCCTGCCCACTTTTGAAATGTTGGCATGATGCTCCTTGTGAAGAGAAAAGATACTTTTGTTGTAAGATGATGCCAAAGAGCATATGGATGCCCTAGCTAATTCAAGATGGTGGAATCTGAGTATGAGATCTCCAAACCCAGCGGCATTGGCACTAATAAATGCATGGTGGGAACCATATTTTGCCAACTTCCTTTTCTCTGCCGGTTTCCTACTCGTCCTTATCCTCTCGACAAAACTTATCTTACAGTGTCTGAAACAGTTTATTGAGATGTGGTAAGTGGAGGTTTGCTGAATTAGTGGTCCAGAATGAAAACCCAGAGCAGATAATCAAGGCTCATTGCAGCTTTTATTATTCAGGGTTCACTGGAAAGACTCCCTCTGTAGCATATAGAAGCCTTAACCCTGTAAGCAACTACAGGTTGTGCATCAGTCACACCCATTCCTGGACCAACAAGCCCTGCTCACAGTCACCCACAGCACAGACACCCTCCGTCCTGACTACTGCAAGGCCCTCTACATGGGGCTGCCCTTAAAAGACATCCAGAAGCTGCTGTTGGTCCAAAATACGTGGTTTTTAGCAAGTCTAGATTTGCACGTGTGTCACTCCTCTTGCAGGGACTGTACTGGTTTCTGATTTGCTTCTGGGTCCAATTCAGGATGCTGGTTGTTGTCTTTAAAACCCTGCGTGGCCTGGGACCAGGTTATTGGAAAGACTGTCTGTTCCCAGTTACGTCCACCCGACCCACCAGAGCAGGGAGGCAGAGAATGTTATGGGTCCTCTCTGCTAAGGGGGTCCATCTGGTGGGACCAAGAAGAAGGGCCTTCCCTGTGGTGGCTCCTCCCTCTGTGTCTTAATCATTGTCTTAGAAGACACACTTCTATTCATCTAAGAATTGTCGTTCCTCACAACAGAATGGGCCAACAACTTTGTGATGCTGAAGAAAAAACAAATCTTGGCTATCGAGCAGCAGTAAAAAAAAAAATGAATTGTTGTTGTTGTTGTTAATTGCGAAGTCGTGTCCGACCCATCGCGACCCCATGGACAGCGTTCCTCCAGGTCTTCCTGTCCTCTTTGCTTTACATGGATGACCTGAAGCTTTATGGAAAACTCAGAACTTAAAATCCCATCACTGACAAACACCAAAGATGTTTGTGGCGCACATGTAGCCATGGAGTTTGGCCTAGAGCAATGTGCTTCAGCAGCAATAAAGCCGCCTGAGCTCAGGACCGGTAATGGAAGGGAAATGCCAAAAAAACCCACCAGGAGCCCTCAGGATGAAGCCTACAAGTATCTAGGAATTTTACACTTTTGGATAACATCAAGTTAAAAATCTGACTAGCGAAGAATTCATCTGAAGACTTGAGAAGACAAAACCGAACAGTGAAAACGCCATCAATAACTGGGCCAACCCTGTGGTCCAATAGACTGCTGGAAATATTAAGTGGACACAAGCTGAACTGGACGATTTGAACCCCCAAATAAGAAAACTGACAACTAGTCACTGGGCATGGCAGAAGACACGATGAAAACTCTTCGATTTCATAGCATATGGACAGACTTCGCCATAGTTTCAGCTGAGAAATGGTGACCATCCTAGGTCAAGTCAAGTCCCAACTTCTAGAAGCCTGGCACTCTGACAAATTGGTCATCAACAGACACACAAACAATACCTTCATATTGTGCACAAAAGAGACAATCAGCCAGCCAAAAAGGGAACGGAAAGACCAAAACACTTCCTCATCAGCAATCAGCACCCGGGAGAGCATAGATTAACTCCAAGATTAACATCATCAGACCAACCATCAAGAAGTAAACAACACCCCAATCAAGGAACGGCCAAACAAGCTAACTATAAACAGCCATACCAAAGTACCCCCAAGATCGTTCGCACCAACACTGACAGGGCAAGCCACTAGAATATAAACTCAGAGCAGCTCCAACTCTTTACTAGCACTGAAAACAACCAAGCTCAGAGATTATCCAAGGACCCTGACAGCAGAAAAAGACCTGGTCCATCCAGTCTGTCCTCTGAGTTTGTCTTTTTGTTTTCCATTTAATTAATTTCTTCTTCTTTATTCCTTTTCAATTTTTAATCGTTGTCAGATGGTGGACAGGTGTTTTATCCCAGGCATGTTTGAACTCAGTTACTTACCTGCAGAAGGCTACTAATAGTGCTTAAGCTACCGAGGAAATTGGATTTAGCTGCATTGGCACGTTGGGCTTTTTTGGTAGGTGTGATGTTGCTTCACCCTCCCCACAGTCTTCCATCACCAGATGCGTGCCAAGCAGTGGGAGGGAGGCCTATCCGAGAGAAAAGAGGTCAAAGAAGCAATCGATAGATTTGGGCCTTGGACGTAATTGCTCCTCGACTCTCTTGGGTGGGCACAGACTCACGTGCCCTTCCCTTCGCCCCCTCCCCTCCCTTTCCCTTCCCTTCCCCCAGGGAGTCTCCGTGGCCGAGGATGGACTTCCATCTCTCTAATACTACCCCACCCCTTCACCACTAGCCCATCCTGTGTGCTGTCGCTCTGCTCAAGAGCCCAAAGCAGCCAGCTTAACGTAGCACCACCGCTGGGACCAGAATTGGGTAGGTCTAGTTTAACGAAGAGAAGGACAAGGGGGGACATGATAGCAGTCTTCCAATATCTCAGGGGCTACCATAAAGAAGAGGGAATTAAGCTATTCTCCAAGGCGCCTGAAGGCAGGACAAGAAGCAACGGGTGGAAACTGATCAAGGAGAGAAGCAACCTAGAACTAAGGAGAAACTTCCTGACAGTGAGAACAATTAATCAGTGGAACAGCCTGCCTCCAGAAACGGTGAATGCTTCAACACTGGAAGTTTTTAAGAAGAGACTGGACAGCCACTTGTCCGAAATGGTGTAGGGTTTCCTGCCTGAGCAGGGGGTTGGACTAGATGACCTCCAAGGTCCCTTCCAACTTTACTACTATTACTATTACTAACTCTGCTCACTCTCGGCAGACCAATGGCTGGCCTTGGGCAACAAACGTTCTTAGGCATGCCTGAAGCCCCCCCCCCCCCCGTAGAAAGACGATTAACCGTAGCCAAATTGGCAAGGGGGCTTCTTCCCTTAGGAGAGAGCCCTTCTCTGTCTCTCCTTTGTAGTGGAACACCCTCAGTGTTTGCTCCTTCCGCCGGAAATGGCTTCCCTCAGCTCCCCCCTGCTATTGAGGGCCTCAAAGGTTTTGGTGGGCCCTGTCAGGGGTCCTCCTCTGAGCAGACCCTCCTCTCCCTGTGCTTCCTCTGGCAGCATCCCAGGATGAGCAGTGTTTGCTCTATAGCAGTGTTTCCCAAACTTGACAATTTTAAGGCATGTGGACTTCAACTCCCAGAATTCCACAGCCAGCGTTGCTGGCTGTGGAATTCTGGGAGTTGAAGTCCTCATGCCTTAAAATTGTCAAGTTTGGGAAACACTGCTCTATAGGAGACACAGAATAAACAGACAAATCCAACATTTTGGGTCTCCAGGGCAATACCTATAGAAGCAAACCACTCAAAATCTACCTTTTTGGTTGTTTTTTTTTTGAAGCGATGCACTGTTTGAAAGCGATGTGGAAATCATCGCTTTCGACTTCGCCTGAGCATAACAAACCAGCTTCTTTGGGTTTGGCTTCTTGTTTTAATTAGTCGCACGCAATTGCTGTGGCACTTCGCAGCTTCATCAAGGTCAAGAGATAACAGAAGAATGGAAACCAGAACAGAGTCTCTGACCGATGGCACTGAAGAATAGTTAAAATTAAGTCCCAAGTTCTGAGACCTGGGTTCAAGGTTGTCAATCGGTCCTGAGGTCAAAAAAGGAGACACCAATCAGACTGTTTTTTTTTCCAGCAAAGGAACATAGGTTAAAGTTGCCTCTTAAATCAGGTTGCAGCCAACTATCATCAGTCACGAGATTGACTCTTTTGCTTGGTGGGAGGCCTCCTCAAACACCTCTACCAGTACTCTTCATTCCACTCACTAGGTCTGGAGGCTGGGCTTTCATCTTCATCTGACTGCTTCAGCTGTTCAGATGATACCTGTTGCTGATCAGCCTTGTGTGATTCTTGGCTTGTTGAGACTTACCATGTTTCCCCGAAAATTAGACCCAGCCCGATTAGTAAGCCCTAGCTTGATTTTTGGGGGTGGGCCTAATATAAGCCCTAGTCCAAAACTAAGCCCTCTTTTTGGGGTGAGGCGCACCCCTAAAAATCAAGCTAGGGCAGGGGTAGGGGGGATGAAACTGCCCCATGTGCCCCGCACCCACTTACCTTACCGGTAGGACTACCACAGATACCCCAACACCTGTTGTGCTGCTGCTTGACTCCTTCTGCGGTCGCTTGCCGCCACTGGTGGCTTGATGCCATGTGACACATTGTGCCATTGCCACTCTCCCGGCAGGATACCGCATGGTGCTTCGGGCTGCTTCCGCTGCTTGCATAGCGCTTTGGCCCGCTTCTGTTGCTCATGGCAGGAGGCCACATGTCACTTAAAAGATTATATATAATTTTCTGCGAAACACTGGTCATTTTTGAGAACTGATATGTGGTAGATCTCCAAGAATCTACTTAAATGGATTTACAAAGCTAAAATATTAGCAAGAATATTTGCTGATCATAAGCCATTGATCCTTGTGAATAAGCACAGAGGATATAGAAACCTTGTTGTATAACGAGTACGGTAAGTGCCAAATTTTGTCAGGATTCTTCTTATTCCAATTAATGTGGACATGTCTACCATGTTGCCTGCATACAAAGGGACCTTGCTATTTCCAATTGATGGGGCATGAAAGGAAGGATTATTAAACTCTTTCACAATGTTATTTATATAAAAATTAAAGAGGAAGAGGGCTTGTATATAGCCCTGGTGGACACATCTTTTTGGTTTTAATCTGTTTTGTTAGGAAGCCACTGTGGTTTATCTTTATAAATTATATCTTAGGTAAAGTAATCTATCTAAATCAGTATCCTTTCCATCTCAATGATAAACCTCTGCTGGAGGAATCAATAGACATCTCCGTTAAATTAAAAGAACATGTACCGGTATGTAAAAACTGCCAAGAAAATCTATACATTCCTAGGTTGCATCAACAGAGGGATAGAATCAAGATCATGCGACCTGTTAGTACCATTTTATAATGCCCTGGTAAGGCCACACTTGGAATATTGCATCCAGTTTTGATTGCCACAATGTAAAAAAGATGTTGAGATCCTACAAAGAGTGCAGAGAAGAGCAACAAAGATGACTAGGGACCTGGAGGCTAAAACATACAAAGAACAGTTGCAGGAATTGGGTATGTCTAGTTTAATGAAGAGAAGGACTGGGGTGACATGATGGCAGTCTTCCAATATTTGAGGGGCTGCCACAGACAAGAGAGGGTCAACCTGTTCTCCAAAGCACTTAAAGGCAGGACAAGAAGCAATAGATGGAAACTAATAGAGGACTAACCTAGAACTAAGGACAAATTTAGAACAATTAATCAGTGGGATGGCTTGCCTCCAGAAGTTGTGAGTCCTCCAACATGGAAGGTTTTAAAGAAGAAACTGGGCAACCATTTGTCTGAAATGGTATTGAGCAGGGTGTTGGACGAGAAGACCTCCAACGTCCCTTCCAATTCTGCTATTCTGAGAGTGGGGGATGTCTCCCCTTTCCCACAGCTCTTTAACTCTGATAAAGCCTAGATCGGAGGCCCAGATTTTCCAGGACTGATGCCACACATGGAAGGCTGATGAAGCGAGCCAGTCAGCCAATCGGGGGACCACGTCAACTGAATGGGAATTCTAGAATGATGGTTGAAGGTGTTGACTGAAGGATCAACGCCAGGAGGGAAGAGAGGCTGAGAGGAAAGAAACCGACAGAGGCACCACCACATTATCCACCGTCTTCCTTTGGAGAGGCATGGACATTATTCTTGTAAGATGAACATCAGCTTTTCTCACTGGCCAGCTGGGCAGGAAATAACTCAGTAAAAGCCTCACAGCTGGAAGGGGAATGTCGGGGTTGGACTGAGCCCACCCGGGGTGGGTGGGAGGCAATCCCTTTGGGACCCAGAGGCATAAGGGCCCTTGTCCCTCACCTTTAGCAAAGCAGTTTGGAAGGAACAGGGCTCTCATGGGGACCCTTCTTCCCTCAAAGGACCCTCCCCTTTGGCTGCCTGAACATCCTTCTCCCTTAGACAAAGTGGAGTAGTACACCTTGAAATGGCCACAGAGGGCAGCAGGATTCCTCCTCTCTCCCTCCCTCTCTCTCTGTTTCAATCTTCTGAGAGGCTCCTACAGCCCAGAGATGAGCATCCCCTTGTGGGGCTTCAAGGGGAGCTGCGGCAGAGGGCTGCACAGAAGGGCAGAATGAAACAGGACAGGAAGGAGGGAGCAAAGAGCCAGCATGTGCTACAGGCAGAGACCTTGGGGACCCTGCCCGATTTGGTGTGTCTGTGCATTTCTTTGTTATCTTTGCACACTGCTAAATCTACAAGGGATCCTTGCTGGCTTACCTCATCCCATTTTGCGCATCACAGACAGGATGTGCCTGAGGCAGAGCGATTTCCATGCGGCCGAGAGGGACTTTCGTCCTGGGGAAGGTGCAGCGAATGCCACAGATGTGCAGCTGCATTCTGAACGGGGCAAGGAGGCGGTGGAAGGAATATTTTGCACGATGGAGGAGGAGGAGGAGGAAGAGGAGGAAGAGGAGGAGGAGGCTCTTCCCTTTCTCTTGCCAACTTCAGTGGCTGCAGAATATTTGGGGAGCCCATTCCCTGAGCATCTTCACAGCTGGGGGCACCCATTGGTCTTGCAACCCAGAGGGGCTTTTATGCCCCCGTTTCTCTGGGCTTTGTGATTGGGCTTGGATTCACGTGGTTGGTTCTCCCTCTGAAGGGAAGAGTAGTGTCCTCAGAGGAAAGCCCACGCTGTATTTTCAAGTGGGGGATGGATTAGACCCCCTTGCCTCTGAGAGATCTCTTCTTCTGGAATGACAGCAAGCAATAGTTAGTTTTCTGCCGTAACATCTGTCCTACGGAGCATCCTTCCTCCAGAGATCAGGATGGCCCTGATCCTGCTGGCCTTTTGTACTGGTGGTGTGAACAACCATGGACTGTAAAATTCTCCTTGGCTGCTGTGCTATTTTAATGCATGTACTTATGATGGAAATCTATTTTGAATTTATATTAAGATTGTTCGCTGCCCAGAGTCACTTGGTGAAATGGGTAGCCACACAAGCTGAATAAATAAATAAAATGTCTCCTGCATCATATGATTTTGAAACAGGATGACATGAGGGGCTGATATGACTGAGAACTAAATTGTCCGAGTACCGGTCAATTTGGGGATATATCCAGACTTTGCTGTGATTTGTTCCTCTTGAGGATTCAGAAACAATGGACTTCACCCGAATAAAATATTGCTGATGTCCTTATTCTAATCTTTCAGCTTTAACCTATCCATTTGACAGCATGATCTGCTTTGCAATCTGTTTCTGGAAGTTTCTCTACGATACTTTCCCACTTTTTATTTATGACAAAATTGTTGACTGGATTTAGTCTTTTTGACCTCATCATGCCTATATCTGCATTTATGTTGCTCAAAGGAGACAACAAAGACATGAAACTTTGGACAATTGTTTGGGATTTTGTATCTCCCCTCAGTGGGAGGGGAGTGGGCGTTAAGACTTCTATTTTGCCAAGAAAGGAACGCTAAAAAATTAAAGAAAGGAAGTGAAAGACTGCTGTGGAAATGAATCTTAATAAAACTGTAACTATTTTCCATGGGATCTAGCCACACTATATTTTAAAAATCCAACTTCACTCTATTTTTTCTATTCTATATCTCCATTAATTTGTTTATTTGCTGGCTTCTCTATTTTTGCGGTCTCAGTCCCTAATTATTTCTATTGTGCCATTTCCCCAGAGTTGGATCTTCTTTTCTTTTATTTAAATTCCTGATTTCTATTTCTGCTCTGTCCAAGTCTTTGCTTTTATTCCACGTTTTCCCCCTTGTTTGCTCCTGGCTGGCCTTCCTGGCTCCTTTTTCCTCCTCTTCTCCCAAATCTTTGCTCCACCTGAGGGAAATGGCAGAGAGAACTTTTCCCTCACGCCTGAGGGAAAGACAAAGGTTGCCTCTCTCCCCCCATTTCTTTCAGCTGCTGCCTCCTTTCCAGAGCCTCTCCTCATGAGCACAGTCTATCTTTTAGTTCCAGTCTTCACTTCAATTTCTGGGTTTCGGCTCTGTTTATTCAGCTGCTTCCTCCTCTGTGGTGGCAGAACTTCAGGCAGCCATCTTGTCTTCCTTCCTTCTCGCCTCCAGCCTAGCAACAGCCCTTTGATTGGCTGCTGCTGCTTGATTGACAGCTGGGTCACCCTAACAATGGCCCTGAAGGGCGGGCGGAAGGAGCTTATAAGGCTGGCAGTCCCTCCACAGCGATCCTAAGATAAAAAAATGGAGGTTCAAAGGCCACTCTTAGTAGGAAAAATATTGAACCTCAGAGATGCAAACACCAAAAATGGAAAAAAAGGGGTCTGAATCTCTGAACACAGATCTAGCCACATTTTACATGGAGTGTAAATCTGCGTATAAGCTTCTCAATTATTCAGCAAGAATTCCATAGAGCAAAAATCCCTTTCTGAGATGGATGGAGCCTTTGCTTCTCCTGCTCATTTGTTTTTATTTCTTTATATATCTAGTTTAGAGATGGTCTGCCCCCCTCACAGAGCCACCCATGGCTGGTTGGCCTTTCCTCCCTGGCAGGTTCAGCTGCCTTGGGGGGATGGTGTCTTTTGTGCTGCTTCCTCAACCCTTTTCTGTTAACAAGCAAGCATGAGGAAAACCTATTTCAGTCAGAACAAGACCAGAACAAGGAAGAGGCTGAGAAGAATTACAGGACTTGTCAGTCAAGGGGATCCAGGGGTACAGAGAAGGATAAAAGAGGATCCTGCTACCCCACTTGAATTTGGGCAATAGCGCCTGACAATCCACAAAGCCAGAAAGTGGGGTTAATTTCTTGGAGAGTCCTTCCCCTCACGAAGCCATTGCTGGGCTCGCCGATCCTTTTCATCAATCTTCATCCAGTCTCCCACCTTTCCTTTCTAGCTGGGTTCTTGAGAAGGTGGTGAAGAGGTGATCTGGACCCATCTCACTCGGCTTCAGCCTGGGACATCGTACCGAAACGGCGCTGTTTGCGTTGTCGATGACCTTTGGCAGGGCCAGGATTGGTGCTGCCTCCATCTTTGCGCTCCTGGATGGCTCAGTGGGTTTTGATCCTGGCAACTCTGGTCAACCTCTGGACAGGCTTTGGGATTCGGAGTGGGGAGCACCATATTGTGGTGGTTCCCTTCCTTTCCCTGTGGTGCTTCCGGTCGATGTCGGTAGGGAAGAGTTTGGGTCTACAGCCCCTCACTTGTGGGGTGCTGGACAATCTCCCCCTCCTATTCAACACCGACCTGGAATCTCTGGGGGGAAGCCATCCACCAGTTCCCAGTGCAATATCCTCTGCAGGTGGAGGTTCCCAATTTTATAAATGATGCTCCTGAGGTCACGTCTCATAATCAGGAGGCTGGGCGTGTGTGGATGGGGAAGAACCGATTGGGCTCAATCCCAACAAGACGGAGGGTATTTTGGGCTCCCTGGCCTTTGGGAGTCTCCATCTCTGGTTTTGGATGGGGCTGCACTTCCACAGTCAAGACAACTTTGCAATGGGTGTGTGTGTGTGTCATCCTGGGCTCACAGCTGTTACTTGAAGAGCAGGCACCATCTGTGGCCAAGAGGGTCTTTGTACAGGTTTATCCAGAGTGCCAATTGTGCCTGTCCCCGGATCACACCCTATGCCCCTGGACAGTCCCTCACGCCATGGTCCCCTCAAGAAGGGATTATTGCAGTGCTCTCTATATGGGACTGCCCTTGAAAACCTTTTGGAAGTCACAGCTGGCCCAAATGCAGCTGCACCATCAGAGAAGGGCAAGTGGCACCACTGCTCCATGGGCTGCAATGGTTGCTGGTTGGTTTCTGGGTGCAAGTCAATCACCTATCAAGCTTTTGAGGGCAGGGAGCCTGGCAATTTGGGGGGCTGCCCATCTCCAATAATCTCTGCCTATTTCGTAAGATTTGGCAGAGTGGGTGCACTTCAGGTCCCCTCGTTTACGTAGTGTCACCTAGTGGAACCCCTGAAGTGTCCATATCTCTGTCATGGCACCTGGCATCCTCCCAGAGGTCCATATGGCCCCCATCCTGATGACCAGTTGGAAGGCAATGTTCTGCCAAGTCTTGGGTTAGGTCAGCCCCTGTTAGGATTTGCTTTTGTTTTAAATACAGTAGTTCTTATTTTTCCTGGGAACATCTCTCTTTATTCTTTCACTTTATTGTTCTACCATTTTACAGTGCAGAGCAACCAGAGTCTTTGAGAGTCAGGCACTTATTTAAATTTATGTCAATAAATAAAAGTCCTTTGAGTCACCTTCAAACTTCTCCAGGGTCTTCCAAAATTGCCTAATTCAATGCTTTGAATGAGCTTCAACTGAATGGAAGTTCAGTCAGATCACCTTTGATCTGAATCGATCCTTTGAGTCTTGTGTTCCTGCTCAACAAATGTTGTTATTTAAGGGCCGGATTAAGCAGCAGCAGAGAGCTCCAGATCCATCATGGCTTCCAGATCCAACGTGGCTTCCAGATACAACGTGGCTTCCAGATCCAACGTGGCTTCCAGATCCAACGTGGCCTCCAGATCCAACGTGGCCTCCAGATCCAATGTCAGACGAGCGCCGCAAAATAGAGGTATGCGTGTTGTATGTATGTGATTACACAAAAGAGTAGGACATAGGAAAAGGGAGATTACAGGAATCAGGGAGAGGCTGAAACGAAGCATGACAGAGTGGACAAAAACACCGAAGCCAATTCTGAAAACCACAACGGGAGAGTGAGCCAAGGCTGGACTTTACCAGTTCCTGGTTTCATACTCTTAAAAGAGCGTTCCAGCCTCGGTCTGTGCTCTGGAATCAGGCTGTGGTCATTTCATATGCCTAAGAAAACACCTCTCCGTTCACTGAAGTGGAACCTGGGACGACAGACAACGCCAGGCGTGTCCTCCACACCACGGTGCTACGAAGAGGTGCTTCCTCCAGTGGGGAGTTGGCTCTTCAGCAAGCAAAAGTGGCCTCAAAGGGCTTCCTTGGCTGCCCTTGGTCATTGCACTGGCTGATGAACACCGAGGTTGTCTGCTCAGTCTCTCCCTCGGGTGCTGACGGAGACGCAGCTTTCCTGAGACTTGGATCCTATGCTTTTGCTTTAAAATGGGCTTAACAAAGGCCGAATTCTGCTCCCTGTACGTCCGGAGTATGGGCACACGTATCTCATCAACCTCAACCTACATCTTCTTCCATTAATTCCCCAGTTAGGCCCAGATCACAGCCTCCTGGCGTAGGTGCTCCGTTTCCTATGCCAGCCAGGGGTGGAAAGAAGGGGGCAATTCCCGTAGGAGCCCTCCCTTCTCCCTCCGTCTTCCCCAGAGACGAAAGGAAAACCCTCGCTCTGCCTTTGTCTTTCTCCTTTCCTTTTGGGAACCAAACCCGAAGAGCAAAGAGGCCGAGAGTGACCAGGAGGGGCCTGGAGAGGAAAGGGAATGGAGTGGCCACCTAATATTTCTGGAGCCACAAAGGGAAGAATTCACGGTCCATTTCTATCCGGTTCTTAGAGAAATGGCAGCCCAGTTCTTCCTCATCCCCTTCTCTGGCTATGAGACCTCATGGCAAGATCCTGGGGCAGCCATTCTCTCAGCCCCACCTACCTCCAAAGTGTCTGGGGCTGGGATGAAATGGGGAGGGATGGTTATTTATGAGCCCCCCCCTCGTAGATGAAAAGTGAGGTGAGAGCGGAGTTTAGCTGGACATTTGCAAATAGTGGAACAAGACAAACAGCGAAGATCTTTCTTCTTGGGATGATGATTAAAGTAGACTTTTCTTTCCTTTCTTTCTTTCTTTCTTTCTTTCTTTCTTTCTTTCTTTCTTTCTTTCTTTCTTTCTTTCTTTCTTTCTTTCTTTCTTTCTTTCTTGTGTCCTTCAAGGAATATTTGCTAAATTTTGGCCCGACCCAACCAGCTCCGGTTTATATCTTGCAAGTCTGTTGTGCCTGCTCCTGTTTTTGGCCACAGTTGTGATGATCATTTTGTGTAAGTTAACTTCTCTTAGCATAATACATTAGAACTTAGAAATTAGTTACGCTGTAAAGTGTTGGGTTTTTTTTTAACAATTTGTAATTGGAACTTCAAATTAGTTGACCTTGAGACAAGGGACTCCACCTTGATGCCCTTTGCACGATGTCATTGGCTTAAATACAGCATCACACAGGGATGGCATAAATAGCCTGCTGATGCATTTATGCATTTAACAGGCATTCATGAATAAGAGACACTCTGTCTCCACAATCAGCCTAACTGAATGGCAAACTTCCTTTGTCTTCAGAGTCCCATTTTCTTGAGAGAGAGAGGGGGGGGGGCAAACAGATCGATAGATAACCTTTAGTGTCATTTTTTACTGTGGGCACAATAGATAAGTGGAAGCAAGGATTTCTTTCTTTTTTTTTCTCCTGAAAACACTGGCCAAGATCCAGTTGGGTTCTGGGACTGTTAGGACACCAAGGGGTGTTTTAATGGGGGAAGGAGTTGCTACTGGGGTAGTGTTTTGACTCCAGGTCTTCCCTCCAAAGTAAGATTGGAGCTCAGTCCTGCTGACAACCCAATGGGGCAAATGGGACTCCAATCCCAATGTACTGAATTTGCTAATTGGGGTTGCAGAAAACATTTGATCAGATCTGGACACTTAGAAAAATGGCACTTTCGTGTTCTGCTAGAAGCAGCTCTGGAGATGGCTTTAGGGATTCTGCTCAAAGGGGTCACCAATTGTCATTGTGGGACAGAAGACCCAAACTATTGAGCACTTTTAAGTCACTATGTCAGTAAAGATCCTCAACCACCCAGGTAGAGTTGGCTGCTAGATGAGTCATGGCAACTGAACTTTTTTTTTCTCCCTTTTTTTGGTTTGGTTAGCTTCCTCAGTTCAATTTTTGAGTTGAACTGGTTCCCCCCCCCCAGTCCTTTGAAAGAGAAGTTGCTGGTGTAGCATGTCTTTGTGAAGCACAGGATTCTTTGCAGCATAAACGTGGCATGAAAAACATTCCAGGATTCAGGCATTGGTGCCATCATCATCATGATGGTGATGGCACCAATTTAGCCCAGCGCTACTAGGGTAGGAGGGTGGGGAGGTAGAAATAGCTGGAAAGATAAAGCATTGGGATATTGTGTTAATCTTCATTTTTTTTAAAACAACAACAGATCTTTGGGAACTAAACAGATCAATATCCATGAACGCAGCAATTAAGGCCATTAAGAACTTTATTATTAGCCGGGATCCATCCCTCAAAAATGAAAGCGGTAAGCATGATATTCTTATCAGTATCTCTCCAATAATTTCCCTGTAACACACATCAGGCCTTGAAAAAGGCACCGGGTTCTGATTTCACAACGGCGGTTATTCTCTAGATAATTTGGACCACTCTGTACATGCTCCTGAACTGAGCCCAGGTTCAGTTGACCGAGAATTCAGAATTTTTCACTCATGCTCAGTTGTAAGAGAGGAACAGAACAAAGAAGGAGGCTGATTGATGACATGGATGTTGTATCAAAGATCTGACAGCCTAAGTCAGGGGTAGCATGGCTGGCTCAGGAATTCTCGGAGTTGAAGTCCACGAGTCATAAAAGAGCCACAGTTGCCCACCCCTGAAGTGGTTCCATCCAACTCTGCCTCTCCTGTAGAGGGTAACAGGGTTTTATGGAAAAAGTTTTGCTCGTTGAGATCTGTCTGACTGGAATTTTGCAAACCTTTTTAGAATATGAAATATTTTCTGGTGCTCAGAGGTTAGCAGAAGAATTGACCAAATGGACTATAAAAACCATTGAACTGGAAGGTGCAATTGGTAAGTCTGAGGGTGCGATGCTAAACACTCAGGGGTTGGGGGAAGCCAGCCTGAGACTGCACCTGTTGAAAATCTGCCTCAGCTCTCGAAGGTAGAGCGCTTCCTTTCTCTTGCCCACCTGATCGCCCTGCTGAAGCTCAAGCCAACCGAGCAGCAACGGTTTTTAGTTCCTGATTTGCACTAAAATTTGCAACCCACTTTTTCTCCGTTGCGGAGACGCTGCAGTTGGGTAATCAATCCATAAAACGGAACAATAGTTCAATAACTGAAATAAAAGTCAGGACTTGCATGAGTTCACCTTTCCCCACGATTTCAGGGACAGTCATGCAGTAATTTGGAAGTGGCTCAGAACTACAGATAGTCCTTGACTTAAACCAGGGGTAGGCAACCTTGGCTCTTTTATGACTGGTGGACTTCAACTCCCAGAATTCCTGAGCCAGCTATGCTGAGGGGAAAGGGAGAGGTTTCCAAGCTGAGCCAGGCTGGCTCAGGAATTCTGGGAGTTGAAGTCCACCAGTCATAAAGCGGCTTAGGCCTAGGTCAGGGGTAGGCAACCTTGGTTCTTTTATGACTGGTGGACTTCAACTCCCAGAATTCCTGAGCCAACCTGGCTCAGCTTGGAAACCTCTCCCTTCCCCCTCAGCATGGCTGGCTGAGGAATTCTGGGAGTTGAAGTCCACGAGGCATAAAAGAGCCAAGATTGCCTACCCCTAGCCTAGGCCTAGGCCACTTTATGACTCGTGGACTTCAATTCCCAGAATTCCTGAGCCAGCAAGGCTCAGCTTGGAAACCTCTCCCTTTCCCCTCAGCGTGGCTGGCTGAGGGGAAATTCTGGGAGTTGAAGTCCACCAGTCATAAAAGAGCCAAGGTTGCCTACCTCTGGCCTAGGCCGCTTTATGACTGGTGGACTTCAACTCCCAGAATTCCTGAGCCAGCCATGCTGAGGGGAAAGGGACAGGTTTCCAAGCTGAGCCACGCTGGCTCAGGAATTCTGGGAGTTGAAGTCCATGAGTCATAAAGCGGCCTAGGCCAGGGGTAGGCAACCTTGGCTCTTTTATGACTCGTGGACTTCAACTCCCAGAATTCCTGAGCCCGCCATGCTGAGGAGAAAGAGAGAGGTCCCCAAGCTGAGCCATACTGGCTCAGGAATTCTGGGAGTTGAAGTCCATGAGTCATAAAAGAGCCAAGGTTGCCTACCTCTGGCCTAGGCCTAGGCCGCTTTCTGACTTGTGGACTTCAACTCCCAGAATTCCTGAGCCAGCATGGCTCAGCTTGGAAACCTCTCCTTTCCCCTCAGCATGGCGGGCTCAGGAATTCTGGGAGTTGAAGTCCACCAGTCATAAAAGAGCCAAGGTTGCCTACCCCTGACTTAAACTGTTCCTTTAATGACCACAGTTATGATGGCACTGAAAAAAAGTGACTTATGACCATTTTTTTTACACTTACGACTGTTGCAGCATCCCCATGGTCACGGGATCAAAACTCAGATGCTTGGCAACTGATCTGTATTTATGACGGTTGCAACGTCAAGGGGTCCTGTGACCCTCTTTTGCAACCTTTGGACAAGGCATGTCAGTGGGGAAGCCATGTTCACTTAACAACCCTGCTGCCAACTTAACAAAATGTGATTTATGACCATTTTTCACAGTTATGACCTTTGCAACGTCCCCTTGATCATGTGATCAAATTCAGACGCTTGGCCCCTGACTCATATTTATGACTGTTGCTATGTCCCAGGGTCACTTGATCATCTTTTTGCAACCTTCTGACAAGCAGATTCACTTAACAACCGTGTAGCTAACTTATCAACGGCAGTGATTCATTTAACAACTATGGCAAGAAAGGTTGTAAAATGGGACAAAACTCCCTTAACAAATTTCTCAGCAACATAAATTTTGGGCTCTGTTGGGGTCGTAAGTCAAGGACTACTGTATACAATTTCAACATGCATTGCCTTCAGCTTACCTTCTACTAAATGCTGTGTCTTTCTCTCTTGCTTTCTTCCTGCAATTCTCTCTGGAACGTGTCCTTCACTGGCTGAAAGACGTCATTACTATTCTGCTAAAAAAAAACTGGGTGCCCTTTGAAGGGGCCCTTTATTTCTTCAGCACCGTTGCGAACAACTGGACCACAGCAAGAACATTTTGTGAGACTAAAAAATCCACCTTGGTTTGTATTGAAAGTTATAACGAGCAAGTAAGTACCTTGCATAGAGGGGGGGAGAGTGACCAATCTCTAGAACAGTGGTTCTCAACCTGTGGGTCGGGACCCCATTTGGGGTCAAATGACCATTTCACGGGGGTCGCCAAACCACGCTGTCCGCCATTTTTTTCCCTTTTCCCTAGCTGTCCTACTCCCTCTTGTTGGTGGCCACACCCACTTGGGGGTCACCACAACATGGGGAACTGTATTATGGGGTCACGGCATTAGAAAGGTTGAGAACCACTGCTCTAGAATCTCTAGAACCCCAAATCAGTCATAAATCCCAAGAAAACAAATCAAACTACGAGGCAGGCAGTGATGAGAAAAAAGAAAAACTCAAACAACAATCAGGAGATGCAGGAAACATTCCCACAGACACGCATAAAAGCCTCAAATACTCAAAGCTTGGGGAACAAACAGGGTGAACTAGAAGCAACACTACACAAGGGCAGGTATGACATAGTTGGCATTACAGAAACCTGGTGGGACGAAACCCATGAATGGAATGGACTGATGGATGAATACAAATTGTTCAAAAGAAACAGGTCTACAAAAAGAGGAGTGGGAGTTGCACTATATGTAAGAGAACACTACATATCCACAGAATTGCACATGATCAAAGATAAAATCTCTCCAGAATGAATATGGGTCAATATAAAGACAAAAAAGTGACATTGCCAAAGGTGTATATATTACAGGCCACCCAACCAATCAGAAGAACTAGATGAACTCTTTGCCAACCAGCTAGCAAATGTATGTAGGAAGCATACCACAGCAGTAATAGGAGACTTCAACTACCCAGATATCAACTGGGAGACAAACTCTGCAGAGAGTGGGAGAGCAAACAAATTCCTAACCAACCTAGCCGACAACTTTGTCATCCAAAAGGTGGAGGAGAGAACTAGATGTAAAGCCATACTGAACTTAATTCTTACTAATAGAGAAGAAGTGATAGAGGGAATTGAAATTGCTGGAACCTTGGGTGAAAGTGACCACGTCATACTGGAATTTAATATAATGCAAACAGTAGCAACAGAAAACAATCCAACCAGTGTCTTAAACTTCAAAAGAGCTGACTTTAACAAACTCAGAGAGAACCTAGGAAAGATCCCATGGATGAAAATCTTAAGGGGGAAAACGAGCATGGGAAACTCTGAAAAATGCGATCATAAAAGCCCAATCCAGCACAATACCACTGAAAAAGAAAAACAAGAAATTCAAGAAGAAACTAGCATGGCTGCACAAAGATCTCTCTGACAAACTGAAAGGCAAAAAGGACAAATACAAAAACTGGAAAGAGGGTCATATAACTAAGGCCAATTATCAGCAGACAGGCCATGCAAAGATGAAGTCAGGAAAGCAAAGGCTCAGAACGAACAAAGACTTGCAACAGAAATCAAGGATAATAAAAAAACGTTTTTTCCAATATATTAACAACAAGAAAAAAGTCAAGGAAACTGTAGGCCCACTAAAGAGAAAAGATGGCAAGGAAATAACAGGCAGTAGAGAAATAACAGAACTGCTTAAATCATACTTTGCATTAGTCTTCACACAAAAAGAAACCACACCCAAAAAAAAATCACTTCAAAAGATAAACTAGAAACAAAAATTAAAATAAGCAAGAAAATGGTAAGAGAACACCTATCCGACCTTGACGAATATAAATCACCAGGACCCGACAGATTACATCCCAGAGTTCTGTTATCTCAGAACCATTGCACCTTCTTTCAAAAATCCTAGAGCATCGAGAAAATACCTGAAGATTGGAAAATGGCTGATGTGGTTCCTATTTTCAAAAAGGGAAAAAAAACCCAGATCCAGAAAACTACAGATCAATCAATCTAACATCAATACCTGGGAAGATCCTGGAAAAGATAATCAAAACACACATCTGCGAGCAACTAGAAGCAAACAGAGTTGTAATTAGTAGTCAGCACGGGTTTGTCAAAAACAGATCTTGTCAAACCAATCTTATCTCATTCTTCGATAAAGTGACTAAATTAATAGACCAGTAAAATACTGTGGATGTAGTATACTTAGTGTCAAGATTTCAGACTTAGATTTCAGTAAGGCATTTGACAAAGTAGACCACAACCTACTCCTTGGTAAGCTAGAAAAAGGTGAAATAGACAACATCGCCACCAGATGGATCTGTAGCTGGCTGGCGAATTATACTCAATGAATAGTCCTCAACAGCACCACATCCCCATGAAGAGAAGTAAGCAGCGGGGGACCAAGGTTCCGTCTTAGGCCCAATACTCCTCAATATCTTCATCAATGACTTAGATGAGGGAATTGAAGGGGAACTCTCAAATCTGCGGATGCCATCAAACTGACAGGAGTAGCCAACACCCCAAAAGACAAACTCAGGATCCAAAATGATCTTGACAAACTTGAACGATGGGCCCTGTCCAACAAAATGAGTTTCAATGTGGAGAAAAGCAAAGTTTTATATTTAGCCAGGAAAAATCGAAGGTACAAGTACAGATTGGGCAAGACCTGGCTTAACTGTAAGAGGGACCTTGGAGTCCTAGTGGACGATCACTTGACTATGAGCCAGCAGTGTGCAGTCGCTGCCAAAAAAGCTAATACAATCCTGGGTTGTATAATCAGAGGCATGGACTCAAGATCACACAAAGTATTAGTACCGCTTTATAAAACCCTAGCGAGACCACACCTGGAATACTGCAGCCAATTTTGATCACCATATCACAAAAAAGATGTTGAGACCTTGGGCAAAAAAATCAGAGAAGAGCAACTAAGAGGATCCAAAGCCTGGAGACTAAAACATTCAAAGAATGGCTGCAGGACTTGGGTTTGGCTGGTCTAAAGAAAAGAAGAAACAGGGGTGACATGATAGCAGTCTTCCAGTATTTGAGGGGCTGCCATAAAGAGGGGGGTCACATTATTCTCCAAAGCACCAGAGGGCAGGACAAGAAACAATGGTTGGAAACTGAACAAAGAGAGAAGCAAGCTGGAGTTAAGGAGAAACTTCCTGGCAGTGAGGACAACTAACCAGTGGAACAGCTTGCCTCCAGAAATCGTGGGCGCTCCATCACTGGAGATTTTTAAGAAGGGGTAGACGGTCACTTGTCTGAGATGGTATAGGTTCTCCTGCTTAAGCGGGGGGCTGGACTAGAAGACCTCCAAGGTCCCTTCCAGCTCTATTCTAGATAGATAAATGCTCAAAATAATAGCAGGCAGATTGATTATATTCTGAAAGATCTATGTTGTGTGACTAGGAGTGGGGTCACATGACTTATGGGGATGTTGCAATAGTCGTAAGGATGAAAAATAGTCACGTCGCTTTTTTCAGTACCATTGTAACTTCAAACTGTCACTAAATGAACTTCTGTAAGCTGAGGACTACCTGTGCTTGCAACATGCATGCTCACCTATTTTCCTTGGCATTGTAGAGTCTGTCAGCATTGCTGCATGGATGAAGGGCATGTTTCACTGTCATTATTATGATTGGTTGTATAGTCAGCCAGATGTTTAGATGATTGTATAGTCAGCCAGATGGCATTTTATTTATTTATGCTGCTGTTGTTGTTATTCAATGAGCAATAATGAATCCAGAAGGGGATTCCAAAAAGCATTTTAAATGTATTTGTGGTTGTTGTTTTTAGGCATTCCTAATAAGAGAAAGCTCAAATCGTCCTTCTGACTATTGGATCGGGTATTACGAAAATGGAACCACCTGGGTATGGGTTGATGGAAGTCCACCAAAAGTTTTGTAAGTTGGCCCATACAGAAAGCCCGACAAAAATTCCTACTTGTACTTTGTTGAAAACTCTTTCTATTTATGCACATTCATCCTTATCAGGAATGCACAATCTGCAGCGCCAGGATGTGATACTATCAAAAAAGGACACGTTGGATTAAAACTGTCGTGTGACAAAAGGATGAAATTATTAAATAAATTCAACACCAAGCAAAGCAGAGAAAAGGAATAGGAAGATAACCATGCCTATCCACCCCTGTAAACGTTGCTTTCTGCTCCTGAAAATGGCAATTTCTCTCAGGATCTCATCCACTCCAACCAACCACGATTCTCTTAATATTCCTTTCAACCCATTCAGCGTTCTTTCCGCTTCTGTCACTGACCTTTTTCTCTGCCTTTTAAAATCATTCTTTCCTTTCTTTGATTACTTTCTTGCAAACTATGTTTTTGTCCAGGGAAAAGAACCAGGTTCAAACACAAAGAGTTCAGTTTTACTGATTTATTGCTCAAGCCAATGCCCAGGAATCTTCTCAATGGTTTGCACCTGGGTAAAGCGAGATATGTTTCAAGAGCATTTGGGGGTTGGGGGTTAGACCTTGTTCTCTTGTGACTACATAGAGCAGTGGTTCTCAACCTGTGGGTCGGGACCCCATTTGGGGTCGAACGACCATTTCACGGGGGTCACCAAACAACGCAGTCCGCCATTTTCCCCCCTTTTTCTTAGCTGTGCTACTCCCTTTTATTCTATTGGCTTTCGAAAGCCAGTAGGAATGGTCCAGGCTGTCTCTGCCCTGCTGAGCCCGCCAAAAGTCCCATTCTGCAAATGGTGCTGCACCAGTTGAGTAGTCCTCGACTTACGACCGGTTGGGGGTCGCAGCATTAAAAAGGTTGAGAACCACTGACATAGAGACTCTAAACTGATTCCTCATTTGACTCCTCCCTCTGGCCCTGCCAGTCTCTCTCGTATGGTTTTTCTCTGTGTGCACAGCTCCCTCACTTAGCAACATATATTTTGGGCTCAATTGTGGTCGTACGTCAAGGACTACCTGTACTGGATTCATCTTGAGATCCAGGGATTGAAAGTAAAGCTGAATATATAATAGGTAGGATCAGTGGTGGGATTCAGCCAGTTCGCACCACTTCAGCAGAACCGGTAACTAATTTTTTGCTGCCCAAATCCAAAATGGATTTCCAGAAGCAGCATCCACACAGAGAACCGGTTGTTCATTTTCAAGAAGAAGAAAAAAACACCAAGAAGTCAAGGTGCCTTTTAGAAAAGCAATTTTGGGACAATACCTCTGGAGCAAATTGCTTGAGTGTTGTGATCCTTAAGCCCAGATTCAATTTCCTGGTTTCTTATTTTTGTGGAAGGAAATACAAAAAGTGGGCCCCAGAATAAAAAGACAAAAAAGTCAAGCCTAGGCCAAGAATAGAATAGAATAGAATAGAATAGAATAGAATAGAATAGAATAGAATAGAATAGAGCTGGAAGGGACCTTGGAGGTCTTCTAGTCCAGCCCCCCATTCAAGCAGGAGAACCTATACCATTTCAGACAAGTGACTGTCCAGTCTCTTCTTAAAAACCTCCAGTGATGGAGTGCCCATGATTTCTGAAGGCATGGGGCCCTTTACCAGGGGCATCCTGAGAGGGTCAAAAGGTCAAGATGGTAGCCATGACTATACAATTAAAATTCTGCCCCCTTTAGGGACATTACACATACCTATAAAAAGAATAGGTTTGATCATATCCTTGTGGTCACCATATTACTTTTTTTGACCCTCCCATGGATATCCCTATCCTCTACATTACTCTCCTGCTGCTGACCAATTGGCTTGATTGACTGAGTGATTAATTGTATTCTGTTTGATTTCCAGCTTTTGGTCTCCGACCACCATAACTAATCGCAGTACAGACGAATGTACCATCCTGTTATCCCGCTGTGTGGCGCCACCAAGGTGTTGGACAAATATTAAATGCTCAATAGATAAATCCTTCATTTGTAAGAGGAAGCCAGATAAAAAATGGCACATATAAAAGGCAGCGCCATTCAGCAAGCTGGAACCGAATTCGTGCAGCAGGCTCGGCCCTTCGACATCCAACGGAAGTACTGAAATGCTTGATGGAAGAGTTCAGCTTCCTGCCTCCGTGTCCAAGGCCAGGTCTCCAATGGGCCCCTTTGAACTAAAGAAAATGACTTTCTTGTCCAATGCAACGACGTTACGGGTCTATCAAAACGTGAGGTGGAGGGTTCAGTCGTACCCTCCTTTCCGCTAGAAATAAATTAATTTTCTATATTGCCTTCTGCTTCCTTGCTTGATCTTTCTGACGCACTGCTTGTTTTTCACCCTCTGGCAAGTTATACTTTGCAAGCCCATGACGATTATTATCGGTGTGTCCAATTCCACCTCGCAACGGGACAAGCCACTTGTGCTGCCCGCTCGGGTTTAATGGCGGACCAATTCCTGGAACGCCTCAGCTGGTATGTGGCCTCATCCTGTTCCTGGTGGGTGAGAAAGGAATGATGCTGGGAATGCATGCCAAGAAGAGACCTTCCTAGCAGGGCCCCCCAGAGCATGGAGGTCCTCTCAGCTAAAGCATGACGGCTCCTAAACTGGGCAAGAGTGAGACGGGAAGATGCTGGAGGTAGAGGATCATTTTAAAGGCTTCATCCTGGAGGCCTGTGGTGGCAGAGCTCCAGGCAGCTATCTTGTCTTCCCTCCTTCTCACCTCCCGCCTAGTAACAGCCTTTTGATTGGCTGCTGCCATCTATCTTTTAGTTTCAATCTTCACTTCGACTCCTCAGCTTCAGCTCCATTTATTTGGCCATTTCCTCATGAGGCCTATAGTGGCAGAGCTTCAGGCAGCCACCTTGTCTTCCCTCCTTCTTGCCTCCTGCCTAGCAACAGCCCTTTAATTGGCCGCTGCTGTTCGATTGGCAGTTGCATCAACCTGAAGACGGTCACAAAGGGAGGGAAGAAGGAGCAAAAGGCCTATCACCTGCTGAGGGAGGCGGTCCTTCCATGACAGATGTCAGCCAACTAACCATCAAGAGGCCCGTCCAGAGTCACCTGAGCCCCAAAGGCCAATAAAAGAAAAGAAGCGGGGTCTGTCAGGTTTTGGCGGGAAGAGTTGAGGTGTCTTTGGGGTGGGAGGGCAGCCATGATGGGTCCCCTCAGGAAAGGCTGGAAACTGGCTTGGCTATAGTTCGACTTGTGTGTGTGTGTTTCTCCACTGCTTCTTTGTGCATAGATCCATTTCTTTATTATTATTTTTTCTTTGCCTAGCTGTTTGCCTGTTTGTGCCCAGGTCTTTCTCTCCACATTTCACAACAAACTCAGCCCCTCATTGCCACTCCTCACATCAGTGCCTTAGGGACAAAACTTGCCTCATGATGCAGGATTCACATGTTGACATCTTTGAGTAAAACCTGGATAGCTGCAGACAACCTTGTGTTTGGGTCTCAACTGAAGGGAATAAAATATGTTAACTGGTACTTGTTGGGCTTTGGGCATTCTCTGCGGTTGGTTTCCTTCTTGCAGATGTTTGAGAAGAGGGCTAGATAATTTCATCAGTATTCTCACGATATGAAGTGAATGGCTTCTAATTTCTAATGGCTGTTTATAGAACAGAATAGCAGAGCTGGAAGGGACCTTGGAGATCTTCTAGTCCAACCCCCTGCTCAAGCAGGAGACTCTTTTGTTATCGAATTAATGCAAGCTTCCTGGATTCACACATTACATTGATTCAACAACCAGCCAAATGAATTTGTTTGCACAAATTGACCAAGGTTCAGTTGAATCAACTGTAGCATATTGCACAAATGCAATTGTTCGGTCTTTAACTAACTTGACTCAAAATGAGCCCCATTAAATGATACTCAGTTTCCTGTTTTAAGAGAGCCCTGCAAAGCTCTTACAAAGTTGTGCATGAGCTTCAAAGCGTGGTGTACTTCATTAAAGGTGTGTGGCCATGCATCAATTTATTTTGGATTTTGGAGGTAACAGGATGTTTATATTCATTCTGTGAGTTTGCTATGACATCAGAATGAGAATCTTTTTGTCTTCAGTTTTAGCAGGATCCTGGAGAATAAGGTGATTATTTCAGAGGAAGACCAACATCAGGGTTCCCCATGCTCCAGGTTCTCTTTGCAAACCCATCTGTAAAGTTCATGGCAGTCAGCAGCTTTCCAGTTGTGGTTCCCCAATGAAGGCACAATAGAAACACAGTCTTGTTCTCTTCCTCTGTATCTGCTTGAGTGGCTCGGACTTTCGCTAGACCAAAAACTGGGATGGGTGAAGAGAGAAGAAGATAAGCAGAGGAAAGCAGCAAAAAACATACATTTCATAGAAGAAACAATGGAACTGAATGAATTAACAGCCTGATTTTCAAATGGAGAATCTCTTTTGAAATGCTCATGGTGGTGTATCTGGTGGTGCTTTAGATATGGAGGGGAAAAAAGAGGTTTTAAAGCACCCACTAGAACCTCTTAAAGCAGCTACAACTTTACCTTACACCAAGGCTCTCCAAACTGGGCAACTTTAAGATTGATGGACTTCAACTCCCAGAATTCCTCAGCCAGCCATGAGGAGTTGAAGTCCACCAATTTTAAAGTTGTCCGGTTGGAGACCCTTGCCTTACACAATGGGTACAATAAGGTTTGCATGCACATACAAACCTTGGATGTGGCAGGGTGACCACCTCTGGTTCCCTGACACAGGGGATCCTTAAGTTGCACCCTCCCACACTACTGGGGAGAACTTAATCAGAACCTAAAACTTTCTCCCACCAGACTAGAAATGCTTAATCTGACCCCACTTTTGCAAGAAAAGATACGGCCATTTGAAAGCATCCTCTCTTTGAATGCTGCCATCGTAAACTCACCCTGCTGTTAATGTTGACCTGTCAGTCCACTCCCATCCACTCTCTTCGTTTTCAACTGAAAGGCCCACCCAGGCTGTCTGAGCCAGCTGTGAAGTGATGTAATTCTGCAGAAAAAGAAGGCGAGAAGAGAAAAGAAGTAACATGAACAATTGACTTAATAGCCATCCATCAACAACTGCAACTTAATAGCATCCATCAACAATTGACTTAATAGCCATCCATCAACAACCAGGCAGACGAGAGAGAGAGAGAGAGAGAGAGAGAGAGAGAGAGAGAGAGAGAGAGAGAGAGAGAGAGAGAGAGAGAGAGAGAGAGAGAGAGAGAGAGAGAGAGAGAGAGACAGAGAGAGAAAGACAGACAGAGACAGAGACAGACAGAAAGACAGAGAGACAGACAGAGAGAGACAGAGACACAGAGACAGAGATAGACAGAGACAGAGAGAGACAGAAACACAGAGACAGAGATAGACAGAGACAGAGAGAGACACACAGAGAGACACACAGAGAGACACACAGAGAGAGACAGAGACACAGAGAGACAGACAGAGACAGAGAGACAGAGAGAGAGACAGAGACAGAGAGACAGAGAGAGAGACACAGAGAGAGACACACACACAGAGAGAGAGAGACAGAGAGAGAGAGAGAGAGAGACAGAGACAGAGAGAGACAGAGAGACACACAGAGAGAGACAGAGACACAGAGAGAGAGACAGACAGAGACAGAGAGACAGAGAGAGAGACAGAGACAGAGAGACAGAGAGAGAGACACACAGAGAGACACACACAGAGAGAGAGAGAGACAGAGAGAGAGAGACAGAGAGAGAGACAGAGACAGAGAGAGACACACAGAGAGAGACAGAGACACACACAGAGAGACAGACAGAGACAGAGGGACAGAGAGAGAGAGACAGAGACACAGAGAGAAGTTCCCTAATGATGGGCTCCAGCACAAGCCCCAAAGCTTGGAAGAATAAATCTCTGATCCTGGTGACCAACTCAGACTGGATCCTGGGACACCTACAGTATATTTACCTTCATTTGTGAGAAGTAACATCCTCTCATGAGGGAATGTTAGATTCACCAGCCAAACCATTACAGCTAGCACCTCCCTTAAGCAAAGGTGTCCGTGGGTTTTCAGGTAAAGTCAAGGTATATTCTCCCTTCTCAAAGAAGCCTATGTGGTTAGTTAAGAAAAGCTGGGCTTCCAACTACAGGTAGTACTACCTTCAAGGATCACTTTGCTCATCAGCCTCTTGGTCAGAACTCCCAGTGCAACTACAGACACATGGCAGAACCTCTTCAGATAGCACTGGATGGCAGAATTTGACTAAGCGTACTCTGTGTCCACTACTTGGACCTTTTCCGTGTCCAGTGGAAGTAAGAGTTTGTCTGTGCCCAAAATCTGCTTGGGAAAGCCATGAAAAATTCATGATCTTGGAAAAGTATCCTTCAAGAGCCCTACTGTACTAATGTCAGCCCACTAGGCAGCCAGACCAGGAAATCAACTCTACCAGATTGACTGTACTGTACCTTCTCCTCTTCCTTCTTATAGTTTGGCAAATTGGGTGTGTCTTTGTCTGAGCTTCTTCCTGACCTTATCTGGCTGTTCTGGACTTCAGAAATGCTTTAGCCTCTTTTGTTGAGGCAACAGAGCCTGCCTTTCTATGTCAAGATCATCTTGATGTAGACCTGATCTTGCCGATTAGGATCCCGTGATAGGCTTCCACAGAATCCCAGTTTAGTTTAGAACAGGAGTGTCAAACTCAATTTCATTGAGGGCCGCATCAGCATTGCGGTTGCCCTGGGGGGTGTATGGCCAGGGTGGGTGTGGCCTACTGGGTAGGTGTGGATGGAGTGGGTGTGGCCTACAGGGTGGGCATGGCCAGCTCTACATCATTTGCATCAAGGGAGCCTGTGGGGGCCTGGGCAGGAGTGGGACAGATCTGAGGGTCTCTGGGAGAAGGGGGTGGGACCAGGGCAGAGCCCATCAAGCCAGATATGTGAAGTAGGCGAGGGCCATTTGCTGGCCACTTCCAGGCGATGGTGCATTTCTTCATTCCTCACAAAGGGTGACACCTCCCCAGCATGCACCCAGGGGGTGGAGGCGACGTGGCAGAGGCTGGTTCCTCGCTGTTTCCAGACGGCCTTGTGGAGCTATGACTGAATGCGTTTCAGCACAGATGGCCACCACAGAATTGTACATTGGCTCCCGGCCAGCCTGGGCTAGGACTAAGGCAGTGAGGGCTGTTCCCTCACTGTTTCCAGGATGGCTTCGCGGGCCACATGAAACCACTACGTGGGCCGCATCCGCCCCCCGGGCCTTGTGTTTGACATGTCTGGTTTAGAAGGTAGCTCGCAAACCAATGCAATAATATTGGAAGAGGTAGAGAAGAGCTTCCCAAGGACGAGCCAAAGCTCTTACCGTAATATGTTGATTGGAGGGAAAGGAGAAAAAAAAAGTGGATAAGAAGTGAGCCTTCCACCCAACTGAGCAGCTTGTTGAAGTACCCCAGAAGTCGTAAGGGAAAGAAGAAAAGTGTAAGACCTGCTCTTTGTCATGTAGGATGGAGGCCAAATGGGCATCTCTGGACATGCAGAAGTTCTCGGCATCATACCAGCTCTTTTGTCCTTTGGAAAAGTAGTAGAGGCTCCTCCCCCAAAACTGCCACCCACCTGCGGACCTCACATTTTTCCTGAAGATGGATTCTAAGAGAAATGAGAGCAAAGAGGGGTCAGAAAGAGAAGGAAGGCTCCCTCGAGCATCCCTGAAAATGGATGGGTCACCCTAGGGAAGGGCATTTGGTCCCCACTCTTCCAGAAGTGAGGAGAACGGCCAAAGCACCTCTCTTTTTCCAAGCTCGTACTTCTGGAACTAATTTTAATGATCTTGCTTTTAATTTGGGTTTGCGTCGGATCGATTTCATTGCTGTTGTCTTGAATGTATATATTTGTCTTGAATGTGTGTGTGTGTGTGTGTGTGTGTGTGTGTTCTCTGAGGTTTTCGTGGGGGTTTGTATGTAGGTCTTTGGTTATTCGGGTTTTCTCCCGCGTAAAATTGGAAGTGTCTTGGCGACGTTTTGACGAAGTCCCATTCGTCATCTTCAGGCTGGTGTTTTCAGCTTCGTGCTTCGAAGAGCAATGTGTGGTCTTAGCTCCTCGAAGCACGAAGCTGAAAACACCAGCCTGAAGATGACCAAATGGGACTTCGTCGAAACGTCGCAAAAGGACACTCCAATTTATGTGGGAGAAACAAGAACAAACCAAGACCTACATACAAACACCCGCGAAAACCTCAGGAAAACAAATATATATATTATATGTAGGTCTTTGGTTATTCGGGTTTTCTCCCGCGTAAAATTGAAAGTGTCTTGGCGACGTTTCGACGAAGTCCCATTCGTCATCTTCAGGCTGGTGTTTTCAGCTTCGTGCTTTGAGCAGCAATGTGTGGTCTTAGCTGTTTCTTACTTTTAACTGCCAGTGGGGGTATGAATTGATTGGGTGGGAGCTTGGCTGTGTTCTGATTGGGTGGAGGTGTGTTCTGAATGGTTAGGGGATTGGCTGTGCTCTGATTGGCTGGGGGAGTGTTCTGTTTGGTTGTGCTCAGGTTAGTCTGAGTTGCAGAGGGGTTTAAGATTTTGGGCTGCCTTGATATTTTTTGGCTTCACGTTCGTGGTCGTGCCTCCTCTTCATGGAGGGTGTCAGTTTGCTTCATGTATGGATTGGAGGGGTTTAAAGTGGATAATGATGCAGCTGTGGTCTGGCTTCTGGTTTGTGGTCGTGCCTCGTCATCGGTGTGGCTTTGGGTTTGTTTTTTGCATGGATGTGTGGTGGTGACATCCTGTGTGGTTTTTGTGAGTGTGGGTCTGGCATCATTTTTTGTGTTAGGGAGTCGTTGTCAATAAGGGCGGGTTTCCAAATGGCTGGTAGGCGGGAGGTATCATCTCGCTTGTTCATGCTGTGTGGGCGTTTTTCTATCTCGATGGCTTCTCTGATTATTCTGTTATTAAAATGTTCACTTTTGGCAATGGGTCTGGTATTTTTAAAGTCAATTTCATGTCCTGTGGCTTTAAGGTGTTAGACCAGGGAAGATGTTGGTTCCTCTTTTTTGACTGAGTTCTTATGTTCTTCAATGCGTGCACTTATTCTTCTGTTGGTTTGTCCGATGTATGTGGTGGGACAAGTGGTGCATGGGATTTCGTATACTCCTTGATTTTCTAATTCAATTTATCTTTGGGGTTTCTAAGGATGGTGGATATTTTTCTGTTTGTGCAGAATGCTGTTTTGATGTTGTGTTATGGAGGATCTTACTGATTCTGTCTGTGGTGCCTTTTATGTATGGGAGGAGGGCTTTGCCGTTTTCTTGTTCTTCGTCTTGGATTTTAGTGGGGGTTTCTTTTTGGATTAGGGTTGTAATCTTATTTCTTTGGAATCCATTGGATGTTAGTACATTGGTGAGAGTGTGTAGTTCAGTTTTTAGGTGTTGTTCGTCAGACTAAGCGTTTTTTTCTGGAGATGAGTGTCATTGGTTACAAGTTGATCTGTGCTGAGGTGAGTGTGTGAGAGAGCAAGCAAGATAGCAGGTGTGTAGGTTTTCTTCTGGTAGATGGTGTGTCAGGGAGCCATTGGTTCTTGTAGACTAAGACATCCAGGAAGGGAACTTGGTTGTTAGCTTCTGTTTCCAGGGTGAACTGTAGATTTGGATGTAGGCTGTTGAGGTGTGTGAGGAAGTTTCACAGTTTTTCTTCCCATGGGCCAGATTATCAAGGTGTCGTCTACGTATCTGAGCCAGAGTTTGGGTTTGTGATCCGATTTTTCTAGAGCTTGGGTTCAAAGTGTTCCATGTAGAGGTTTGCAATGACAGGTGAGAGGGGTGATCCCATGGGTGCTCCTTCTATTTGTTTGTATTTTTGTCCATTATAGATGAAGTATGTGTTGGATAGGCAGTGGTTGGTCAGATCTAAGCTGTGTTTGGGGGGGTTATATTTGTTTTGGATAGCTGTCAAGGCTTCTTTGATAGGCACTTGGTGACGATGTCATATCCCTCTTCACCAAGTGCCTATCAAAGAAGCCTTGACAGCTATTCAAAACAAATATAACCCCCCCAAACACATCTTAGATCTGACCAACCACTGCCTATCCAACACATACTTCATCTATAACGGACAAAAATACAAACAAACAGAAGGAGCACCCATGGGATCAACCCTCTCACCTGTCATTGCAAACCACTACATGGAACACTTTGAAACCCAAGCTCTAGAAAAATCGGATCACAAACCCAAACTCTGGCTCAGATACGTAGATGACACCTTCATAATCTGGCCACATGGGAAAGAAAAACTGGACAACTTCTCACACACCTCCACAGCCTTACACCCCAAAAATTACAGTTCACCATGGAACAGAAGCTAATAACCAACTTCCCTTCCTGGATGTCTTAGTCGACAAGAAATCCAATGGCTCCCTAGGACACACCATCTACCAGAAGAAAACACACACAAACCGCTATCTGCACGCTCTCTCACACCACCACCCAGCACAGATCAACTTTGTAGCCAAGACACTCATCTCCAGAACAAAACGCTTAGCTGACGAACAACACCTAAAACCCGAAATACACACTCTCACCAATGTACTAACATCCAATGGATTCCATAGAAATAAGATTACAAACCTAATCCAAAAAGAAACCCCCACTAAATCCAAGACAAAGAACAAGAAAACGGCAAAGCCCTCCTCCCATACATAAAAGGCACCACAGACAGAATCAGTAAGATCCTCCATAAACACAACATCAAAACAGCATTCTGCACAAACAGAAAAATATCCACCATCCTTAGAAACCACAAAGATAAAATTGAATTAGAAAATCAAGGAGTATACGAAATCCCATTCACCACTTGTCCCACCACATACATCGGACAAACCAACAGAAGAATAAGTGCACGCATTGAAGAACATAAGAACTCAGTCAAAAAAGAGGAACCAACATCTTCCCTGGTCCAACACCTTAAAGCCACAGGACATGAAATTGACTTTAAAAATACCAGAACCATTGCCAAAAGTGAACATGTTAATAACAGAATAATCAGAGAAGCCAGCGAGATAGAAAAAC